AGAATAATTAAGAATTTTTTTTTTATATCTATTTTTTTTTTAAATAATGAAAACAACTCACGGGCACACCGGGAGTCCATGAGACATGGAGGGCGGTTGAAATGATAGGAATTCGGTCACAAAAAGGTCATAGACACCCAGATCGACCAGCATCAACCAAAACCGACTCTCATCCCGCCGTGGAGAAAAAGAGTCAAAGTCTTCTGAACGAGCGCCGCCGCTCACCTCACAGCGGAGAAAGTCTCAGCTGCCGCTCGCACAGAGAGCAGAGAGGTCGTATCACTCCCCACATACAGATTCCAGGAGACAGAGGAAATCTTGTCAAACCAGTTCCTTTGTCCCAGAGTCTCGCCGAAGAATTAATTAAAACAGAGCCAGATTCGCTCTCGCGCCCACACGCCCTCACCCACCATTGTATCAAACATTCCGTTAAGAGGATTTTTATACTTGCCGATGAATCTATTGACATATACTTTCGCCTCTTGGGTATAATAAGTGCTATATTACCGCCATAGGAAGTGTGTCATGCTGGTTTTCAAACTCGACCAGTCGCCGATTGTGATCGATACATGGGCGAACTAATGAGATGCCTGGTAGGAAAAGTAGAGGTTACAATTGATAGAAGTGTTTTTAGTCATTCAGTTCGTTAAATGCATAAGTGTTTATTCATTTATTTTAGTCAAATGCATAAGAGTTTCGTTATTCATACTGCATAATTGCATAATTTCACAAGTGTATAAGGTATATTCATTCATTTTAGTCAAATGCATAATATCGTAATTGCATAAGAATTTTAGTTATTCATATTAATCGAAGGCATGATATCGCAAATGCATATGTGTTTGGTTATTCATGAATTATCGACGCATGTTTGACCTGCATGATAGAATGTCACGTGTTTGTTAGAATAAAATTATCACAGAAGCATATTGAGTGTTCTTTCCAAGTCCATGCAAAACCATCTTATTCATAAGAGCTGTATCCTGCGATGAGATATGAAAATGGAGACCTAAAATATTATAACACACACTAGGATAATCGGTAAATGAATCTATGATAATCGTGTTATCCTGATTGATAACTCTGGATAAACGAAACTAAGCAAATTATCATAACTGCATACATTAACATAATCGCAAGCCTCCGCATAAATTACTACGATTATCTCCGTGATTATCATAATTTATGCATATAATCACATGCATTATCATAATTTATGCATATTAATACACACACTATCATAATTAATGCGATTTGCGCATTTTTCGGAAAATTATTAATTTTTATTATTTTCATCAAAATTTCATAACCCGACACATACAACAGTACTACTCATTGACATGCTAATTTTTTCTCTAACCCCCTCCCTCTCTCTGCCCCCGCCTCCTCTCTCTATTTAAGGCCTCGTCACAGAGACGTTCTCTCTCTGTGTGCCTATGTGTTGCTCTCTCTCTCTCTGTATCTTGGTGATATCTGTCTGCTTATATGTCTGTCTATAGTTCTCTGGTTCGATTTTTGTTGCTATTTCATTTATATCTGATGATGATTGCTTGTGTTGCAATCAAAACGTCGTATGCTATTATTTAATTTATTATTTTATCTTTATACGTGACTTTACCGAAAGAACCAAAGAGTAATTCCTGCAGTCACGAAAGCTCCGAATGAATGTTGCACATTTACATGGTTAGTACATAGCATAACTCAATCAAGCTGTGCATAGGAAGTGACCATCATGAAACGAAATAGAGCCCTCACCATGAACAAGACAATAAAACATTCAATTAGGTTTTCCAGTTTCGATTTAAAGCTTTCGTGACTGCAGGGATTCATCTTCTTGGTTCTTTCGGTAAAGTCACGTAGAAGGGAAGTAATAAAATAATAAAAATACAACATAATAAAATATAATTATTTTCACGACGTTTCGGCTACAACGCAAGCAGCCGTCTTCAGGTGAAGAATGAGACACTGCCAAGCTAGGAGCTTATATATAAGCTGGGTTGGAGGTGGAAGAGCGCCTTAACAAAAAGAATGTGCATATCAGGAGGAATTTAGCATATTCATGGGAAATGCGTAGGAGGTGGGCGGGGGGGTTTCAAAGTCATATTATAAACTACATAAAGTATTATGTAGTTTATACTTTAGTTTTCTACGTGGTTGTTTAGTAACTGCAGCTACATACTATTAACATTCCTTTCCTTTGTTAATGCTACTCCCTGCACCCTCCCTTGGTGCTGCTGATCCTGCATAATGCGTGACTTTACCGAAAGAACCAAGAAGATAGGTTTTCCAGGTCTAAGTAAGCATGTATCATTGTGCAGGTAGTGACCGAGATGTGGTTAGAGAGGGACGCGGTTGAAGCTACGCACTTTCAAATCTAGATCGAAAACTATTTTCTTAGAACTGCTTTTTGTGTTTAGTTTGTTGTCTTTCCCCCACACCTCCGATTATCACGGTTGGTTACATACGGTGAAAAAAGAGGTTCAACATACATACATTTTCCAAAATCTAGCTTATAGATAAAACACATATTTCGCTGCCATGCTATAACAGCAGGGCTCTTTGAAAAGTGCAGCATGTCCCTCGTTTTGATGAAGTAAATGTTACATGGAGTGATTCACCGCTTTCTGTCGGAATTGGGAACGGATACTCATCACGTAACATGATGGGCACATTTGTAATAAAATTGGAGGGCAAAAATCGTTTCATGCCAAGTTTCACGCGTGTATCACTGCGCTATGGCTGGAATGCCAGCGATTGAAGTATCTTTACTAGTCATCGGATGATTGATGCTTGAGTTGAGCAACGCTTTTAGCAATGCAGTATTGGGCAATGAACAGACATAACTCGTGATAGAATGCAACTTAAATGCAGTAGAGACTTGTCTACATTTCTCGTGAAACACACCAGAATTAATACCGGTAAGAGTTTTGCATAAAATATAACGATGTATGATTGGCAAGTTAATTTTGGGTTAGGCTACATGATCATTTGACCCCCCCCCCTTCCTTGCCCCGAAACCACTCAACACAGCCAAACTAATTATTTGTCACGTGTACAAAAAGTTTAGACCACGGTGGTGAGATGTTACCTTCCTCGCCTGGGATACAGGAGGTCGTGGGTTCGATGCCGACCTTGACGACGTCCTGTATATTTGGAATTCATGTTCTCCCTCGGTCGCGTGGATTTTTCCACAGGTCCTTCGGCTTGTTTCCCTCCACATGTGTTCATATTATTTGGCTGCTATGATTCCCCACATATGACAAGTTGCCACGTGTGGCCAGGGTCGCCTCTGAAAAAGAGTTAATGGAAATAATAGCTATCTGTAACCAGTTTTGACTCGGGGCAGGATAATAACATCAAACAATAGAGATGGGATATTCAGAGCAAAATAATCAAAGGGACATGGGAAGCATGCCGGTGAGGTATAGGAGGCCACACGCCCCAGGCTGATGAGAATTTCATCAAACATTTGCAACCGTGGAGGAATGTTAGTAAGGCTTGACGAGTCAAAAGTCTTGTTTACCTCCTTTCCAAAATGATTAATAAATTGCCCCCTCGGAATGGAGTCGACTTATTGGGTGATTTTAATGTTGGTGGGTGGGAATGAAAACATTGGGCCAGTTATTCACAATACTGTTGAAACAGCAACTGGGCTGTGGTGGCTATGCGCATGGTTTGTGATCCAGCACTGTGGATGTTGTATTAACTCCCTTTCGGCGAGTTTGCCAGGAGAATTCGATACAGCGAAGTGCAGACTAACATTACCTGTCCTTTCTGCATGGGATAGAGTGTTACCCCTGGCATGTGTGTTTTCTCTGGGTGGTCGTGTTTCATTTCACATATGTAAATGCTCATTCATTGTCTAAAACATCTTAGCATATGTGCAACTCCTCGTTCTTTATGCTAAAACTAGAGGGGTAAGCTTTCCATTCAGCATGCGATGCCACGTGATAGTCAAGCCAATTCCCTCTTTTTAAATGAACCAGATCAAGTGATAAATCAAATGTAATGAAGTTGTTTGCGTATATTTATTGGTGAATAGGATGAAAGCATGAATGTTTTACCCTTGGGAACCTGGTTGAACATGGGTAGCTAAAGCCCAAATTCGACATTAATCTACCTTGCATCTGTGCGCAAGCTGATTTCATTGCTTCTTCTCTCCTTGACTGTTAATCCCTCATTATTCTTGACCATCAGCCATCATCATCCCTTCTATCTCCCGACTTGCGTTGACCAATCCCACCTTTTTCTGAATACGGGTTGAATTATGCCATGAACCCGCGGTGGCTGCCGCGGTGGTGAGATGTTATCTCCCTCGCCTGGTGTGCATGGAGGAAGTTGGTTCGATACTGACCCTGACGATGCCTGGATATTTGGACGTTCTCCCTCGGTCGCGTGGTCGCAAGGACATTTCTGCGGGTCCTCCGGTTTTGCCCTCTACATTTAGACACATGCGCTTAGATTCATTGACCGATGTAAATGTCCACACACGATAAGAGCCACACGTGTGGCCAGGTGGCATCTGCAAAAAAGAGTCAATAGCTCAGCGGGGTTTTACTCGGTCAATATAACGAATAGTTATACACAATTAACTCCTCTATGTCCTCTAAATCCACGCGACGTCTTTGTTGTTATAATCTAGATTGTATCTAGATTTGTTGTTCTAATTCTAAGAACGCATCTCCCTCCGCCGCGCTCTTTCCATCAACACGGGCATGCTCTTCCAGCCCCTGCTGGGCGCAGAGGTCACGCCCACCGGTCCAACACGCGCGTCTTCACGCGGCTTCACAGACCCCGTGTGCGCACTCCGCTGCCCATATAAACCCGGGACGGCGAGAAGACGACCACGGCCAGGGGGGAGGAGGGGAGTAGCTCGCGCCGAGTGAAGTCTCGCGAAACGGCATTTGCGCGACCCAAAACTTGCGAGTGAGGCGGCGAGCAGCAGCACCAGCGAGGCAAGGGCAGAGCGAGCGAGCCAGGGAGGGGAGCGAGCCGGGAGGGGAGCGAGCCAGGGAGGGGAGCGAGCCGCGCAAGTCACACGGCAGTAAGTGAGCCATCAAATAAAACCTCACCCTCCTCTCATAACACGTGCGCACACGCATACGTACGCACTTTCACGTGCGTCACATTTGCCTACAAACGCACATACACACACACTCTTGAAAATTTTGCGAATTTCAGAAAGCCAGCAATTTTGTGGTAATCTCCTCGGTAAGAGACGCTGTTTTTGGCTGGCTTAATGTTTTCCTCCGACGTACAGTTTTGGAGATACAGAGCGCAACGGACTCTTGCATTCCCATAGATATAGATGAAGCAATCGCGTAACGGTGGATGGTGTTGCTGCATGAGCCCTGGTGGCCGCCCGAGTTCAATTCCTGGACATGGCAACCAAGAGAGGCACGAAGAATATATTTAGAAGAATGTATTTGGTTTATTTGGACAACGTGATGATACCGTTTAAAAAAAAATCTCGAGGGAGCGACGAAAACAAAAAGCGAATTATTTGGTGCTGCTGCTGCTGCTGCTTCGTTGGCGGTGCCGCACAAGCACAACGAACAGCAATAACAACCTAGCATCATAAGCGGAAGGGTTTGTGTAATGTTTACGTGCAAATATATAAACGGTAAATAACACTGCCTTAAAGTAAAAAACGTAATAAGGGCATTTCGGGAACAGCTGTCCATATCACATTTCAGAGGCAGGTGTGTTCAAAAGGAGCAAATTGCACGCAACATTTCAGTAAATTTCGATTTAAAGCTTTCGTGACTGCAGGGATTCATCTTCTTGGTTCTTTCGGTAAAGTCACGTGACTTTACCGAAAGAACCAAGAAGATGAACATATAAGTACGCCGCAAGTAACAGAAGTAATATAAGTACGCCGCAAGTAACAGCTTCAGAATTGTTAGTCAGTACATCTACCCACGTCTCCTTTTTTCTGGTTTACAGCTAACAACCGCTTCATTTCGAATTGCCGGTTTGAGAGGTTTTACAGCAGTTGTGAGTGTAGCGCAGTATTCAATTGCACTCGCGGTGTCATTTCTTGTTCTTGCACTTGGCCTACGGAATGTTTGGCGGCAGCTCTCCGAGTCACTGCTCAAAGATCTCCGTTGCCACCGCCGCACATCCAGAGCCCATGGAGGGACCCACAGCGCCCACGAACCAGGGCCCTCTGCAGGGAGAGCCGGGCCCCGTGCCACCCCCGCACGTGTACGTGGTGACGGGCGGAGCGGGCTTCCTGGGCGGGTTCTTGACCGCTCAGCTGCTGGAGCTCGGGGAGGAGGTCGCTGAAGTTCGACTCGTAGACTGCGCCTTCAAGGGCGATGAGATTTTGTCCTATCCAGGTACTGCGAGTTCCTGTGCAATGGGCACGGTGTCCGTGTGTGTGTGTGTGCAAGAATGGTGTGTTGTGTGCGTGCACGGTGTTTTGGTGAAGGTCTCATATTTTTGCTGACAATGGTGCGTGACTAATCTTGGATTGATTGCTCTCAAGCTCAACGATCAGCAGAGCGTACTGTTTGTGTAATAATTTTATTCAGATCTCCCCCTCTGAAGTTGTGCTGATTTCTTTCTGAGTCTATGACAGCTGTTTGTAGTCAACCGTGGCGACGACGACTTCTTTTTTCTTGAAAACTTGGTAGATCGACTCTCGAGATGACAATTCCTTATTTTTTTTTTATGAATCTCTCCCGCATGAACACAATGCTTTTTCCTTGTCCATGTTCCAAATCATTCAGAAGCCGAGTCATGTTTTCTCAGTTGCATGCTCTTTGGTCACAAAGTTGCAACGCTTCACATGTGTGGTTACTCCGTACAGATATTCCTGCTGCCCAACAAATACCAGGAGAATATTTCACACTTTTTCCGACAAGTTCATGGTTTTCTGCTGTGTCGTGATTGTCAATGCGTTTTGAGGTTGTTAGCTCACAGCGCACATTGCAGATTGCCAGCACCTCAAGGTACACAAGCTACAAGTGACCTACATACTTGTCTGTGTTTGACGAACAATTCCCTTCAACGTAAGTGCGTGTGGAAGCTGCTTGGCCTGTCAATGCATACGGAGCTCCGAGTGTTCTTGGCAACAGTTATGCCCTCTCCTTTCTATGCTTGCATGCGTGCAGAGGCCGTGCGAGGCAAGATCCGCGTGATCCAGGGCGACATCCGCGATGAGCGTGCGATGCGTGCAGCGTGTCGTGGCGCCCATGTCCTCCTGCACACGGCCTCACTCATCGACGTGTGGGACCGCAACAGCGAGACCGAGATCTTCTCCGTGAACCAGCACGGTGAGATCGGGGGTTACGCTTCTCGAGCTGGCATCTTTATTCGATTAAGTCGATTATCCAACTACGTCATTACAATGTACTATTTTCTTTCGTGGTCAATTAATCAGGGACATTTAAGCATGGTGGCAGCCCTCACATCGTGTCTCCTGAAGGTGGGAAATTCCCTACGAGCCACATCCAGCATGACGTGGTTAATTATTTCTGATAGAATTTAGGGATTTCGATCGGATCATTGGGGGGGGGGGGGGCACGTGCCATTCCACCGCCCCCCCCTCCCCACTGGCTCCGCCAGTGGATAAGGGTCTTAGTGTCAGGTACTGTATACGAATGTGGAATATGTGCAGATGGGATTATGAGGTCCTGCAGAGTTGAGGTGTATATCAGAAGAGAACGAGAGCTCAGGGTCAATGACAGCTCCAAGGTTTTGCACGTTTTTTTTATCAGTGTTTAGGAGGCGCATGTTCAATGTGAATGCATCATATTTTCTGTCGTCAATCGTGACTGCTCTGAGACCAGGATTCTAACTTAGATTCTCAGTGGTGTCAGTTTAGTGCTCTAACCTCTGAGCCACCAAACCACGTGTTAAGAATCCATTAAGGACTACATTCCATGAGACTGAACTTTGATATAGAGTGTATATAGCTGTCTCTCTCTCTGCCCCTCCTGCCCGATGCTCTGACTGCAGGCACGCATGTGCTACTGGAGGCCTGCGTGCACGAGGGAGTGAGCGTCGCCATCTACACCAGCTCCGTCGAGGTGGCCGGGCCCAACGGGCAGGGTGACCCCATCGTCAACGGCGACGAGGAGACCCCCTACAAGCACAACCTCTGTTTCACCTACAGCCGTAGCAAGGCAGAGGCCGAACGTCTCACGCTATCCTACGACGGCGCGGCTCTACCGGGCGGCGGCACCTTGACGACGTGCGCACTGCGCCCCATGTACATCTACGGCGAGCGCTGCCGCTTCTTGCGCTTGCACATAACCAACGGCCTCATCAACGGGCGCGTGCTGCTGCGCGGGTCGCGCGCCAGTGCCCTCGTGAATCCCGTCTACGTGGGCAACGTGGCGCACGCGCACGTGCTGGCGGCACGCCTGGCACTGACGGGCGGCACCGAGGCGGAGCGACGTCGCCCCGGCGGGCGCGTCTACTACGTGTCGGACGACACGCCGCCCGTCAGCTACTCGGACTTCAACTACACGGTGGCGCGCGACCTTGGCTTCGACATTCAGAAGCGGCTGCCGATGCCGTTCGTCGCCCTATACGCCATGGCGGCCCTGCTGGAGCTGCTCCGCTTCTTGTTGCGACCGTTCTACAAGTTCGTTCCGTCAATCAACCGTCAGCTCGTGGTCATGGTCAACACGCACTTCACGTTCAGGCACGAGCGCGCGCGGCGCGAGCTGGGATACGAGCCCCGCTTCTCGTGGGAGGAGGCGCACGCCCGCACCAGCGAGTGGCTTACCAAGGAGGTGCCTTTGATCGAGGCTGAGCTGAAACAAAGCAAGAAATAACGTGCCTTAATTCGAGATTTGAAGCTTTCGTGACTGCAAGGATTCATATTCTTAGGGTTTTTTTTTTCTCGGTAAAGTCACGTAGGTAAAAACATTTAAATTAATAAAAGTACAATAAACAAATTAAAAAATTCACGACGTTTCGGAAGCAACGCAAGCCTCCGTCTTCAGGTGGAACCGTCACAGCCACGACAGCTGTATCAAGTAAATGAGAGATCACCATTATATATACGGGGTAGTATTTCTTGTGATCTCTCATTTACTTGATACAGCTGTCGTGGCTGTGACGGTTCCACCTGAAGACGGATGCTTGTGTTGCTTCCGTTAACGTCGTGAATTTTTTAATTTGTTTTATTTTACTTTTATTAATTTACATTTTTTTACCTACGTGACTTTACCGAGAAAAAAAAAACCTAAGAAAAATAACGTGCCGTCGAAAGAAGATGCAACCCGAGGAGCAAATAGCTATTGTGGCTAGTTACCTAGCCCACTAGAGTGTAGGCTGGTTGGCATGGGCCCCAGTGCAAGGAATAAAATGGAGCTGTCCAATTTTGACCCCATCTTCGAAGCCCTGCCTGCACACTTGATAACTACGCTAGTTATATAGGCTGTGTCGCTAGGTAGTGTAAATGCTTTGTCATTAGGGGTGGAAGAATGTATCGATTCATCAATTCATTTTAATTCTTAAGTCTAATAAATGCATTGAATCGGCCGAGTATGAATTCATATATTTTTTAAAATGTGGGTTTATGTCACCTTTGTTTTCACCATGAGGGGCGCTACCATTCATAACAATGTAAAAATGTGTTTTATTCTTTTCAGGATTCATGATCCTGAATCACATTAATTTGTGGAAACTCCCAGACGATTACAAGTGTGTCTCGCTTAACGAGCGAGATATGTTCCATGAAATTAGCTCGGTAAGCGAAAATCGTTAAACCATCATCGTTTTCCCATTGACTCACGCCCATCTAAAAAGTTGAGCTACATTTCAGCCCCAAAGTTTTCCAATCTTGAACAACTTTTTTAACGTGAGAAATCCAAATTATCACGTGATAATAAATGTAACACGGTACGTGAAAAAAACACAGTGCAAGATCCCCTGTATAGCCTTTACAGACTGTTGGGCCAAGTGCTGTTAGCAAGCACCTGTGAAGACCGGCACATGAGGAGTGCGTGGCCAGCACGACGCCCGATCACCTTTATCTCCCTAGTGGCGATGTTTACACACCGCACCAGGTACTCAATTGAGGCTGAGTCGACCTAGGGGAGGCCCAGGACCGGTTCAGATCATCGTCACTGGTTGTGACCGTGAGCGAGAATCGAACTCGAGTCGCCGGGTTCGTTACACCGCTTGCTAGCTGCTACGCTACCGCTCCCCTCCCGCCACCCACCGATTACAGTGCCACTATGAGGGCCCATTCCCCCACATGGGGCCACGGCACGTGGCAGCTGGTAAACAAACAGCTGCAGGCCACCTTGGGCCCCCTGCCTCCACAGGACGCATATTCGTCGATCGGTCTCCGCTCGATAAGCAAAGATTTAGCTCTTTTTGCAAAAAATTGGGTCAAAATTTAAACGTCTCTTTACGGTGAATTCACGTGTAAAGAACGCTCATTAGCGAGACACGCCGGCAATTGTTCCACTCTTCTCTGTTATTGAGAAGAAAAAAAAACCCATCCAAGTGATTCTCTGGTGCTCCTGTTTAGTCACTGGTGTGTGACTGCATTGATGTCACCAGTGTCATCACGGAAACGGGCCTGAGTCATATTCTTCGGTTCTTTCGATAAAGTCACGTAGGTGAAAATAAAACAAAATAAAAAATCATGGCGTTTCGGGCGCAACGCAAGCGTCCGTCCTCAGGTGTGGACAACCACAGCGACGAAACAATCGCTAAAGTATGTCAAAGAGATGGCTGTGACGATTATATAGTTGAGGGGAGGGGAGGAGCAAGGTACTAAAAGGTTTTCCACGTTATGAAATAAGGATTATATGCTGGGTGAGGAGGAACAAGTGTTCTTCAACACATCTTGTACTATGCTCTGAATGTTATGGAAAACATTCCAGCATGATCTGGCACCAGATCCAAATGGCCAAGGTGGAGAAAAGGGACCTCCATGTAGTCTTCCTCGACCTCGCCAATGCATTTGGCTCTGTGCCCCATGAACTCCTGTGGTCTGCCTTCAGATTTTTCCACATACCGGACACCATCACAACCCTGGTGAAGTCGTACTTTCAGGATCTGCAGTTCTGCTTCACCACCTCAGAGTTCACCACCTCATGGCAATGCCTGAATGTAGGTATAATGGCGGGATGTACCATTTCTCCATTGGCATTCATAATGGCAATGGAGGTTATCATCAGATCCTCAAAATGGGTTGCTGGTGGACAGCGAGTCGACTCTGGTTTTCGCCTCCCTCCACTCAGAGCCTACATGGACGACATTACAACATTGACCACCACTGTCCCATGCACCAGGAGACTGCTCAGAAAACTCGAGGAGAACATCAGCTGGGCCCGTATGAAGATTAAACCATCCAAGTCACGCAGCATCTCGATTGTGAAGGGAGTACTCTGTGACCTGAAATTCTTCATCGGAGATGACCAAATCCCAACAGTGTCTGAGCAGCCGGTAAAAAGCCTTGGAAGGTGGTATGATGCAAGCCTGAAGGACAAAGACCAGGTGCAACAGCGGCGCAAAGACATCAGCAGTAGCCTACAGTCCATCGACAACACCCAGCTACCTGGAAAGTGAAAGGCCTGGTGTCTGCAGTTTGGTCTCCTACCCCGGGTGTTGTGGCCCCTAGCAGTGTATGAGGTTCCAATCTCAACAGTGGAGAAGATGGAAAGAGGAGCCACGAGCTACTTAAAGAAGTGGCTCGGAGTTCCACGATGCCTTACCACCATAGGCCTCTATGGAGATGGTGTCCTCAAGCTGCCCCTCACCAGTCTAACCGAGGAATTTAAGTGTGCAAAAACCAGGCTCCAGATGACACTGAATGAATCTCGAGACCCAGTGGTGAGCAACAACGCGCCGACCTTGGCAACTGGGCGCAAATGGAGGCCAGGAAAAGCAGTCCAGGAGGCAACAGCAGCCCTCAGACATGCTGACATTGTGGGTCATGTTCAGCAAGGGAGAGGAGGCCTTGGGCTAACTAGCCGTGCTGCTTGGAGTAAGGCCACTGCACCAGAGCGGCGGAAGATGGTAGTGCAGGAAGTACGCCATCAGGAGGAGGCTGCAAGGTGGGCTAAGGCAGTCTCTCTTGCCAAACAAGGACAGTGGACTCGATGGGACAGTGTGGAGAAGAGGAAGATCAGCTGGAAGGATCTGTGGGCCATGGAAGCGAGGTGGTTGAGCTTTTCCATCAGAGCAACATATGACATCCTTCCAACACCAGTTAATCTTCACCAATGGTATGGTGAAGATCCGGACTGTGCCCTTTGTTCCATGCCAGCAAACCTCAGGCACATTCTCACAGGGTGTAAAACAAGCCTCACCCAAGGACGCTACACTTGGCGTCACAACCAAGTCCTTAAAAACCTTGCTTCCACCCTGGAGGACAAGCGAGCTGCCACCAACTCCCTACCACCCCCAGCAGCATCACACCCCTTACGGACGACCTTTGTCCGCGAAGGGGCTAAACCACCGAAGAGCGGCTCTACACCAATAGAGCGAGACCAGCTGCGCTTGGCCCGCGACTGGAAAATGCTAGCTGACATTGACCGGCAACTTGTGTTTCCTCCGGAGATCGCAACCACCACCCTAAGACCTGACATGGTGCTCTGGTCCCGTTCGCTCAAGAAGGTCTTCATCATTGAGCTCACAGTACCCTGGGAGGACTCAGTAGATGAGGCTTATGAGCGAAAACATCTGCGCTATGCCGATCTAGCTGCCGAAGCACGGCATCATGGCTGGAACACAGAAGTCCGACCAGTGGAGGTGGGCTGCAGAGGTTTTGTGGCAACATCTACAACCAGACTGCTTAGAGACCTGGGAATTAAGGGCCAGAGCCAGCGTTCGGCAATCAAAGCTGTATCGGAGGCGGCAGAAGGCAGCAGTCAGTGGCTCTGGATGAAGAGGAAAGACCCCAGCTGGGCCCCAAAGTGAGAGGGCCAGGAGGAATGCAGTCAACAATGCTTGACTCAGGTAGGAGGACGCCCCTGCCATGCATAGTCCCATGGGATGTTGGCTACCAACAACAAGGCAACTCCTATGACTAATTGGGAATGGGACGCAAGCGTAGGATTGATCACCCTGTCGCTGGCCGCCTTTGGGGAGGGTGTATAGTATGAAAGGCCGAAACACCCTAGGAACCAAAGGGTCACTACTGACGATGCGCTCCCCAAATTTCACCAGGCTCACTGTTCATGAACTCTTGGAAGTGCTTGCACAAAGGATAGTAACATCTCATCCTGTGTTCTTTGGAATCTGGGTGAGGAGGAACAAGTGTTCTTCAACACATATTGTACTATGCTCTGAATGTTATGGAAAAAAAATTCATTTAAGGTGGTGTTTTTAACGAATGTGTTGAGTTGTTTTTGTTATCGTGCTTTTTCACCACTGCCAACGCAGCATCACTAAATTACTTGCTTAATTATGTAACAAATGGGTCAGAAATGTTTCAGTGGTGGCTCAAGCTGGAATTGAACTAATGGCCAAGTGGTAACTGGCTTCGTGGAGGGCCCACTGTGTTCTCTGATCTTGCTAGAATGTGATTCAAATCAAATGTTGTACCGATTTTACCAATTCGTGAGCATGTATGTACCATAGTCCATTGTGGGATTGTATCGTGTCTACAAATGTACACACATAAATATTTTCCCCAATACAGCCTTAAATTGTTTTTAAAAAGTTGTCTTGTAGAGTCACTTGCTAAGGTTCATATAGAAAACCAAACTTTCCAAGTATAGGGCATAGCAAAATGTAATCTTGTGATTAACCAGTTAAACATTAGACGTCGTTTAAAGCCATACATAATCAAGTTCACTGCAGCACACCGCAATGCCTCTCTGCTCGTACAGCCAGTGGCGCAACGTGGCTGACAAGGGTACTGGTGCCCCACTCGAACAAATGTCCCTCTCATTTGCAGCCCGGCGTCTGAGCTCCTCCTCCACGTGGTCCCCGGTGCAGTCTCACTGCTTGCCCACTCCTTAGCCATGCCACTTTGTATTGCAGCTTATTGCCGTCATTCTGCACCCCATCAACGGTTTGAAACAACACTTCCATTCAAGAAAACAACGACTTGTGATCACTGTCGTATGTGTATCGGCCTCTGTATCTCTCCCTTTGTCATTGTATACCTCTCCGTTTTTGCCTCCATGTGCCATTTTATTTGAATCTGTGTCTATCTCTGTATCTGTCTGTCTCTATGCACCCGTGTGTGTATCTGTCTCTCTGGAGACTCATACTGGTTGAATGTGCATACCCGCAACAAATACAGGTCCCCCCGTGCAGGTATTAAGACAGCTGTGGCAAGTAATGTTAGCGAACACATATCAAGTCCGGCATGGGGGCGAGGTGATATAAAGCGGAGCGCCAGGTGGCTAAAACGTAGCGAGGTGGTAGTGTAGAGCCAGTCATCTCAGTCAACCCAGAGCCGGCCCAGCCACTAAGCGACCCTTGCAATTGCAAAGGGCCCCGTGGCCAGCAGAGGGCCCCATTGAGTCACTGCGAGCTAGTGGGTGAAAAAAATCATACATCAAAGGGGCCTCCAACCAAATTTTGCTTAGGGCCCCCAAAGGTCTAGGGCCGGCTCTGAGTCAACCCATGGCACCTCGATCTGTTCCGTGATTCTCTTGCCAGCGATCCTTCGACATTTCAAGTGGCTTCAAGCTGCACCCGGCTTGGCACATGCGCCGTGGTGCCGCTAGTCCGCCACTGAGTGGCGAACGGCGTTTGCACGTTGGTGCGTGAGCGCACGTGCTGGACACCCATCCCCTCGTGTCGGCCTTCGTAGGTGCTCGCTAACAGTGCTGCACTGGCCCAAGCAGTCTGTCTCGGCGACAAGGGAGAAGAGGAGATCTTTGTCTCGTGAGTGTCGGACGCAGTGGCGCAATGGGTTGCGCAACATTCGACGAACCTCGCGGGTTCCCGGCCATGCCCTGGGTTAACCAACCGCTCAATGTGGTTTTAGAACCGGGTCAGGGTCTCCCTTGGGTCTACTCGGCCCTAAATAAGTAGCTGTAGCGGGCTGTAGACATCAGCAATGGGGAGACAAAATGAGCTGGAGCCACGCCGTTCCCCCGTGTCACGCTGACATCGATAGGTTCCACATCGCCGTCTGCTGTTTGGGGATGGAATGACACGTGTCGGAACTGATTTCACCAAGAGGCAAGGAAGCATTGCACTGAGATGGAGGACATTTTTCATCTGGATCATTTACTGCAATTATATCTAGGTTTGCTTTAAGAATAATGTAACCCGGATTTTGACAGCGCATTCAGATGTTTGTAAAATTCGTTAAAGATTGCAAGTGATCGATGCACATCACAATGGCCATGCAAAATGTGATGATGGTAACAACTCATTACGCGCTACTATGAGTTAAAACAATCTTGGATGAAAAACTACAGATACGATCTTAAAAGCAAACATATTGCAAAATTCCTATGTTGGTGAATCTTAATTTTGATCTGAAATTTTTTTTTAACTTGGCAGACGATGTATCCATCACCACCCCTGGACAAAATCACAGCAGCGATGAGTTTCCCTTTGGTAGCATCTAGCACGGGTTTCATTTCATTCACCTCTACACAGACACACATTTTTACAAATCTAACCCTGTAACGATTCTACCAGGGCACCTCTTTACTCGTCACAAGTCAGGTCATGATTCGATTTAATAAAAGTCGAAAGCAGGAATACATTCGCTCTGTTCATCTGTCCCGTAGCTCAGGATCACGATAACGAACACAATTTGTAGTATGAAGTTGTGTTGCTATTAGGGATTTAACATAGAGAAAACGAGTTAAATTGTACAATTGTTTTGTCACATCACCATGCGATGTCATTGCATTGCGTGGCTATAAATGTGGTGCAGCACGCGAAACATTACAACATGGGTCCAGACTCGCACACAACACAAACGCACACGCACAAAATGATGTTTTTTGTTGAGATAAAATGTGATAAAGAAAAATAAACGATACACACAAGTAAACATTTACTATGTAGTTGCCAAAGCCTTTATATTTTGAAATGTTAACTTTCAATGTTATGCTTGAAAAGTTAAAAGCTATGAGAGCCCAATAAAAATAGGGAGGGCTTATTTGCACAGCAGACCTGAGCTCAGATAATAAATGGGACGATGTACACCAAGGTAAAAGTTAAGGTTATATTTGCAGTATTTTTAATGGAAACAGCTGTTTTTTGATTGCACGTAAGCATAAAATATATGTCTGAAACAATTACCAATGAGGGATTTTTATAGAATATTATGATTTTGTAAGTTTGCTTGGGCCTGACCCTATCCTTACCACTAACGTTAACATTGGCCGTATTAGTCTTTTGAGAATTTGCTCTACAATAACTCAAAACTTAATTCTAACTCCAACACAAACCCAATCCTAAACCATAACTTTCCCCAACCTGAATGTTGACACGAATACTCATCGTTTCCCTGGCACTAACACTAGCTCTAGCTCTAACTCTAACACTAGCTCTAACTCTAACACTAGCTCTAGCTCTAACACTAACTCTAACACTAGCTCTAACTCTAATCATTTCACGAGAACACTACTCCAATCACGAACACTGCTTAGAGTCACTGATTCCACCACTGTATCATGATATTCATAGTCCTTCCACAATCCATAACTCTAACACTTTGTCTAACAATAATCTTATCCCTATCTGTACCACACACCCTGTCTCTAGCATTAACCCTCCCACTATCTCTAACACTAATCATATCTCTAACCCCAGCACAAATATTGTCACTAACATGAACCCTATAGAATTAAATGAATCTCTCACTCTCTCCCTAGAATGAACGATCTCTCTAACCTTAGCTCAATTGTTATCACTAACAATAACCCTATTCCAAACATGAATACCTGACCCGAAACAGTAACCATATCCCTAACCCCAACACCAACACTACCTCCATCACTACAGTCAGGCTAACCATATAATTATCACTAACCACAGAACTACCTTAACTAGTCTCCAAATCACACCCTAAGGATGCACTGGTTCATTTATTAAGATACATTTTTGCACCAACAACACATGCATCAAATTGTGCATCTGGGAATCAATTAAATTGATTCTTATGACCCCTGTAGCTACTAGAGGGTGCTACATTTGCACAATATGTTAAAAAGAAAATGAATCGTTACAATTCTTTGACTCAAGAGGCCACATTGTCCATTGTCACATGCCCACAAACGAGTCGTGGCCGTGTGTTTAGACTTTGCCAGCTTGTTTCCGATGTGAGGACTTGTCCACGAAGCCACGCGATCTCTTCCAGGACACAGTGTGCCCTGGGCGTTTCTGTGGGTAGGAACAGGGTTAGGATGGTGTCGGGGGCAGAGAGAATGTTAGTGAATGTGAATGTCAAACCAGAGCACGGGTGTAACGTAAACTCCACATAAATCGGAAAAGGCCTAGGCATTGGTGATGGAGGTGAATATTCATGTGTTGTTGTCTGCCTATTGGGCCCTCAGAAGGAAAATAATCCCTAACCCTGGAAGTGACGCCGGCACTCACCCAGTGCAAGGGCTTGTGGGTAAGGCGACGGTAGAGCTCGAGGCCCGAGGGGGCACCGGGGCCGAAATTCACGAGGGCATGGCGCCGGCGCGACGGTCTCTGGCCTGGGGAAAGAGAATCGACAATATCAGCCCTCTGCCACTCACCTTAACCCAAAGGATGTGGGTCATGGTTCCCAGCCTTGATCATGAGGGGCTGTTGGCTTGCGAGGTGGTCAGGAGATGACAGCAATTCATTTTGCTTTGTTTGTCTGTGCTTTGAATCTATGTGTGCCTCACCCAGCACTCCGTCAATAACGTGTATGACACCGTTTGTGGCCATCAGGTCGGCCTCGATCACCGTCTGCTTTTCGTTAATGGACATCACTCCACCTTTCTGCAAAAAGGGGGTACAACGTGGGGAAGACGGTCGCGTTAGTGGGACCATCAATACCATAGAGGCTACCCTCTCAACATATCAGCATCATCACAACTACCACCATTACCACCAGCTGCATCAGTATCTATTGCATGTCCCATCATCAGCATGGTTTGAATCACCATCACCACTACCGTCAACGTGGTCACTGTCATTACCACTATTGTTAATATCTTCTTGGTTTTTTCGGTAAAGTCACGTAGAAGGAAAATAATAAAATAATAAAAATTAAACGTAATAAAATAATTCTCACGACGTTTCGGCCACAACGCAAGCATCCGTCTTCAGGTGGAGAACAGTTCTGTCGAGACGACAGAGTCTGAATGGCACGCCCCAGGCTAATATCATCACAATCACCACATCATCATTGTGGCAATTTAACAAGATGGATTAGGAGGGAAAATGCCACACAAAAGAACAAAAAACTCAACACACCCATTAATAACAATGGCCTTATGAGAAATATATAGATAATTAGCGACGTTTCAGGCAATTACCCTTTTTCATAGTATATTAATAGAGAGGCCAGAGAGATAGCGTTCATAAGAGTTGGAGATCGTAATTTACACCATGGGGCTTCATGAGAATTACATGAAACAAATTCTGATGACCAGTTTTTAAATCGGCAAGTTAATAGTTACCTAATAGTAGCTATTTATTGGGCACAAAGGAACAGCAATACTCCCCTCCCCCGTTTGCCCCCCATTCAGATGCAGCTGGGGGGCACTCAATTTGAGGTGAAGTGATCACGGCCAATACCAATGATGGTACAAACATTGCCATTACTTCCAACCTTCTGCAAGATCCTGAACAGTTCATCCCGGCCCTCCAACATCTGCTCTGACAGTCCTATTCCGCAAGTGGAATTTTCATTTGCGTTATATAATTACATGGGTCTCTATGCAAGTTTGTGGGTCTCTATGATATGTCTCAATGTAAGTCATTGGTGACAAGGCTGAGGATCATCTTACTTGAGAACCCGGTTTAATCAGAGGCGGCCTGACTTGATCTCATGGTCTCAGTGGTAATGGCTCAGCCCTCACCATAATATCTTGAGAGATGTGCGTTTCAGTGCTCAGTGAGATTTCCTGAGTGATGTGAATCTCTTAGACGTGTAAATCTCAGCGATTAGTGAGGTTTCCTGAGAGATGTAAATGTCAGCGATTAGTGATGTTTATTGCGATGTGAATCTCTGAGAGACGTGAATTGGGCCCCCTAAACCCAGCGATGGAGGTACGCGCACGGAGGTGGGAGGCGGCACCTGCATGACGTCGATGGTTACGCCGCTGAGCGCCATCACCAGGTTGGTCCCGATGGGGATGAGGCCCCCTCTCACGAGGATCCCCGAGCTGACGTGGCTCAAGAGCAACTCCTGTAGCTCCCTCGAGTTCCCTACGCCGCACACATACTCACAGAGTTCGACTCCTGCTGAAGCTTTGACACTGTTATTGTTTCAGATGGGCCCTTAGTGCAGATTAAATGTACATCCTTTACGTCCCATGCACTGATGGGCCATATCCCTCCATGCTGTGTAGGTCGTGGCGGTTATTTTACTTAACTTCACAAAGCTGGTCAGTGCAGATTGGTGGAGGGAAGCATATACGTGGAAGCATAGATGTACAGTAGCACACTGTATGTTGCTGTGCTGCCCACAGCGTAGCCATGTGGTAGCCTATAGCACCTGTTTATTGACTGTGGTTACCAGAGGTGTGGACTCGAGTCATGTGACTTGGACTCGAGTAAGACTCGAGTCATGAATTTGATGACTTCAGACTCGACTTGGACTTGCATAACAATGACTTTGTCCCACCTCTGAGGTGTGGACTCGAGTCATGTGACTTGGACTCGAGTCAGACTCGAGTCATGAATTTGATGACTTCAGACTCGACTTGGACTTGCATAACAATGACTTTGTCCCACCTCTGGTGGTTACCCATCCAAGCACTATCCAGGTTCAAACCCGCTTAGCTTCTGATATCTGGCTGATTTGATCACAGTCGAAAAATCTAAACGAATTAAATAAACCATAACATTCGATTGAAAGTAATTATTGACCGTTTTTGTTATAATAATTACCTGTATTTGTCTTTAATTGTATTTAATTGGTGATCATTAGGCGTGTAACAATTCACAGATTCATGGATGAAAATCAATTCTGATGTTCACGATACATGCATGAGATCGTGAGCATTAAAATAAACGATCGTCCTAAAAAGTTGTATGTAAAGAATTGCGAATCGCACCCGAGAGGACGATCACTGCAGAGACGGAGTGATGATATAAGTTCACGTGCGGGAGCGAGATGGACTGTGGAATTGAAAGGCTATGGGTGCGTTGGGGGGGGGGGTGGAAATGGCGTGGGAGGTCTTCATCCAAGAGTGATTAGATAATGGATAATGATGATGCAAGTTTAATTCTTGGCAATTTACGAACGTTCATTACAAAGCAATGAATCATCGATAATTAGTGCATGCTTATAGATAGTTACTATAATGGGCAGGGGATGATTCCAACTTTCTCTCCATACAGTTTGTCTTCGAAATAGCGTGAGGAAATATACCGTATTTTTGGGGAGGTCCCAGAAAACTTTTAAAGAAAAAAAAACATCGCAATTCTGAGGGTCAAGAACTGGACAGTGTGCGAAGCAGAACTGATTTCACGTCAGCTGCACCTCCTCAAAGTCTACACCACGCAGTGAACATCATGCGCATCTGTACAGCATATAAGTGAAAGTTGCTTTATACCTTAGGATGCAACACTATTTGTGTTTTAATATAAAACGAATTTCTGAGAACTCAAACACGAAAGTTCAAGTTGTAAATGGGCAACAACAAAAAATGCCGCCATGGATATAATGGGGTGTTGTAAATTTAATTGATGTGCCAGGGGCACCCAAACCTGAATTAGCACCGCATATCAAAGACATGCTACGCATGGTTTTATACTCCACTCTTTACCGACACCGAACCCAAAATCAATTCACGATTGGAGGAATGTGTATTTTGTGAAAGAGAAATCAGCGCCACGCGGCAGCGCTGGAACATACGGCTGAGGCGGGCAAGCTCAGCGACGGGGAGGGTCCCGAAGGCCTCGTTCGTCGGAGCGAAGATCGTGAGGTCGACTGGCATTGACAGCTTCTCCGCGAACCCCGCCGTGCGCAGCAGCGACGCCAGCGTCCTGCGAGGGATCGGCACGGGCATGAGGCATGCAGGTCAGCGAGCGGACCCCACGTCGGTGGCCTCCTCCACTCGTCTCATCGCGACGTGTGGCTTGCCGAGTTCAGGTATAAATTGTCATTTGATGAGCATTTATTACTGGTGGGAACCTCCTGGTTACACCAGCCCACAGGGGATGATTGCGTCCGTCGTGCAGGGAGGGGCTGGGTGGGGAGGGTGGGGAGGGGCTGGGTGGGGCTGGGTGGGGGGTGGGAGGGATGGGGCTGGGTGGGGAGGGGCTGGTCACCCCGTGGTGCCCTTATAAAACTCAACGTTTAACCTACTCACGCCGGCTTGTGCCCGCCCTCACAGTTGGGCATATTTGTGGAATACACCACGCCGCCGTTGACCCTGGCCATTGACTGAGCAAACCAACGTTTCTACCAGCTCCCTCCGCAGGAAGGTGTTTTAATATTGGGTTGTGTTGCTACGAATTGTTAGGCTTGTAACAAGTCACTAACCCACTGATTAGATTACACCAGCTTTGGGATTACAATTTGATTCAAGAATCAATTATGTGTTTGTCTCGTATTTACCGCACACGCATACTCACGCACCATACACGTGTAGTGACATAAGAAGGGAGGGGCTGCTGTAGGCTCTGGGTTCCCAGGTGGGTCCAGACGCGTAATCCCCTGGGCGCCAGGCGCTGGGTTCCCAGGGGGTCCAGACGCTTAAGCCTCTGGGCGCCGCCAACGGGGGGGGCTGTGTGTGCTCTGTGGGATGTCTGGTGGCGCACACGGCCCCACCCCTCGTTGGGGACTGGGCATATAAGCGGAGCTCCCTGGACGATCGGGGCGAGTTGTAACTCAAGACCCAAGACCCACGACCAGCCATCTGAAGACCCTGGGATGCTGTGAGAGCCAGCGCTGGGACTCTGGAACTCCCGACTCTACGACCTTGTGAGGGCGAGTTCCGGAGCGTAGCCAGAGTAGAGTATCTAGGCTGTGTAGCTAGGCTGTGTACCTAGGCTGTAACAGAGTATCAGGACTGTTGGAGAGTTGGAGTACTGTTGGAGTGTTGTATTGTAATAAAGAAGTACATCTACAAGTGTCTCCGGAACCCGTTACATTTGGTGTTAGAAGTGGCTATGGAGACAAGAAGTAAGCCACGTACCTTCAGTCCTGACGGCGATGAAGAGGAGCAGGCAGCGATGGGGCGGCCAACGCCAGCCGACAGCGACGCTGCACCGCCGGCCGACAACAACGCCGCACCGCCGGCTAAGCAGCTGTCTGCTCCGCCGACCGTCCCCTTTCCAGCGTCGGGAGCAGAGATGGAGGAGGCGCTGCTTCGCCTCGCAGAGCTGCTCTGCGCCACCGCCTCCCTCCGGGGCGAGCTGCGGTGCTCGCGGCCGATGGCGGGAGGGAGAGAGGAGGCGCGGCGCTCGCCCGAGCCCGCCGCCGCCATTCCCCCCACGGATGTGAGGGATACTTCCGGGTGTGTCGTCACTTCCACCAGAGGAGCAGTGACCGCTGGGAGCGACGTCACTTCCGGGCCCAGCGTGTGCCAACCCGACGACGCCGCGTCATCAGCGCTGCGTCCCTCACCGCCGGGTGACAGCTGTTGGCAACCTAGCATACCGCGTCATCAGCGCTGCGACCGGACAGTGAGGGCGCCATTCTTACTGTAACCAGCGCCGGGGCCGGCACATGGACCGACTCGCTGCTCGCCGCCTTTGCTGCTCTGGCCAAAGGTTGGAGGTCGGGAGACCAGGCCCCTGACATTTCGTACATTTACGCGCTCCGGATTAATGATTTTTTTTTTGTTGATATTTTCTTCGTTGTCGTCGGGGAGTCGTGACTGTTGTTGGGTAAACTGTGTGGAGCTTCGCTCGTGAGTGTTGTCAATGTGTGTGCGAAACTTTGCTTGTGATTGTTAACAATGTATGGTTTATATTGAGCTTTGTTCGTGATTGTTAATGTATAGCTTGTGCTGTCATTGTTAACGATGTATATACTGTATGGGGCATTTATCTTGAGATGGTGACATGCTGCCAAGGATTGGAATTGTCATGCTATGGCTGACGGCTTGACCTGACAGCCCGGAGATAGAGACACTCCGTGGCATGTCTAGCCTAGTGGGCTGTGTGCTCACATGGCTCGGAGAGTGTGGTCCCGTCATGCTATGGCTGACGGCTTGACCTGACAGCCCGGAGATTGAAACACTCCGTGGCATGTCTAGCCTAGTGGGCTGCACGCTCACAGGGCTCGGAGAGTGTGGTCCCGTCATAGAATAGCTGACGGTTTGACCTGACGGCCCGGAGGTTGAGACCCTCCGTGGTACGTCTGGAGCTGTAGGCTCGCCCTGACAGCCCGGAGATTGAAACACTCCGAGGCGCGTTGAAACAGTGGGCTGGAGATTCGTGGTGTTCAGGTGTAGTTGTCCCGTTACGTTGGGACTGTATCCCTCAGTTGTTAGGGTGCATGTTGTGCAGGGAGTGAACAATGGGTCGTCTCAGATCGGTCGGTACAGCTATATGCTGCGATGCGAGTCTTGGAGAGAGGTTGGGTCTCAGATCGGTCGGTACAGCTATATGCTGCGATGCAAGTCTTGGAGAGAGGTTGGGTCTCAGATCGGTCGGTACAGCTATACGCTGCGATGCGAGTCTTGGAGAGAGGTTGGGTCTCAGATCGGTCGGTACAGCTATATGCTGCGATGCGAGTCTTGGAGAGAGGTTGGGTCTCAGATCGGTCGGTACAGCTATACGCTGCGATGCGAGTCTTGGAGAGAGATTGGGTCTCAGATCGGTCGGTACAGCTATATGCTGCGATGCGAGTCTTGGAGAGAGATTGGGTCTCAGATCGGTCGGTACAGCTATATGCTGCGATGCGAGTCTTGGAGAGAGACTGGGTTGAAGTCCCCCCCGATATGGCCGACGTGCGCGGTTTTAGGATGGAGACGCCACGTTGGAAAGGCGGGGTGTGCAAACGGTTGACATGTAATGTCGGTGGTGGTCCTCATTGAGGGCTGCTGGGACACAAGCATGGGATGCCTTGGAGATGCGGTTCGCGCGTGCGGCCACCATTTATGGACAGGAGCAGGCAGATTTATTTTGGTTGTGTCATGTAAATTTTATATATATATTTAAAAATGTAGATACTGGAGCAGCCCTGAAGTGCGACTTCTTTGCCCAGTACATGGGTCGGCCCTGAAGTACGACTTCTCGACCCGGGACGTAGACAGACGTCCAGATAAGTGTGTGTAGAGGGATGCTCGACATGTTGGTCTTCGCCTTCTCTCCACCTGACTGATGGGAGGCTGGCAGAGTGGTGTGGATCCCTGCCATCCATGCGGTGGTTGTGTGATTTCGGTTCGATTACCGGTGTTGGTTGTGCATCCAACGCGTCGGAATCTGTATATTTGTTGTTGTTAATTCCCCGTTTTCTATGCGAATCCCGAGGAGGGCTAGGTGTGCCGCGGGTCGTTTGTTCACGTGTTATTGCTTCACCTTTTTGTTGATTGATGCTTGTATATAGTGTAGAGTTGTACAGGTTGGTTATGGTATTTATGGTTGCTTTCTTGTTCTCTTTTCTTTTCCTGTTGAAGCTCGCGTATTTTTTTTCTTCTCTCTCTCCCTTTCGTTAATTTAAACTTTCTAATTATTGACAGCCGGGACGGCTGGAGGCTACATAGAGGGGGGTAATGTAGTGACATAAGAAGGGAGGGGCTGCTGTAGGCTCTGGGTTCCCAGGTGGGTCCAGACGCGTAATCCCCTGGGCGCCAGGCGCTGGGTTCCCAGGGGGTCCAGACGCTTAAGCCTCTGGGCGCCGCCAACGGGGGGGGCTGTGTGTGCTCTGTGGGATGTCTGGTGGCGCACACGGCCCCACCCCTCGTTGGGGACTGGGCATATAAGCGGAGCTCCCTGGACGATCGGGGCGAGTTGTAACTCAAGACCCAAGACCCACGACCAGCCATCTGAAGACCCTGGGATGCTGTGAGAGCCAGCGCTGGGACTCTGGAACTCCCGACTCTACGACCTTGTGAGGGCGAGTTCCAGAGCGTAGCCAGAGTAGAGTATCTAGGCTGTGTAGCTAGGCTGTGTACCTAGGCTGTAACAGAGTATCAGGACTGTTGGAGAGTTGGAGTACTGTTGGAGTGTTGTATTGTAATAAAGAAGTACATCTACAAGTGTCTCCGGAACCCGTTACATTTGGTGTTAGAAGTGGCTATGGAGACAAGAAGTAAGCCACGTACCTTCAGTCCTGACGGCGATGAAGAGGAGCAGGCAGCGATGGGGCGGCCAACGCCAGCCGACAGCGACGCTGCACCGCCGGCCGACAACAACGCCGCACCGCCGGCTAAGCAGCTGTCTGCTCCGCCGACCGTCCCCTTTCCAGCGTCGGGAGCAGAGATGGAGGAGGCGCTGCTTCGCCTCGCAGAGCTGCTCTGCGCCACCGCCTCCCTCCGGGGCGAGCTGCGGTGCTCGCGGCCGATGGCGGGAGGGAGAGAGGAGGCGCGGCGCTCGCCCGAGCCCGCCGCCGCCATTCCCCCCACGGATGTGAGGGATACTTCCGGGTGTGTCGTCACTTCCACCAGAGGAGCAGTGACCGCTGGGAGCGACGTCACTTCCGGGCCCAGCGTGTGCCAACCCGACGACGCCGCGTCATCAGCGCTGCGTCCCTCACCGCCGGGTGACAGCTGTTGGCAACCTAGCATACCGCGTCATCAGCGCTGCGACCGGACAGTGAGGGCGCCATTCTTACTGTAACCAGCGCCGGGGCCGGCACATGGACCGACTCGCTGCTCGCCGCCTTTGCTGCTCTGGCCAAAGGTTGGAGGTCGGGAGACCAGGCCCCTGACATTTCGTACATTTACGCGCTCCGGATTAATGATTTTTTTTTTGTTGATATTTTCTTCGTTGTCGTCGGGGAGTCGTGACTGTTGTTGGGTAAACTGTGTGGAGCTTCGCTCGTGAGTGTTGTCAATGTGTGTGCGAAACTTTGCTTGTGATTGTTAACAATGTATGGTTTATATTGAGCTTTGTTCGTGATTGTTAATGTATAGCTTGTGCTGTCATTGTTAACGATGTATATACTGTATGGGGCATTTATCTTGAGATGGTGACATGCTGCCAAGGATTGGAATTGTCATGCTATGGCTGACGGCTTGACCTGACAGCCCGGAGATAGAGACACTCCGTGGCATGTCTAGCCTAGTGGGCTGTGTGCTCACATGGCTCGGAGAGTGTGGTCCCGTCATGCTATGGCTGACGGCTTGACCTGACAGCCCGGAGATTGAAACACTCCGTGGCATGTCTAGCCTAGTGGGCTGCACGCTCACAGGGCTCGGAGAGTGTGGTCCCGTCATAGAATAGCTGACGGTTTGACCTGACGGCCCGGAGGTTGAGACCCTCCGTGGTACGTCTGGAGCTGTAGGCTCGCCCTGACAGCCCGGAGATTGAAACACTCCGAGGCGCGTTGAAACAGTGGGCTGGAGATTCGTGGTGTTCAGGTGTAGTTGTCCCGTTACGTTGGGACTGTATCCCTCAGTTGTTAGGGTGCATGTTGTGCAGGGAGTGAACAATGGGTCGTCTCAGATCGGTCGGTACAGCTATATGCTGCGATGCGAGTCTTGGAGAGAGGTTGGGTCTCAGATCGGTCGGTACAGCTATATGCTGCGATGCAAGTCTTGGAGAGAGGTTGGGTCTCAGATCGGTCGGTACAGCTATACGCTGCGATGCGAGTCTTGGAGAGAGGTTGGGTCTCAGATCGGTCGGTACAGCTATATGCTGCGATGCGAGTCTTGGAGAGAGGTTGGGTCTCAGATCGGTCGGTACAGCTATACGCTGCGATGCGAGTCTTGGAGAGAGATTGGGTCTCAGATCGGTCGGTACAGCTATATGCTGCGATGCGAGTCTTGGAGAGAGATTGGGTCTCAGATCGGTCGGTACAGCTATATGCTGCGATGCGAGTCTTGGAGAGAGACTGGGTTGAAGTCCCCCCCGATATGGCCGACGTGCGCGGTTTTAGGATGGAGACGCCACGTTGGAAAGGCGGGGTGTGCAAACGGTTGACATGTAATGTCGGTGGTGGTCCTCATTGAGGGCTGCTGGGACACAAGCATGGGATGCCTTGGAGATGCGGTTCGCGCGTGCGGCCACCATTTATGGACAGGAGCAGGCAGATTTATTTTGGTTGTGTCATGTAAATTTTATATATATATTTAAAAATGTAGATACTGGAGCAGCCCTGAAGTGCGACTTCTTTGCCCAGTACATGGGTCGGCCCTGAAGTACGACTTCTCGACCCGGGACGTAGACAGACGTCCAGATAAGTGTGTGTAGAGGGATGCTCGACATGTTGGTCTTCGCCTTCTCTCCACCTGACTGATGGGAGGCTGGCAGAGTGGTGTGGATCCCTGCCATCCATGCGGTGGTTGTGTGATTTCGGTTCGATTACCGGTGTTGGTTGTGCATCCAACGCGTCGGAATCTGTATATTTGTTGTTGTTAATTCCCCGTTTTCTATGCGAATCCCGAGGAGGGCTAGGTGTGCCGCGGGTCGTTTGTTCACGTGTTATTGCTTCACCTTTTTGTTGATTGATGCTTGTATATAGTGTAGAGTTGTACAGGTTGGTTATGGTATTTATGGTTGCTTTCTTGTTCTCTTTTCTTTTCCTGTTGAAGCTCGCGTATTTTTTTTCTTCTCTCTCTCCCTTTCGTTAATTTAAACTTTCTAATTATTGACAGCCGGGACGGCTGGAGGCTACATAGAGGGGGGTAATGTAGTGACATAAGAAGGGAGGGGCTGCTGTAGGCTCTGGGTTCCCAGGTGGGTCCAGACGCGTAATCCCCTGGGCGCCAGGCGCTGGGTTCCCAGGGGGTCCAGACGCTTAAGCCTCTGGGCGCCGCCAACGGGGGGGGCTGTGTGTGCTCTGTGGGATGTCTGGTGGCGCACACGGCCCCACCCCTCGTTGGGGACTGGGCATATAAGCGGAGCTCCCTGGACGATCGGGGCGAGTTGTAACTCAAGACCCAAGACCCACGACCAGCCATCTGAAGACCCTGGGATGCTGTGAGAGCCAGCGCTGGGACTCTGGAACTCCCGACTCTACGACCTTGTGAGGGCGAGTTCCGGAGCGTAGCCAGAGTAGAGTATCTAGGCTGTGTAGCTAGGCTGTGTACCTAGGCTGTAACAGAGTATCAGGACTGTTGGAGAGTTGGAGTACTGTTGGAGTGTTGTATTGTAATAAAGAAGTACATCTACAAGTGTCTCCGGAACCCGTTACACACGCACGCCGATACACACTCAAAAACACTCGCTCGTGCATATAGAGATCCCCTGCATAGCCTTAATAGCCTGTTGGGGCAAATGCTGTTAGCAAGCACCTATGAAGGGCGGCACGGCACATGAGGAGGAGGGTGGCCAGCACCACACCCGACCGCCTTTGTCTCCCCAGTGGTAATGTTTACACATCGCGCTAGGTACTCATTTGAGGCTCAGTCGACCTAGAGAAGGCCCAGGACCAGTTTAAATAATTGTCACTGGTGTTGGCAGTCAGCAGGAATTGAACTTCGACCGCTGGGTTCGTAGCGCAGCGCTAACTGCTCCACTACCGCTCCCCACACTCACCCATACACACATGCCAACACACACTCACCTATATAGACTTCCTCGCCCATCTACTCACGTGAATCGAGTGTCTGCTTCCAGCATGTTCATTAAGGTGCTGCGGGGAGGGGGGGGCAGGGGTTTGTCGAGGACGAAGACAGCCCCATTGCGCGCCGTCCTGTCCTTGGTGTCCACACACGAGCTCTCGATGCACAGAGCCTGCGGTGAGACCAACATGGACGGGAGAGTTCTAGTTCAGAAAGATTGTCCCAGTGTTCCAAAAAATTTATAAACTTTGGGATTTTTATATTCATATTCTTAGGTTTTTTTTGGTAAAGTCACGTAGGTAAAAAATTAAAATTAAAATTAATAAAAGTAAAATAAAAAATAAAAATAAAATAAAAATCACGACGTTTCGGAGGCAACACAAGCTTCCGTCTTCAGGTGGAACCGTCACAGCACGACAGCTGTATCAAGTAAATGAGAGATTACAAGAGATACCACTCCGTATATATAATGGTTGGGGGGGGGGAGGACCAGCCCACTTTTTATTATTATGGTAAGGTGCTGTTTAAATATTTCACGGCCTCATCCTCAACTCATGATATGGGCTACCTGCATAATTGGCGGGACACATTCAACAACAAAAAATGCCCCTATACCAGAGTTCCTTCCATGATATTTCGTGCTATTTTTGACCAAAGTAGAATCATTAATCTGCTTCGGGCACACATCGAATAGAACAGGTTATGGAATAGCTATATTACTAATCTGGCTAATGAGACATTGCAGAAGATTGTGTTTTTATCAATGCCAAAGTCTTCTGAACAATTATCACTACGATGCAAATCAAACATTACACTCCCAAAAATCAATGGAAATGGTGCAGAGCAATGGTCCACGCTGTGCATAACCCTTCCTCGCTGGGAAGTCCCAGTTTAGTACTCTACTGTAGTATTGGCTTGTGCATGTGTAACGGGTTCCGGAGACACTTGTAGAGGTAACTTCTTTATTACAATCTTGAATTTGAAGCTTTCGTGACTGCAGGAATTACTCTATGGTTCTTTCGGTAAAGTCACGTCTAAAGATAAAATAATACATTAAATAATAACATACGACGTTTCGATTGCAACACTCCAACAGTCCTGATACTCTGTAACAGCCGAGGTACACAGCCTAAGTACACAGCCTAGATACACTAATCATGCATTGCAGAATTGGTTCGTGATGTTTTTGTCATTTCAAGTATGTTGGGTTTTTTATATTACTATTTATGTTTTATATATTTTAAAAAAGCAATATGAATAACATTACAAGCTGCACATCATTTTTTTCATGGGAAATTATAGAGGCGGTGGGGGGCGAGGGGGTGGCGGTGTTAAGGACACGGATACATCGGGGGAAGTGGTGGGGGGTGGGGGGGGAACCCAGCCCTAAATGAGCCCGGTGTTCCGAGCACACACTGCGCGGCTCTTCGCCGAGGTCCGAGTGCGTGGCCAAGTGCGGGAGTCACCCGGTGGTAGATGAACACTCTGAGGGTCCCCCCGGCGAGCGTCTCGAGCCGCTGGCCGTGGAAGAGGCGGTCGGAGAGGTAGCGCCCGCGCACCACATACGCCAGCATCTTTTGCTTCAGCTTCTCTCCCTTGTCCGCAGTGAAAGACTCTGCGGAGGCGAGGGGTCACAAGAGACATGGGAGAGGACAAGACGATCAGCTCTGGCAGGTTTCTCGCTCTCTCCCTTCCCCTGAAGGGGCTCATCATCATCGTCACGTCACAGCACAACGACAAGAGCTCTCGAGTCCGTACGTAATGAGTCACACACACACCCCATTAGAGATTCCATAGTGTCACGATTCATGTTTTATTGTTTCTCGTAGTTTTGTCTCTAATGAACAGTGTTATTTGTTCCATTAGCCTAAATTTAATATAACCATGTAATTATTTAACAATTTATACAAGTCATGCACAGTATAATAATCATCGCATGCACAATTAATTGAATTTAAGAATACATTTTATTTGTTGAATTAATTTCAGTGTTGCTCGCCTTCTTTGAAGGCCTCGGATCAAGCCTTCGGATTGATTTTTTCTCTCAGTGACAGTGAGCTGCCATCATTGAGACCCTGGGTTCATCAGCCCATCACCACACAGTTCCTCTGGGTGAAAGGTTTTCCATGAAGAGTAAGTATAACACCTACATGCGGTCACGGTGAGGGTGGTAAAGACTAGGTGATCGTGGTTATGTTTCGGTGAGGATGGTCAAAATTGGGTGAGGAAGGTGAGAACTGGATGAGGATGATGTTGGTTGGGTGACGGTGGTGAAGGTTTGTTTGAGGGTAGCTAAGGTTTGGTGAGCGTGGTGGGGACTCGGTGATCACGGTGAGGGATCAGTGGGCGTGGTAAGGGCTATATGAGTGTGGTTATAGGTCAGACTATTTCAAGGCAGGGCGAGGTCTACCAGTCAAGGCGCTGTCCTTGACTGTGAGCAGGGTGTAGCCCTCCTCGCGATGGAGTTGGGCCTTTGCCCCAGACTCTTCGAGCAGATCCATGAAAATGTTGACGCCACTGTCTTCAGCCACCTCCAGGACGTCCTTGGCTTGATGGGAGAGGCAGAAACGACAGAGAAGATGGTCAGGGATTTAATATCGCTTTTCAACACTGCAAGACATACATGGCAATTCACTCCTGGTGGAGGCCCTCCCCACACTGTGCAGGTTTTGGAAGTTATTTGACTATACTTCATCATGCTGGTCAGTGCGGGTTGGTGATGAGGGAAATACAGCATATAGAAGTACAGCACAACATGAGCTTCAGTATACTGTACATCTCTACGGTTGTGGCTACTAATTATACGTTGTGGCTACTACTCACTTGCCTACTCCAGTTTTATTGGCAACCCAAAACATGCTTTGTGAGAAATGTAGCCTTGAGAACAACAACGACAATGCAGCTGGCTGCACTGTCCTCTGCTGACCACCCGTAGCAGAGCCCTGCAGCCACCTATGACCGGCCTGGTGTGCATGGTAGTAGTTCCCCATCCAAGCACTACCAAAGCTGAAACCTGCTTAGCTTCTGAGATCTGACAAGATCCGGTGCATTCTTACTTTGGCAGGTCATCACTTTCGCTGAAGGAGAGGCAGTGAATCTGTACTCGTCGAATGATCAATAATCGTGGCAATAACAATCGTGTTGATAGTGATTAGTCAAACAACAGGGACTGTACTGCCAGGTGTGTACAAGCACAGCAGCCTGTGCACATGCATCCGTGCAGTGGTAACTGCTGAATTGGCAGGTGAGGTCGGGGACCAAGCCGAGTGAGGTTCTCTACTCATGAACCTATGGCACATCACAGTCGATGTAGGCTGTTCCTATTCGTGCTGTTCCGAATAGCGTGCCTGCTATTGTGAAGGTGCAAGTGTTGCGGAGGAGGTGACCAGTTGGCTGCTAACGCTCGTGTCTCACATCATCGAGCCGTGAGCCAAGTAGGGTGCGGAGGTGGTTCCTTGACAATGATCGCAGTGTTTGTGTCACTCTTGAGAATTTGGATGGTGTGGAGGGTTCTTTCTTAATGGCAACATTTCATTGGTGTTACGTGAATACAAATGGAACCCTGTGTTGTGTCCTTCGGTTGACTGGTCACTGTTTCAAAGGTCCGTTCAACCAACAGGCCAAGTTGGTGTGGGTATGGCACAGTGTTCTTGAGTGGTAGAGAAACCCCTCATTTCATTGCTTTTGTTTCTTAATTGACCATCATCACTGCATAAGTGACAGAGGCAACGAAACTGTGGAAATTGAACTGCTCTCTTGGTGTGGCCACAGTGAGTTTAGCAAGTAGGAATGTTTATTTGTAAGTGTACAGCAAATGTGAGGCTGTTGATAGTTTATCTCCCTTTAATCGGCAGTCTGATGCCCAAAAAGAGAGGCTGCATTTTATTATTTCCCGGGTGAATTTTATTGCCGGATGGAAGTCGACAAAATTCAGGGAAAAGCACAAAAATAATATTATGACTATGATAGTCAAGATAATAAGTTATAATGACGACGATAGTCATACTGTTGGTGACCATAAGAGTGAACAGGGTAATAATGATTTATAAGAGCTATGATGATGAATTGTTCTGAAGGGCCAGTTGCGTTCAGTGTCTCGAATAGATCATTTTCAATTGATGTGGAGGTTTTGCTGTAAACACCAGAGGCCAGATTCACGAGTCATTTGTATCCGTCTATCTGGCCCACCGTGACAGATTGGTGAATCGCCACACGCATTAGGGCCTTTAACACACCCACACACGCACGGCAGTCACACACATGAAGGGCCATAACGTTTCACCATAAGCTGGATACACACACACACGCACGCGAAGACGAAAGTCAAAAACAAACAGGCTCATAAATCTTGAATATCAACCACCTCTTCTCATCCAATTACACTTTGATATGAAATAAGTACTGTATAAGATATCTTGGTTGCCACCACTAGGCAAGTTTCAGGCATTCACATTGCAACACTTAACATCCCTGTTGGGCAATTTTGTTGAAAATCGATTCGATGCCAGTGCTCACACATTGCGTCACACCTCCCCATGTTTTCCCGAAAACTGGAAAATTCCAAACCATTCTCTATAGTATTCACCAATATCACTAACCACATCTGTATCAACAAAAAAACAGAACTGTCAACAATATTTAGAACATGAACGTGCAGATGTAAATGTGTGCGTTAGATCACGTTTGTGTGGGTAAGAGTCCGTTAGAACACGCGTGCCCATGTGTTCGCGCATTTGCGTGTTTCTGTGCACGATTCACTCTGCACTATCGAATCCCATCAAATGGAGGCACACCCAATGAACTGGCTAGCCAGCTTGTGTTCTCCATTGCATTTGCCTTTAATAGCACATAGGCGTATATGCAGTGGCATAGCGTGGTTGGCATGGGGCCTCCCCCTGTCCAATCTGGGTTCCTCTGTGTATCCTGGCACCTGGGCCCCTCCGGTCTGTAGGGTAGCAGTGCAGCGGCACTGCTTGCGCACTCGGTAACTGCACCAGCGGGCGTCCGAAAATCCCCACCGGAGTCGGGAAGCACGAGCTGGTCGATGAGGTGCACGACGCCATTGGTGGTCACGATGTCGCGCCGCGTCACCTCGCCGCCCCCGCGCAGGCGGATCGAGGAGCCCTGGCACGATGCGACGAGTGCGGGCGCCCCCCCGGCCGTGGGCAGGAGCACCTCCTCTCCCAGCAACGACTCGGAGCAGATCACCGAGCGCATCATGTGGCCCTCGAGCACCACTGCGCACAGCGGACGAGGAGCAGGGATTGGCGGGGAGGAGCACACAACGTGAGGAAGGACATCGCTGGTGACAACATCGTCAACCCCAATTGGAACCTCGTTTGCCAGTAAAAAATAGGATAATTGTTTTTTTACCCTTCTATCTGGCAACAAAACTGACACCCTTTTTTTTTTTACAAGGAGTCATGTTTGCATCGACCACAATACCTGCAGTCATAATGCAAACAAATGTTTTTATGTTTTTTGTTTGCATTATGACTGCAGGTATCGTGGTCTGTGTAAACATGACTCCTTGTAAAAATGGTGTCAGTTTTGTTGCCAGATAGAAGGGTAAAAAACCAATTAAACAAAATCGTCATCATCAACCACGCTCCTCAATCCATTCCTGAATGAAGGCCCTCCGAAGCCACTGCCATCACTCACGATGCTGCGATGTGATAATCAACCTGGCACCTACACACGAGCTGATTTAATAAAAAAAATAACGTGGCTGATGATGAAATTATTACGGGCATTTATATATATTAGACTCTAGGGGGAAGTGCTGCCAGCATGCACCTATTAAATCCACCACCGTACACTTCTCACAAATGACACTCATACCCAACAACCCGAGAGGGATGATTATCAGCGGTGTGTATTCCTGACCGTGTGAACTTCCGCTGGCACCTGCACACGAGCTGATATACTAAACAAATAACGTGGCTGATGATGAAATTATTACGGGCATTTATATTATATATTAGACTCTAGAGGCAAGTGCTGCCAGCATGCACCTATTAAATCCACCACCGTACACTTCTCACAAATGACACTCATACCCAACAACCCGAGAGGGATGATTATCAGCGGTGTGTATTCCTGACCGTGTGACCTTCCGCTTGCCTCTGACCACAGGACCATTCGGTTTGAGTGATGTGTGTCTAATCCAAGATGAGGGAAGAGGCTGTGACGCAGTGGTTAGTGCATTGCGTTATGAACGTGGCGACCTAAGTTTGATTCCTGGCCACGGCCAATGCCAATGGATAGTGTTATCTGAAACTTTTCTGGGAACTGAACTTTCACCAACCTGAACTAACCAATGGGGTGAAGTATAGTCAAATGACCCATATGACACGCACAGTGTCGAATGCCTTGATGCAGGGATGATTTGACAAAGGGAAGAAAACAGAAATAAATGTAGATTATTGGGCATGATTCTCATAAATAATGTTTTATAAGGACCCGAGGGAAGGAATGTCGAACAAATAGTCTACTACTGTATCACCGAACATTTAAAAAATGTGGGCCGCAAAACATTGTAGTTCGGATGTAGATTGGTTTCACAAAGAGCAGGGTCAGCCTAAAGTTCAACATTGCTCTAAGTGCCCTGATAAAGACGTTACATGTTTAATCTGTGTGATCGATTTACCAAGTAATTTGACTGTTGAGCGTGTGATGCTAAATTTGATATAAAGTTAGTGTAGCCTGCTGACAGTTACTAGTAGGGTATATATATACATATATAGTTCTAAACATATATAAATTGTATTCCCCTCTGAACATAGGGTTTCCATCAAGCAGCCTTACATGGAGCATGTTTTGGTAGAAACATCATCTTCTCTTTGACACCGGTTAAATATCGCACAACGCAATCCTCGAGATGCCAAGAGCATCCACACAAATATAGCGACGGCAACATTCCGACAACACGCCGACACAGCAGCCTGCATCGCACTCCTCCTCTCCCCCTCTCTATCCCTGCCTTCACATTCTCCCTCCTGCTCCATCTCACTTCTCCAATGTCCCACTGACACTCTCTCTTCCAATCCCTCTCTCCGCCTTGATTCACAGATCTCCCTCCCTCGCTTTCATCCATCTCCCTTCTTTCACGCATGTGATATCCCTCATGACCCATCGCCACTTCACTCACTCAACCTCTCACTCATTCACTTAGCCACCAACTTATTCATCCACTCACCCATGCACCCATTCACTCGCTCACAATAACTCACGCCCACCCAAATGATTGATCACTCACTCATTCGCTAACAATCGGCAGGAATTTACATACTTTTGCACTTTATCTATTTTACAAATAGCTCATTGGATTTCTCCAGGATAAATACTAATTCTGATTGTGATTATCCACTATACCTTCCTTTTATTCATCTCTCCATTCACCCATTCCTCCCTAACTTCTCTGTGGATTTATTTCTCCATCCCTTGCGATTGATCTCTCTGTTCCCTGCACTCTCCCCTGACGCATCTTCTTCTTTCGTATGGCTGGTGTAGATGCAGAGCAACAACTACAATTTCACAATCAAGTAGTCAAGCCATATCACCACTTCAGGAGTAGCGAAGTGGATCGCTGTGATGTCTCCTTCGTATTTGCGGACCAGGAACTGCGTCGTTATATTTTGTATGGTCTGTTCCGGATGACAACAGTCGCACACTGGAGAGTTTTTAATTTTCCACTTATGAATCTGCCATGGTTTGTGCAGATGCAATTTAGGGTGGACCATGAGCTTCGTGGAGTCCTTTTGAACTCCATTCAGCTCTCAAAGCTTCATCGGGGTTGATCTCGCATTGTTGACGGTTAATCGCATGGGTCCAAAAGGGTTTGCATGACGTCAAGCAATTAAGGGGGACGTTATTGAGGTCCTGATGAATGGGAAAGATTTTCCAGAGAGTTGCAGCGTTGCGGCAGATGGGTAGGGGAGAGATTTGGGTGTTGGGGTCGACTTGCGGTGTTCAGTTGGACATCAACAAGTCGAGTGTGACGACTTCTTGTCCACACTGGTGCACAGTACTCAGCTGCAGAGTACACAAGGACCATCGTTGATGTCCACACCAGTGGTGCTGATGCTACCCAGCATGTGCTTTCCAGTTAGATCACGCTCATTTAGGCCATCAGCCACTCCCAGAAACTGGAGGAATCGTCATCATAAATCCTTCACCACGTGCCGAGATTAAACTGCTGTGCCCCGTGAGGTGGCCCTCGTGGCCCCGTGCCAGGACCACTAAGGACATGCGTTCACACCATGGGAATGGGCATCCTTATCACTTCGTGGCTCATAGTGGCTCTGTTAACAGCCTAAGTTAGCACTTCTGGACTGGGTTCAATAATTAGGGCTATGTTGTGCCTCTCTCAGAGACTCAACCTGACCGTAGTAGGACAGTGAAACAGCCCCCTGTGGTGACGGCATGGGTTCACACTGAATATTTAGGTCCATTCTATCTGACAAAGATACTCTGAGATGTCAGTCGATGCTTTTTTTAAATTTCTGAGTTAGAATACTGTGGCGTTTTGTTTGTTAAACGTGTCTCATTCTACACTGTGTCGGTTCCAACTGGTTCAACAGCGACAGTGCTCACTCGCGTATGCCATTCGCAATATATCACTCCCATCCTTTATTCAGCACACTGGTTTCCTGTACATTTCACGACTGTTTTAACATTTTGCTGACTAACTTTGCGGAACTTTCGGAAGCTTCTTGCAGTTGTCTAACATTAGGAGGGGCGAGGACCTTCATTTGGTATGCTTCCTGCCTCCGGAAATATCCTCTAAGTCATATCAGGGATGCTGGCACAATTTAATCTTTTGAATCAAATAAAAAACACGTTTTTTAAGTTAGCCTATTTTCAATCTGGATGGATTTCCTTATTGTGTTTTAATTGTAAATCATTGTAAATCACTGTTGGATGCTCTGAAACGTATAGAGCTTGACTATATCTTTTTGGTTCTTTCGGTAAAGCCACGTAGAATGGAAATAATACAATAATAAAAATAAAACGCAATAAAATAATATAATAAAACATAATAAAAGTAGTTAATTATATTAGTATATTACATTATTATTTTAGTATTTTATTATTTTATTATTTTATTATTTCATTATGTCTTGTTTTTATTTTTTGCATTCTACGTGACTTTACCGAAAGAACCAAGAAGATGAATCCCTGCAGTCACGAAAGAAGCTTTCAATCGAAGCTTGACTATACATTCGCAGATCGCAGCTACGGTCAGAGCAGGTTTCTACCACCTCCGAACACTCCGAGGATTGCACCCGCTCCTCTCTGCTCCAGACCTGGAATCATTAGTTCATGCCTTTGTGTCAACACGCCTGGATTATGGTGACGCCCTCTACGCAGAGCTACCAACTGGAATTGGTGCAGATCCTGCAGTTAGTGCAGAATGGAGCTGCCCAGATGATCAGGCGGGTTAGCCGTTTTGAACACATTACACTGGCTACCAGTCTGCTTCTGCATTCAATTCAAGGTTACTCTTCTCACATATAAAGCACTGCATGGCTTGGCCACTATTTACTGTACCCGCAAAACCACTTCTCCCTGCAATCTTCAGGCGCACACACACTCCGTTCCATGGAAATGGAAAGAATTGCCGAGTCGAGGATTTTTCAGTCACCGCTGGTGGGAAATGGGGCCTTCTCAAGCGCAGCCCCAAAAATTTGGTTCACCCTGCCACTGGACGTCCGAAACACGCCCAGTGTTTCTCAATTCTGTGGTCTGTACAATACACATCTGTTCAAACTTGCCTTCCCATAACATCTAAAATGTAAGGGGGGGGAGGTAACCCTGTTTATTGAGTTATGTATTTTATTTACTACTTTTTTTTCTTATGCTATTGCGTGTGTGAACCCGAGACCTGGGTCTCTTGCTCTTTCTCTCAGAGGCTCATATTGGCCATGTTAGAGGAGGCACTCGGAGCAAGAACCTCTATGGGCTACAGTCTAAGCTATGAGATGCACCCGGGCCCCAGGAACTGAGCCCAACCTCTCGAGTGCTGGCTCGGTGCTGCAACACCGGCGTAATGAACTCTGTCTGCCCCGTGGTCTAGCAAATGAATAAGTCATTTAATTACGGCATTGGAATTCTGAATATAAATTTTAAATCAACACAAAAGCTCAGTAAACTGCAAATATACAGGAAATACTGCTCCTAAGTAAACTGTGAATAGTTTGCCACAGATTCCCATGGGGTCATTTGTTGATGAGTATAGAGAGGAAATGTTGTTTTAGACAAGGACGTTTGTGTTATGAGAGCACTCAAAGGTTTATCAAAACATCCGCCGTTTGGCCTTGTAAACGGCTGGGATAAGTTATGTTAGCAAGCACCTATTAAGGCCGGCACAGCACACAAGGGGGAGTGTGGCCTTGCATAACACTAAGCCACATATGACTTACCAATGCTGATGTTCAAACAACAAATGGGACATCAGATTTACAGTTGACCTCATGGAAGTCAGCATGGTGCTTCAAGGGGGGGGGGGGTCATTTGAATAGCACCAAACATCTTATTAGCACGTTTGGCTACATACAGTGTGAAAGAAGTTCAACATAATTACATACAAACGTGTGCTAAGCCATCTTTGTCTTCCCCGGTATTAAAATATCTGATTCATGTGTTGCTGGCAAATTTTCGATTGTTCCTGATTTTTTGTGGAAATGTACGATGTCTTCATCACCAGCAAATGGAAAAATCATGAAAGTGATGCATTTGCGCCGTTTCTTCAGGATGTGAATCCAACCCCATGACCGCACGCACCCTATATTACTCATTTAAGACTGAGTCCGTTTAAGGGGTGCCCAGGCTAGGTTCAAATGCGTAAATCTAGACCAGGGCTGTTTTAGCTTTTTTGGAGACCCTGGGCAAAATATCAAATGAGGCCCTATCTGAAGCCCCTTCAGCTCTTTTTGAGGCCTGGCAGATCTCGTGCCCAAAGCAGATTACCACACCTGCCCCCTGTCTCTACAGCCCTTAGCTGACGATGTGTGCTGGTGGTGGGTTCATGAGAGAAGCTGGAGGTGCATGGAGCTGGGCAGTGGAGGCAGGGCTAAGGTGATTCTGTGGATTTGAAGCAGGAGAGAGCGACATTGCCTTTGCTTAGGAGCTGAGAGGTAGGACACTATACGGATCAGTTGAACAAAAAATTAACCCGTAAAAACAAAGTTTTTCACTATAAATACTTTATATGCGTGGCAGCTAGAGTACTCTCGTCCTCTGGCTTGAGATGGCTGCCATCTATGGGTCAGATGATTTCCTGCCACCATTAAGCAATTGGTAACTAAGTATAAAAAAAAATCCTAAAAAGTGTAAAATTTTGGAATTTCACGAAAATAAATTGTCACGCACAACGAGTCTGTGTGAAAAATGTCAGCTCGATTGGATCACGGGAAGTGGGTTAAAAAACGACCGAAAGATTTGCACGGTCGTAAGCGCACAAGCAAGCAAGCAAGTGAACTTAATATAAAGGATTTCTAAAAAAAAATTCACGAAAATAAATTGTCACGCACAACGAGTCTGTGTGCAGAATGTCAGCTCGATTGGATCACGGGAAGTGGGTTAAAAAACGACCGAAAGATTTGCACGGTCGTAAGCGCGCAAGCAAGCAAGCAAGTGAACTTAATATAAAGGATTTAAAAATTAACCCGTAAAAACAAAGTTTTTCACTATAAATCCTTTATATGCGTGGCGGATAGAGTCCTCTCGTCCTCTGGCTTGAGATGGCTGCCACCTATGGGTCAGATGATTGCCTGCCACCATTAAGCAATTGGTAATTAAATATCTTCTTTTTTTCCTAAAAAGTGTAAAATTTTGGGAAAAAAAATCACGAAAATAAATTGTCACGCACAACGAGCCTCTGTGGAAAATGTCAGCTCGATTGGATCACGGGAAGTGGGTTAAAAACGACCGAAAGATTTGCACGGTCGTAAGCGCGCAAGCAAGCAAGCAAGTGAACTTAATATAAAGGATTTAAAAAGGGGTTTGAATCCCTGTCTTACATTCTACAGAACTGTCTATAACCCACTCTCTTGGTTACAATACCTCTTCACTGATTGTTAATTTTAATATACTCGAGCACGAGTGTTCAATAGGACTTTCAAATCTCTTTGGTGAGTCACACACATGAACACATTCCTTTGTGTTGTCCAATAATAAGGTAAGAATGTCGACCAGGCCTTTGCAGTGACTGAGTGGGCAAAACTTTGAAACACAAATTTAATATGTTCCCCTCTAGTATCTGATTACTGGTGCTGTACAAAATCATTATACAATTCATTATAACATTGAAAAGAATGCCTTAACAATATCATAGTTACTTGACTGATAGTATTGAATGAACCTGCTCCTACCCCCATACCATGAGGATTTTTAGCTGGAGGGATGCAATTTCTTGTGAGGCCCCTCAGTCCAACAAGTAAGGGGCTAATATTTCCCCTCCCTCCACCTCGTGGTGCCCGCTATGCCATAGAATTCCCGAAAAACGTTGCCTTACTCCTGAGGGTTTTGGGGTCAGCCATGATGCGATCCATCGTCTCCTTTGGAACCTTCTCTATGGCCTCATTTGTCGGAGCAAAGAGCGTAAGGGGCCCCTCGGATGACAGGAGGGGCATCATCCCAGCCTTCTCCATCAAGACCTGCACACGGAGACATGGAGACACGAAGCATGGAACACCGGAGATGCAGACCTGGGGACAAGGGGCATGGGGACAATAGAAGGTCATGCTAAGATCACGAAGTGAACATGAAGATTGGGGAAGGAAACAGGAGGTGATATAAAGTCTATGTTGAGTTTAAGGGTGGACTAAACAAGGAGATTGCATTTTGTAATACAGGAGAGACACTAGTCAGGCCCTTTGGCAGCGTGGCCTACAGAAAGGAGATGCCAGGTGGGGCGATGGCTATGGAGACCGCAGGTGATTTCGAGACAACAGCAATTGGCTGGTTAGATAAGTGTAAATGTATGTGAGTTGTGTATACGTGTGTGTGCATGAGAGTGTGCGTGAATGTATGTGAGTTGTGTATGCGTGTGTGTGCATGAGAGTGTGCGTGAATGTACGTGAGTTGTGTATGCGTGTGTGTGCATGAGAGTGTGCGTGAATGTATGTGAGTTGTGTATGCGTGTGTGTGCATGAGAGTGTGCGTGAATGTACGTGAGTTGTGTATGCGTGTGTGTGCATGAGAGTGTGCGTGAATGTATTGCACGAGTGTGTTTCTATGCATGTGTCTGTGCCTGAGTGTACGTAGTACCTTCAGTGACTCCAGTTCAGCGGTAAACTCCACAATCTCAGAGATGCGGTTTGAGACAGGAACGATGACTCTGTCGATCGTATGAACCACGCCATTTGTGGCCAGGAAGTTTGGACGAATTAATCGAGCACAGTTTACTGTCACCACCTGAAATAAACAACCACGACCATCATTTTGCCATCACCACGAATCTGCTGGAGGGCAGCTGCCACCAGTTCCCAAGAAGCATCATTCACACACCGCTCTACATCTCCGATTTGTCATTAGAGATCATATAAAACTGTGATGCATCGATGTCAGGAGGTAATGGCTCAGACACATGATGGGGTTTCTATGAGAGAAAAAAAGTATCGAATATGTGCCATGTATGACAATTAAAGTGATGTAGGAAATGGATAGGATGAATGAAGATGACTCAACAGGATAAAAGTGCACTTGTCCAAAATATTGTTGAATAAATACATTTAGGATGCGGTGAATGAGACTGAAATTGTGATAAGCCACGCTTGACACACGAACCACAGACAGTTACACTCAGGACATGAAAAAAATGTTTACACACTGCACCAGTTACTCATTTTAGGCTGAGTCAAACTTGGGAGGCCTGGGACCAATGCACATTTTCAGCACTGATTTCAGCTTTGGCCAGGTATCAAACTCTGGTTACGAGGTTCATAGCACTGTTCACTAACCACCATGTCACTACTCCCATACACATACACATGTATGCGCATACAGAGACAAAGATCCTCCGTATAGCCTCAACAGACTGTTGGGACAAGTGCTGTTAGCGAGTACCTATGAAGGCCACCACCGGTACAAATAATCGTCACTGGTGTTGGCCGTGAGTGGGAATCGAACTCGGGTCACCAGGTTCATGGTGCAGCGAGATAACCACTGCGCCACCGCTCCCCACACACGTCTATACACACAGATATCCACACATGCACACACACATGACTGTATACACAAACATCAATAAAAATGACTATACACACACACACACACACCCAGACACAGATACCCACATGCACACACACACACACGTCCATACAGACAGACACTCGCACGCACACACATGTACACACACATGTCGTCTGCATGACCCCTGACCCCATTGCTGTGGTGGTTGATGAAGAGCGGTTGGTTCTCGTAGTTGGAGGTGAGGACGAGTCCGTCTCGGAGGTCGCTTGTGAGCAGGCGACGAGAAACCATGTGGTAGCTCAGGGCATTCCTCAGCTCCAGATTCACATTGCTCACCAGAGCCTCTCTGATATCCTGGCCGCAGGAAAGCGGCAGACGGAGGAGAGGAAAGGGGACATCATAGGCATGGGCTCACTGGAAGCATTGCTGGAGTCCGTGGTGGTGCAGAAGCCATGGTCATGGTCTACACAGTGCCAAGAGGTAAATGGGTGCAGTGGAGACTGGATAGGGGATACAATTGTCCGAGCGAAAGAGCCATGTGCTATAATAAAGCTGCACGTTGCGTACCCTATCCTTCCATGAGCTTCCTAACGTAATCTGCAAGCACCTGTATCCCAAGTCCAGACATTTATTTTTTGTACAAACTTTTGTAAAGTATTAAATAACAAATGCTGAAGTGCTGCCTATTTTTTTATTATTATATTGGTGCTTGTAAAGAAGTAATAATAGAAAGCAGCAAGATTGTGAATGTAAATTAATTAATATACTTGGGAAGTCTACTGACATGGAACAACGACTGCACGAAATGCATAAGAGTGAGGATCAAAAAGGCAAACGGAAAAAATGGCAGGATTACATAACATCTGGAGAAGCAAGCAAATCAGCTACAAGACCAAACTGAACGTCTTAAGAACATGCGTGTTCAGTACAGCTTTGATTGCCTGCAAGACTTGGAGATTAAAAAGAGACTGACAGATAAGATATTGGCACTAGAAATGTATTGCTACAGAAGGATAGTGCATCTAAGCTGGACCCAAAGAGTGCCCAATGTAGAAGTAAGAAAACGACTGCACATAGCAGAAGGCCTGATGCATGCACTGATGAGAAGGAAATTGTCACTATTTGGACACATATGTGGGATGGACAACAACAGTAAAATTAAAAGTGTGTTGTTCGGAAAAATGGAAGGAACTGGAAAGAGAGGAAGACCTAACGGAGAATGACTTGACAACAGAAGAGGTTGGTGCCAGGAAGATGTGCATTACGTGCACATGCATTACGTGCACAAGACAGAAGAAAGTGGAAACATGACAAAATGTGCAATGGACACCTATGGGCTATCTGCCCATGGATTGTGATGATGATGTGATGATGATGATGATGATTGGTGCTTGTGAATGTTTAACCACCCAAAGCGATGACGGCCACAGTGCCAGCAATTGTAAAGACACACAATGCCTTGTAAAGCCATATTCTGGGTTCATGTATGGGCCGTACCTCAGACAGAGCCTCCCAGGCCTCGTCGCTGGGCGTGAAGACTGTGTAGATCCCCGAGGACTCCACGTTGGGCCTCAGGCCAGAAGTGTTGAAGTAGCTCTGTGTGGACATGGCCTCCACGTACCCCATGGTGTTGTAGACGTTCTCCATGGGTGTGACTGCCAGCAGATAATCCAGGCTTACATTTGGTCAAGACAGTGACATTTCTCTTGTCCTTGCTGATATTGGGGAGGGTGCTTTTAGCCAACATATTTCTTGATTATCCTACAGATACTGACCCCAACCATGGGAATGTGCAATTTCCACCACTAGCTCAGGGCTTCCAAAGCCGTAGGGCATTGCTCCATTGCTCGTTTATGCAAGTGTATGAGCGTATACATATGTGTACGAGCATACTATACAAATGTGCGCGAGTGTACGTATCCCTTTTAAAAGGCAGTTGGGCATGGTTCTGGCCACAACACCCATTCGCTAGTTGTTCCAGCCTTAATAGGTGCTCGCAAACAGCCATTTTCAACAGTCTATGTAGGCTCCATGGGGAATCTTTGTCCTTTGTAGCCCTTATAAATCTGCAGATAAGATGATTCGGTGGCTCTAAATGTGGGCGAGATTGCTGCATATTAACATGGCATTCCAGTCTTGCATCGTGGCCACTGCAAACGAGATATAGCATCGGCGTCGACGCACTCGTGCCCAATTGCTCTCCACATGAATGCACTCTAATCGCTTTGACTAATCTAAGTGCTGTCTGCTAGCATGTAAGGCATGTGAACACCAAGCCGGAAAAATACTGAACCCTTGTATGGGTCCGTCCCGTGCGTAATAGCCATTTAAAGGTTTAATTATTAATGGGATGAAAACGATTCTTAAACTCACAACGCATGTATCCAATTGAGTTGGTCATATGTTACTTTTAATTTATGGAAATTATAAGCTATTGCATATAGGTAAAGGAGTGAACAAGACTACAAACTAGACATAGCAAATCATAAACAATAAAAAAAGCCAACATTCGAATCGAATCAAAACCGAAATAATGGCAATTCGTCTCAATTATTGTGGAAGGGTATGAATCCTTATATCTCACATAAGGATTCTAAACGATTATTGATAATTATTAAAGCCCAACCCGATCATTGATTTAGCAATGGTTATTCATTTATTCATAATCGGTTTGGACTTGATTATCAATTTCATAGTGTATAAATCAACAACTGAATACCGTGAAATATTTGTAAAGAACGTTCAAACCACATAGTACTTTTCAGTCACCACGTGGTACATTACAACGGACTTACACTTACGAGACTGTATTATTATTGTTAGACATTTTGATCATTACCATCAGCTATGATCTATCCACTGCTGGGTGAAGGCCATACTTGTGTAATGAGCGACTTCCAGACACGACGTGTAGAGGGCTTCTTATTTATTTCTAACACTTGCAGGCACAACAATCACTGAGCGACATATATATACATAGGACTACGCATCGCTGACCCATCCACACAGCCCCATCGTCGGCGTCTAATTATATAGCTGGCTAACTAATATAGCGACGACGATGATGATAGCCATACAGCGGATCGGCCATGTGGCCGGACGATGAAGAGAGATGTCGGCGAAGACAGTGACGGCAGCCAGGACCCGGACCCCACGACAGCCCCGAATCTCTGGTCCCGTCCCTCTTATATACTCCTCGGCGTGGCCAGGCCCCGCCCCCGGCCACGCCCCCTTCTAGAACCTTCGAGCAGGTTCCCGGAGCTTTCCGACTGAACCTGCCGTTAACCTTTAGCCCAGTTACGTCCCCTTATCATGGCTTGGCTTCGCGAACGAAGATCTAGGAAGGACATCCACGTCTTCTGCAGGCACGCTGGTGGCTGACGAGGCCTATGCGGGACAAGCAGGTCCTGCCACAACGGCTGCAAGTATAGGTCTGATCTGGGATGGGTGCTGAGGGATCATGGTTCTTCCTCCTCCTCCTTTTGTCCTCTATATGGGCCCTGCGGGTATCTTCGAAGAAGGAGGTGGCCTGGTGGACTGTGTGCCGCCAGGAGTTGCGATCAGCTGCTTGTGTTGCCCACTGACGGTGATCGATGCAGCAAGCAGTGAGGGACTTCTTCAGGGAGTCTTTGTATTGCTTTCGTGGTGCCCCTATGTCGCGATGGCCAGAGGACAGTTCCCCATACAGCACAATCTTAGGTAAGTGGTGGTTCCCTATCTGGTGATGTGCCCTGCCCAACGAAGCTGTGTCTTGAGGACCATGGCCTCGATGCTGAAGACCTTCGCTGACTTGAGGACTTCAGTGTTAGCGACGAAGTCACTCCAGTGAATATTGAAGATTGTGCGGAGGCAGCGCTGATGGAAACGCTCGAGGAGACTCAGGTGACGACGGTACGTGACCCAGGACTCAGTGCCATACAGGAGAGTGGTTCGCACAACAGCTTTGTAGACGTTGACTTTTGCGGCTCGTTTAAGGTTGTTGTTGTTCCAGACACATTTGTATAGTCTGCCAAATGCACTATTTGCCTTGGCCAGCCTGTTGTCGACTTCGTTGTCGATCTTGGCGTCAGACGAGATCACGCACCCCAACGTAGCTGAACTGGTGGACAGCTTTCAGTTCTGTTTGTTCAATGAAGATGCTTGGTGGAGGGTGCTCCTCATGGGGTGCGGACTGATGAATAACTTCAGTCTTCCTCAGGCTGACTTCAAGGCCGAAGATCTGAGCTGTTTTCGCGAAACAGGACGTAATTCGCTGCATAGCTGCCTCTGTGTGAGCAAGGAGGGCGGCATTGTCAGCAAAAAGCAGCTCCCTGATCAGTTGCTCCATGGTCTTTCTGTGGGCCTGCAAACGCCTCAGGTTGAACACGCTCCCGTCGAGACGAAAACGGATGTATACGCCATCAGCGTTGTCGAGGTCCTCTGTGGCCTGCTGGAGCATCATGGTGAACAAAATGGTGAACAGCGTGGGAGCAAGAACACAGCCCTGTTTCACGCCATTTGCAATAGGGAAGGGCTGCGAGAGATTGTTGCTATGTCTGATTTGTCCAAGCTGGTCTTCAGTGAAGCTGGACGATCATGGTGAGGAACTTCGGTGGGCAGCCTAGCTTTTCCAGGATTTTCCAAAGTCCCTGCCTGCTCACGGTGTCAAACGCTTTTGTCAGGTCCACAAAGGTGACGTACAGCGCTTTGTTTTGCTCCCGGCACTTTTCCTGAATCTGCCTCAGGACAAACACCATGTCTGTGGTTCTCCGGTTGGCTCTAAAGCCACACTGGGTCTCTGGGAGGTGATCTTCAGCTATTGCAGGTACCAGTCTATTCAGCAGTACTCTTGCGAGGATTTTGCCGGCGACGGACAGAAGTGTTATGCCACGATAATTGGAAAAGTCTGATTTCTCCCCTTTCTTCTTGTACAGGGTGATGATGACTGCATCTTTGAGACCTTGAGGGAGTTTACCCTGCTCCCAGCAGCAGACGAAGAATTCATGGAGTTTGGTGTGCAGTGCTGTGCCTCCGTTCTTCCATACTTCAGGAGGGATGCCATCAACTCCTGCAGCTTTACCACTCTTCAGCTGTTTAATGGCTTCCTCAGTCTCTTGTAATGTTGGTGCCACATCCAGTTCGGTTTTCACTGGTTGTTGTGGGATGCGGTCAATCGCTGGTTCTTGGACTGAGCGGCTAGCATTGAAGAGCGTGTAGAAGTGCTCAGACCAGCGGTTCAGGATTGAGTCCTTTTCGGTGAGCAGTTCTTTCCCGTCTGCACTCTGCAGGGGGCTCAGGATTTGGTACGATGGGCCATATACCGCTTTTAGAGCTTCGTAGAATCCCCTGTAGTCGCCAGTATCAGCGCAAACCTGAGTTTTTACTGCGAGGTTGGTCCACCACTCGTTCTGAATCTCTCGAAGCTTGCGCTGGATGGTGCTGCATTCCAGGCGGAAGGCTGCTTTTTTGTGCGGGCAGGATGGTCGGGCCAGGTGGGCCTGGTGTACTGATCTCTTCTTTGACAGCATCTCCTGGACTTCTAAGTTGTTCTCATCGAACCAATCTCTGTTTTTCTGCGTGGAGAATCCGAGGGTATCTTCAGATGTTTGCAGAACAACAGTGTTGATGTGGTCCCACAGCACTTCAGGAACCGGAGGCGAGTCTCCTAGGCAGCTCGGTTATTCTAGCCTAGATCATAGGCTTTTCTGGAAAGCTGCTTTGACCGCGGCAGACTGAAGGCTGCAGACATTGAGCTTCTTCCTCGGGGCGCCACCTTTCCTTGGTCTGGGTTTAAAGTGAAATCTGAGTTTGCAGCGGACAAGACGGTGGTCTGTGTGACACTCGGCGCTGGGCATTACCCTGGTGTGAAAGACATTTTAGGTCACGCTGCCGCACAAGGATGTAGTCTATGAGATGCCAATGTTTTGACCGAGGGTGCATCCAGGTTATCTTCAGACTGTCTTTCTGCTGGAAGATGGTGTTGGTAATGGAAAGCTGCTGTTCCGCACAGAGTTCAAGTACAAGCGTCCATTGCCGTTGCAGCTGCCCATGCCGTGCCTTCCAAGTACGCCTTTCCAGGTTTCCGAGTCTCTGCCCTTATAGGTTGGTTATTATATCACGCACCCATACCCGCGATTATCCCTCCTGGCCAACAGATGCACCCTGTCATTACACTTGCATCGCACTAACGTTGTTGTGGATGCAGTTAAGGTTGTAGCTATGTCGTGACAGTGGTGGTTGTGGTTAGGGTTGTGGTCTCTTACTTGCAGAGCAGCCATTTATGCCATCCACCTTCACATATCCCGGGCAGCAGTCATATGTCACCACTCTGTTCGAGATGCAAACACAAATATTCACAATTAGCTTCTGAGATTATTGGAGCAAATGCTTTTATTCAGCACCTGTTGTGGTTGGAATTATTTTCACAGTTGCAGAGCACAGGCCTATGGAGCGGCCAGAAACAGAGAGCAATTATGAAAGACCAGCAGATAAGAATTGACTGGTTTCTTACACTGTGCAGGGTGCTGTGAACTCGGGGAAAGCTACATTATGAGGGATTTCCAAAGTTGAGCAGTAAGATGAATGAGCGACTCGGATAAGTGTTGTTTGCTATTTTGTGGTTGTTGACCATGTTAGAAAACAGCAAATCTGGTGAACGAGTCCTTTGACATTGGTGGAGAGATTGAGACGTGGGGTTCATGATTATCACGGTTGGCTATGTACGGTGCGAAAGAAGTTCAACATACATACATTCATACGGCAGTAACGATATAAGAGTTAAAAGGAATAGACTGATGGAGTTATTGGAGTGAATCGGTGATTTTGGGAGCGTCAATCAACTTAACCACTTCACGTTGTACTGTATTTAGCCGAGAGCAGAATGAGATGTCACTGTAGTTTCCCCACTCCAGCTGGACTTGTGCTTTGCACAGTGTCAGTAAGTGATCAGAGGTGAAGAAAGCTTTGGCTCTAAAACGAAATCCAAGCGTCTTCAACACCTCCTTAACCAGATTATTATTAATGTAGCTGTTCTGTGACAGTTCACATTGAATGGTCGTGCTAAGCAGATTGATGGATTAACTAGGGATATGATTAGCATTGTTAAATGTGACCAGAGGAATAGTTGAATTGACATCTAGCTTTGGTGATATAAGCATGAACTGGGTTGTCTTTGAGTTGGTAGTGATCAGGTATTTGTCACCCTTAACATGGGGTATTTTATAGCCAATGGAGACAGTGAAATCTATTACTACCTGCCAGGAATAGGTCTTCGACTGAACGACGAGGCCAGTATCATGTATGCTTAGCCACCTTTGTCTTTCCAGTGATCATGTGATAACATCAGTTGCAAGTGGTATTAGAACATGTATTGGGCCTCCCTTAAGTTGACTCGGCCTTAAATGGTGTAGAGACAAAAGTGACCGAATGTGGACCTCCTCCTCTACTAGGCAAAGCTCTAATAAACTAAACTACAGTATTTAAATTTTACCAGGTAAGGCCCACGGAGCTATAAAGCTTTTTTTAAGAAGCGACCTGGCCACATAGCTCAACGAAGTGGCTTATCATGTGGAAAATGTATAGCAGCCAAACACTCGAAATGCATTATTCTAAATGTGGGTGAAAAAACGGGAGGACACTGGAAAAAAATCCACGCGACCACGGGGAGAACATGCAAACTCAAATCTACAGCCGTCAGGCGAGGTAGTTAACATATCGCCACCGTGGCTCCCTGCGGTGGCAAGATACGTGCTCGCTTACAGCATGGCCTTTGGCATTGTATGTGTGTATCTATAACTGTAGTATATCTGTATAGTACCTATGCACATGCGTATCTGGAGTCTGTATATTATTTTGTAGGCATGTGCATATTTGTACAGCCTGTGACCAAATCACCCGGAATGTGCCAGATCTTGTCAGGTCTTGGAAACTTAACAGACTTGATCCTGGATAGTGCTTGGATGGGTAAACAACATGAACGGTTGTTATAGGCTGCTGTGGGATTACGCGGTGGGAAGCAAAGGGCAGTGCAGCTACATTCATGGTTGTAATTTACTTCTGTGCTCCCACGACCCTGCTGTCCACCTTCAACCCGCTCTCACCAGCATGGAGAAATATGGCCAAATTATTCCCACAAACCAGCCAGTGTAGGGAGGCCCAGGGTCGTCTAGGATAAATGGCACCGTGTGGACCCCACGACGCCTTCAAACCAAACCACAAGTATTACATCTGACACCTTAACGTCGAAGCGCGGGGCCCCCCAACACACGGGGTCCTGGGCGGCCGCCACAACGAGACATACCCTAGGGATTGCTCTGGGGAAGCTCATATCCACCAGTGGATCGACAAACGGCATACTTCTTTGAGCGTGTGTGCATGTGTTTGAGAATATGTGCAACGCATCGTGCAAGGAATTGCGTGAATGTGTCTCGTCTAAGCTTGGTGGGGCACACGGTTGTGCACTGAGTCTTGCCACTTCAGTGATCTTGCACAATAAAAAGCAGGTTAATCAGCAATCAAACGAGAATGTTTCTATCGGTAAAAAATAATCACGTTAAAATTCCTGCTTTGATGTTTTCTCAACCGGCAATGTTAATCTCTGCGTGTGTGTGACTGCTGCAGGTGTGTGTGTATGTGTAGTGTAGCGGTTAGCGCTACGCTGCGCTATGAACCCGGCGGCCCGAGTTCGATTCATGCTCACGCTCAACACCAGTGACAATTATCTGAACTGGTCCTGGACCTCCCCTAGGTCGACTCAGACTCAAATGAGTACCTGGCGCGAGGTATAAACATCGCCACTCAGGGACACTAAAGCGGCGGGCGTGGTTTTACTACACCCCCCCTCCCCCCCCCCGTGTGCTGTGCCGGCCTTCATACGTACTGGCTAACAGCACTTGTCACAACAGTCTGTAAGCTACACGGGGGATGTTTGTCCTTTTATGTCACGGTGTGGGTTATGTGACCCTTATGCTCGAGTAGTAAGTGAAAGCCTCTGTGTGTAGGTGTGTGAATATTGGTGGTGGACCGACTCACCACCCTGCCCCACACAGACACTGATTCATCGAATAATTAGGGGCCGTCCATAAATAACTTTAAGATGTTTTCTTGTTCATGTTTTTGTTTTTTGTTTGTTGCGGTTGCACCCGATTCAAGAGCCGAATGGCTCACAGGGCTACACCTAATACATGAACTTGAATTTGACGTCACGCGATTTTGGCCGATTATTACCCCCCCCCCCCCCCATCGTCACACGGCGTCACAAAAAGTCAGACCCCCACTCCCTCAAATATGACGTCACAAAGCTCTGCCCCCCCCCCCAATAAAACGTGCTTCAAATCGCTTTAAACTGTTGTCATTGTAGTGCGTATTTCATGTGGCGCTGCACGCTGATGTTGTAGGAGAAAACATTTATTAAAAAGTCTATTTAATTAAGTAGAACGTGTTGTCTATATTTATTTAAAGTTGCGCATTTTGATGTGACGTCACATTTCTCAAAACCCCCCTCCCCTCCCCCTCGTCACACATCGTCACAAATGTCTGACCCCGCACCCCCCAGGTGCGTGACGTCATTTATGGACGGCCCCTTATCGCGATTCAAATGAATGGATTGCGCTGACTGGTAGTGTGCTTCTTGGAGCTGCAGAGGTCTAGTGAGAAATTGCATTGTTTTATCCTTTGGCAGGGTGATTAGCAACGTTCTATACAGGCCTGTGTGTTGATGTCGAAGTTGGTGTGCCAGTTGAGGGCGAATGTCTCAGGTGAATGTATTAGATGCTGCCAGCCAGAATGGTCGAAGTGTGTGGGGCATTGCCATTCCATACAATGACATAGGACAGCGGTCGGGAACCTATGGCTCGCGAGCCATATATGGCTCTTCCGGTGACGGCATATGGCTCCCAGACAATTTTGAGTTGAAAAAAAAATCAGTTTGGAACTGATTTTAAAATACTTGTGATATTGCTTAATAATAGTGCGTCATTTTAAAGTAAACAGAAATTCGTGGTTGAAGATAAATTTCACGGGTCACGCCTGCACGAAGCTCAAACCTCACCACCGCGTACGAACCAGACTACAAGGCCGTCAGCAAAATTACGCAGCACCAGAAGTCGCATTAAAAGTAAGACGTATTTAATTTATTATACGTTAAAAATACTATATGGCTCTCAATGAAATATATTTAGAAATATTTGGCTTTTATGGCTCTCCCAGGCAAAAAGGTTTCCGACCCCTGACATAGGAATATAATAGCAGAATCTGCTACATATTCCATTCCACATGTGTACATATACAGCCCCCCCCCCACCCTTTGTCAATCCATTGCTGGTGACAGCCTCCTCTCGCTGTGCGGGTTGTTTGACCATACTTCACCACTCTGGTCAGAGTGAAAAAATACGCACACAACTCTTAAAACCTCGGTTATTACGAGTGCGCAGTATTCATTTATATATTGCAAGCTCATTCACACGTGGCGGCAGAAAAGCATGGTACAATAGTTAATTTTGCTAGGCTGCCATGTGCTGTCCATAACACATGTTACGACTATTCAATACGTGTAGCATGAGATTAATGATAATTTCTTTCTTTAAAAAATCGACAGTGATAATCGAGTCGACGCATCGCCCCACCACGAGTGACTGCACGTTACAACGGGCACGTTCCGTGTGTGTGATAGGGGATATATGAATACGTGTGTGTATTAATATCGATGCGTGTTGTATGCGAGGGCGTCTGCCCGCATGTACGTGTATGCATGTGCGTACGCGCGCGTGCGCGTGTGTGTCTGTCGTTAACTCGGATAATTTACTCGTCGGGCTATAAGTGTCCCATCCGCTGTCTTAACTACAGTATCCGCTGGCCAGAAAATTCCGGCGCAATTATGTCACAGCGTATATATATAAAGTGCTGTCGCTATATGATTATAAACTGGCTAATCGATGTCAGTAGACACCGACAGACTGGCTCACGATGCTGGTGATGACAGCCTCTATCCACTGCTCCATAGTATAGTCTCCCATGTCACTGTATATGATAGAATACATGGAAGTAGATTATTTAAAACAACTGAAATTAATGTAAAGATTATTGAAAATGTTTTACAAGTGTCATACAGTCAAACATCTGCTTTTAAATGCAGTACAAAACATCAGTGACTCTTGATTAATACGGAATTAAGACTTACTACAAATTACTGTATTAAAATTGAGTGGAATTCCTAAAGCATCTCAATGCGATTGCATCCTAAAAATCTGAATAAAACGAAACTCACTGCATGAGATTGCGGTGAACATTTTTATTTTTTATTTTTGGAGGATTGCCCTCCTCTCCATGTTAGTGATTGTCTTATCAACGTCATCTCTTGAGATGAAGAAATGTTTATTGGATCTCTTGCAGAGCAGTGCAACCCTTCATGTTAAGAGAATGAGCTGTGGAAGCAGATGTCACAGAGCTACATCTGAGATTCGTTCAAGTGACCTCTGGCCTATAAAGTAGAGGTCAACACTTTCCCACTAAATCTTCCACTGAGAGTAACGTTTGACACACAATAGTCAAAACTATTATTAGTACATTTCCAAACTGAAATATACCCAAATTAAGTGCAGAACCAAATGACACGTGACGGTTATTTTTGTGCAGGCAATGTTGACCGAGCTGACACCATGAACCATTGAGAACCCGGTGGCTGCCTGGATTCAATTCCAGGATCTCAAAAGTGCCAGCTCAACGCTTTGACCTCTGAGTGTGCTGGCCACCATGAGAAGCGATTTTTACTTATTGGAAGGGGGACTTAGCAAATGGAGAGTGCTGGTTTGTACCAAACAATATATTCAGATTAATGGAAAGAAACACAGGCAGATGATAAGAGGAACATCTTTATCTTGGACTTGAACAAACCAATGAAGTCAGCCATGTGGACAGATTGAAGTGAGACTTCCAGACTGTGGGAGCAGCAGCAGAGAAGGTGTAACCATCCACTGAGTGAGGATTGACTTTGACTCAGGATTTGACAGGAGGCCTTGGCTACTGGAGCAGAGTGGACTTGGGGGAGGGCGAGTAGTGATGTGAGAAGGTATATGAAGGTTGTGGCAGCCCTGACTCATGTTGACATTAGTGTAAAACTATTTATGCACCATACTTGAGCATTATGGGTCAATACATTACTTAAATTATCTTCTGTATCTCCACTTCTTTTGTCTATTGGCCTACTGGCTTTCTAGACCCATTTTAACTTGGACTATGCTTAAGAAAGCCAACTCAGGACGACTGTTTCAAGCTTCTGGGTCTCATCAGCAGTCAGACATGCTAAGCAAATACTGCTCACTTACCAGATGTCATTGATGATTGCACGTTCTCTCAATGACGGGCTTTTGTCAGCCGAAATAAAATCAATGAAACTACTTCATTTTTGTATTTCTACATACAAACGTTGTAAAGTCCTGCTAGTCTGGGAGTCAAACTAGTGTGGGTACTGTTTTATAATGGATCCACACACTTGATTAGTGTGGCACTGCCTGATAAGGAAACATATAATTGGCGATGTATCCAGCAATGGCCCTTCAAAACAGAATATAAATATAGAGGCTATAAAGATGTAGAGTCAAAAAGAGTCACTCGACCTCTCCGCTCTCTCTCTCTATGTATGCGCTATGAAGAAGGCACATTACCCACAAATCACCTCTTCTGGAAATTGATTTCTTTTAAGGCAGTATAAACGACAAATGTATTGAGTTTATTGTTACGTGTGCTTGTTCAGCACTCCCAATACAATATCACCAAATAATTAGACGAATGTAGAGTGGGTACTCGGAAGAGCATCTTATTTGGTTTCTGACTAGTGTGGGCCTCTGTAGTATTTCGCGTTAAGGTTGGAGATAGGGTTCCAACACACCACTTCAAGGAAGATCTGGCTACACACAATTCTATGTTTTAAAAAATCTTTATGAAAAGTCCACGAAGATTTTGATTTACGTGAGTGTGCCCGATTTTGCCAGATCTCCGGAGAAAAGAATGGTTGAGCTTGGATCGTTCTTTGGGTGGGTGACCACCATACACAAACAGGTGTCATAGACTGCACCGCGGCTACATCGTCAGCAGAGGGCAGTGTGGAAACATCCACTTGTATTGTACCACGTCCCTTCATCAACACACATTGACCGTCGTGGTGAAGTATGAGCTCATAACCTGCACAATACACACTGCGTGGGGGAAATGTTCCCATCCGGTAGAGGTTTGACAAAAGGGCTGTGCATGTAGAGCACCACTGGAGGTTGATGAATACTCCCGATTGATGGCCCGCTGTGCTCGCGTGTTCCTTGCTTATGGAAGAAATAGAGGCTACGGGGCTGGGCTCCGATAAAGCGTGACGCACGCTGGCACCGTTTCCCGTGATATGGATGAATTAATGTGTTTATTGCAATGAAATAAATAAAGCTGGCGAAGTTTGTTCTAACGACTGAAAGGGCATGTCATCGAATAGATCTTGCAACAAAGACTTCTTCCAGATGATAGATTCCAAAGCGTCACTTGTTTATTAAACAAGGCAACCTTGGACAAGTTTTACACGCCCACACAAAGTTTCTGATTGGTTCTGCAGCTGAAATAGCAGAATTGTTTATTCGTGTACAAAGGGTTTGTAAAAGTGATATCATGGAAAAAATTACATGCCTTTAAAAAAATGTACCGCATTAGATCAGTTCACATATTTTTTCGATGCTCAAATCACCCTGAATGCACCTGGTCTCATCAAATAAAAAAAAATCTAAACAGATTTCAGCCTCATCATGAGGCCTCCTTTGCCAGTACCAACATTTCATAGGTTTTTTACCCTTTTTTCTGGCAACTAAACTGAAACCTTTTTGTTTGCATTCTGACCGCTGGTATTGTGGTTAACGTAAACATGATTCCTCGTCAAAAAAGGTTTCAGTTTTGTTGCCAGAGAAAAATGGAAAAAACCTATGATTAGATTTCAGCCAGGTTAGTACTTGGATGAGAGAATACCGAGGAACACTAGGTGTTGTAGGACTGACTGCAAGCTTGCCATCAGGTGGCAGTACAGCAAATGATTGAATCTAAGCGTGGAACTTTGATTGTTACCCCCTCGTATGTGTTGGTTTTCTTCGGGTACTCCAATTTCATCCCATATGTAAAATACTGTACTCATTTAGGAATTTGGCAAACATCTCAGTGCATTATCCTCATGTATAAAGTCTTGAGACTCAGGTAAGCTCTCTGTAATTTCTAAAGGGCATAATTTTTCACGTTATACTTAACTATTTTTGGTGAATGAGGTTTTTGTATATCCTCGTAAGAGTAATTATAGTCTCACTTACAAAGAACGAACTCATGAACCATTGCCACATGGCGACTCCTTTCGTAAAAGTCGAGACCCTTTGTGTATTTGGTTTGTGCGGTTACATCTCACTGATGAGCCCCAACTCTACAGTTGGGAACTAAGTCTTGCGTTACAGCAGTGCATAGCGAACGCTCAAAATAAAGTGCTGTCATCTCCGCTCCTAACAGCTGACATGGTGATGGAACGGTGCCAAGGATAGATGTATAAATATTATCGTTAATATTATTTAGGACGCATTAGACGCCAGAAAATGCCCGTGAAATGTCACGGTTTTAACTTCAAACTTTCCTTCCCACGATGTGCAAGTTTTCTTCTGTGTCCTACAACAATGCCTCGCCCCCGTGTTTCCCATGGTGTCCTCCCGCGTGTCCCTTCGCTCACGTGGGCTGCCCGCAGATCTTCCGCGCGTACCACTGCTTGCAGCTGGAGTAGTATTTCTTGCCGGTGCCTTCGATCTGTTGCACGGCGCACACGTTGGGTCTGTAGGAGAAGGAAAAGGTGCAACCACCATCACTGATGATTTCCGAATTGACACTCCCGTCCATGATTTGACACCGATAGCGCACGATTACGTGACTTAATGCGATCACAAAGACCATTTTAAAAATGTTCTATTTTAGGAATTGACGATAAGAGCATGTCATATTTGACGTCGAAGATGCAGTCTAAATTCAATAAATTGGAGTGAATATTCAGATACTGTGTGTTAAAACAGATTCAGAGTTTGCTTGTCTTGAATCAATACTGCTGAATGTACGCGCTTCCAGAAGGCCGTGCGGCTAATGGGTTGTGTGAGGAATGCTTTTATTTTTACGTCAAGGGATATTTTATGCTGATCTGTTTTCATATTTATAGTCTCTACAACGAGGCTCATGACTATTTTAAGTTATATTTAATACGAGATGCGAGAATGGGAATTGTTCCCATAGCCTGGCGTGAATTGTATTGCGTTCATCATCGAATAACAGACCACGACTTTGGACGATTCGCGGAAAGTGTAACACTCATTGGTGAATATAAAGTCGCGAATGAAAGCAATTAACGCGTAACATTATGCAGTACACAGTATTATCGTTACCGACAGTTTAAAATACGTAACTATAGTCATTTACAGCTCTTTATCAAGCCACTGTTGGATCGAGGCTTCCCCGACATCGTGGAGGTCATGGAGGCTGTTTGACCATACTTCACCACGTTGGTGAAGGGGGGCGGGCCCAGGACCGGTTCATATATCTCTCGCCACTGATGCTAACTATGGCCGGGATTCGAATACAGGAAGGTAGCGGTATCCACTGACCGCTGGACCAACGCTCTCCACCCAGCCTCCCATTTATGCAACTCAGAATATGCAGATATTTTATGAAATTAGAAACGTACAATTGAACTGACAAATGTCTATATTCTTGGTTCTTTCGGTAAAGTCACGTAGAATGGAAATAATAAAATAATACAAATAATACAATATTAGTATTATTATAAATAATACAAATATTTGTATTATTTTATTATTTCCCTTCTACGTGACTTTACCGAAAGAACCAAGAATATGAATCCCTGCAGTCACGAAAGCTTTAAATAAAAATTTGACAAATGTCTGTTCACGGCATATTGTCTTTGATCTCCGATAAGTAAATGGGTCACAACAAGTTATATATATATATATTTGTCCAGACGAGGCATAAATATACACGCAATAGTCATGGTCCGCCGTCTGGGAATGCCCGCTGGTTGTGTGAATAAGCTGGCGCCTCCATCCACAAAGTGAGCCCTTGTCAGCGAGTGGAACGAACGATGCTCCGTGACCAAAGGCGTATTGCATCAATAACCTGTCTTATGCGTGTCAAACGTTCTATCATCGTCGGCCGCGGTCTATATACTGCTGGATAAATGTTGGCCCATCAGCATCAAGTGCCATGATTCATGCGCTGCTGGATGAAGGATTTTTCCATCGTTGTCGAAACATGATCTATCCGCTGCAAGATGAAGCTCTCCACTCTCTACGCCGTCGCCACCCCTCGTGGCATTGCGATTCCACAATTCATCTCACTCCTGCACGTACATTAATTTATCTCCTCTGCCCGTTTCATACACCGGCAAATGCATTTACAAAGACACAGATTTCTCACATAGCCTACACGGGCTGTTGAAGCAAGTTCTGTTAGTAAGCAACGATGAAAAGGCTGGAACGGCGCATGGGAGGGTGGTGTGGCTAGAATGACGCCCAGAAATATGGAACCATAATGCATTATGGAGGAACAATGATACAAATGTATAGCAAAAACAAATCCCATACTCTCACAAACAAGTTTTCAGATGAGAAAGACCTGTGGCTATTTCCACAGTTAAATAATAATTGGTCACCAAGTGTCTGCTTCTCTTTTTACCTGTCCATACATGAAATCCATTCAGTTCAAATATGTGTGAAGATCCCCCATATTCCCGTTTATTATTCTGGAGAGAATTGTGCCACGTGCAATTGTGCGCGTTAATGCTCCCGAGTGGGTGGTGTGACCAGAACCGCGCTGGGGTGACGCCTTTGTCACCCCAGCATTGATGTTGAGGCAGGGTATGTGCATGATGGTCTTGCAGGAGTCTATTGCCTCACTACACCTCGTACAAAGACAAAACCTAAGTCAAGACTTTTTACAGACTGTAATCCAAGTGACGTTAGCGAGAACCTATTAAGGTCGGCACGCCGCACAAAAGGGTGGTGTGGTTATAAACACGCCCGACCACGTTTGTCTCCCTAGTGCTGATGTTTAGGCACAGCGTCAAATACGAATTGATGGCTCATCTGACCGAGGCAATGCCTAGAACCGCTATTGGTATTCGCCACTGATTGTGAGCCGTGTTCACGAATCGAACCCAGCTGGGCCAGATTCAAAGGGCTGTGTGCTAAAAGCTACACCATCGCTTCACCCTGCACCCAATAAACACAATGACGCATGCAGGCGACACCATGGACACAGGTATGTAGATTAATCCAACTCTCTCACGCACACCGTCCCGCTCTCGTGCCAGTATAAGAATCCCATATTTAGACTGAGTAAACTTTTGGATCGGCACTTATGTGTGTAAGCGACTGGGGCACACAAGTGAATCATACATCACGCTAACTCACCGACACTTTGACATGTACGCACGTAGGCGAAAAGAGACACGGGCCCATAGGACTCATACATTGAAGCAAGCACTCACTCAGACACATGCACACAGCGTTACATACAGATACACACATGCATAAAGACATAGACACACACCCAAATAAAAACAACTACTAAACACAACGAAATTCACACAATCCCATACATACAGACTCACAGACACAAAGATCCCCCGTATAGCCTGAACAGACTTTTTGCAGAAAGTGCTGTTAGCGAGCACCTATGAAGGCTGATATGGCACAGGAGGGGATAGATGAACAGCACCACCCTGGCCGTCCTTGTCTCTCCAGTTTTAGATATTGAATCAAATACTTATGTAAGGCTGAGTCAACCAGGATGGGCCAAAGACAGTTTCTGATGCCGCTTGCCACTGATATCCGTAGCCCGGAATCGAAATCTGGTCGCCGGATTTCTGTAACACCGCTCCCTATACAGTATTGATACTTCTACACAAAGCCAAATATCCGCGTATAACCTATACGGTCTATTGGGGAAAGTGCTGTTGGCGAGCACAAATTAGTTTTTTTTAAAGGCCGGTACTATGTAGCAGGGAGTGGTGTGCCATGCATTGGCCGCATTTTCCATGCTGATGTCTTACACCCCAGGTACTAATCAAATGCTGAGTCGACCTAGGTAAGAGCCAAAACCACACACTCGGACGCACGCAGACACTCACACACCTTACCCCTGCTTGTTCCCGCGCACACGGCTGTGGTACAGGTGTTTGTCGAAGGCAGATCCCTCCGAGGGGACGACGGTGACAGCGGCCAGCAGCAGCAGGTACGCGGCAAGCAGCATCATCCTCCCTGGAGACCCCGCACTGGGACCTGGCCGTGTCGGACGCCGGCTTTATGGGAGGCGGCACCCGGGAACGACTTGGGGGGGGGGGGGGTGCGGGATGTGGGAGTGAGCGGCTGGCTGGAGTCCGTCACATGCAGAGACCGAGATCTATCTCCCCTATAGCTTGCGGATTAGATTGCTGGGGAAAATAACTGTTTAGCCGGCCCAAGTTGGTGTGGATAGGATTTCAACTCAGGTCACCGGGTTTCGAAGCGCGGTGCGATAACTGCTGCGCCACTGCTCCGCACGCTACACACGCAACGCGCGCACGTGTCGCGTGCTAGTTTCCTGGAAGGGTTCCAAATCATTAAATAGCGTAACCATGTGCGCATAGACAACGTGCAGCCCTCTTTGGCCATGAACTTAATCGCTGGTGGATGAGGGCATCCCCACGCCGTGCGGGCTGTGGATTTAGTTTGAGTTCCTTTCATTTATTTTTATTTTATTATTATTACTTTTTTACCTACGTGACTTTACCGAAAGAACCTAAGATTATAGGCTATGGAAAGTTATTTCAGCATCTCTCACTACGTCGGTCAGCGCGAGTTGGTGAAGCGAGCAGCATCGAAGCACAGTACAACAATGAATATTGCTGCACTGCTCCCTGCTGACCAAAACGCAAAAGAACCCCAAAAGTTGTCTGATGACCAGGCGCGCAGTGGTGCCCCTCGTTCGAATGACATCCAGGCTGAAGCCGACTTATCCTGCGGGATCCGAAGAGATCGAGCGCATTGCGGGTGATTTGGTTATAGGCGTGAGAAATATAGATCCGTCCAAAGGAACAAAACTATATTGTCCTACTCGTGAACGGAATGTTGAATAAATGCATTTAGGACAGAGGGAATGTTACTGGTAGGAACCTCCTGGTTACACCAGCCCACAGGGGATTATTGTGTCCGTCCGTCGTGCATCCAAAAATGGGAGGGGTGGGGCTGGGTGGAGAGGGTGGGGATGGTGGGGAGGGGCTGGGTGGGGAGGGGCTGGGTAGGGAAGGGCTGGTCACCCCGTGGTGCCCTTATAAAACTCAACGTTTCACCTACTCACGCCGGCTTGTGCCCGTCCTCACAGTCGGCCATATTTGCGGAATACACCACGCCACATTAAATACGCACTACAATGACAATAGTTTAAAGCGATTTGAAGCATGTTTCATTGGGGGGGGGGGGGGGGGGGCAGAGCTTTGTGACGTCATATTTGAGGGGGGTCTGACTTGTTGTGACGTCGTGTGACGAGGGGGGGGGGGTCCAAAATCGTCCAAAATCGCGTGACCTCATTTATGGACGGCCCCTAACCTGTGCGGAATCGTTTGGAGGGGAGTGAGAGCAGAGGCAGGGAAACCAAGGAGCATAGCGGTGAATGAACCCGGGTGAAGCTGATCTCTATGAACAGCAGTCGGAGTCATTCCCTGTCCATCAGTGGATGCCACCGAGCTGTCCGATGGCTTCTGCGCTCTCCAGCACGCACAGTGCACCATCAACCAATTCACAGAAGTCGATTTAATTCATTCATTTATTATGGGAACATATAATGTGAAAATATTCATAGTCTTTGTTCTTTAATGTTTAGCAGAAAACAAGGGAATATAGATATTTAGTCTGACCTTGACCCTCCCTCACCTATGAAAATGCATTTTTTTAATTGTTCTAGTTCCAAGAAAATGCTCGAATAAATGTGCGCTAATAATGTCAGCATTATAGTCGCGTTTTGCATATTTACAAGAAGTAGTGTTTCGAGGATTCGTGAACTTGATTGTTTACGCCAGTGCCTTTTTCCCTCTCCAGATTTTGTCGCTAGGTGGCACACGTCTCACATGATAAAATACAAATATCGGTTACCTTGCGAAACGTACAACTACGAGAGTGCTAAATGCCAGAGTAAAATAGTTTTAGAAAATTAAGCTGAGATATGGTTACATTTATAAAGTGGCAAATTTTGCCAATTGGTAAGCTACAATATGGCTATGTTTGGACAAGTTGAGATGAGACGGCTGTAATCATGAGTATATTACTGTTTGGGATATATAATCGACCAGTTCTTACTGTATTTTTGCTGAAGACTGACATTTCTCAACACCTTCGTGGACTGTTAAGAGAGTGAAATTCGCACTCTCAAATCTCAAAATCTGAACAGCGAGCAAAGCAATTCAGACTTTGATAGCTGCGTCCCCACGCTGCTCAGAAACATCGCTTGAATCATCCACGACAGCAGTGGTTCTCAACCTTTTTGTTGGCTACTCTACCCCTTGTTGAATTTTGTTTCAAGCGAGAACCCCCTTGCCTGGCTCAACATGGTTCTGAGAAATAAATGTATGAATAATGAACATCAATATTTTAACCAATTGTCCATTTTGTTAGGTACCCTTAACTAGCTAGCAAGCGAATAGAACTATTCTAGATTTGAAGTTTTTGTGACTGCAAGGATCCATACTCTTTGGTTCTTTCGGTAAAGTCGCGTAGATGAGAAAATAATAAAATAAGAATAAAGTAAAAAATTAAATTTTAGTTATTTCTATATTTTTATTTTATTTTTATTTTTTTATTTTTTAACCTACGTGACTTTACCGAATAGAACAATTCAACGGGTGCTCTGCATCCACGGTGTAATTTGTTCGCGCTCGCTGGTTACTCTTGGAAACCCACTTTGCTTTAGAAATGCCTTTTATATCGATCAAGGTTACCATACGTACTTAAATGTTATCGTAGTTATTTTACATTGGCAGATTCATACGTGATTATTCACCAGTGATTCTCATGTACGATACAAATTCACGCATTTATGAATGACCTCTGGTGCATTGCCACGTATTTAACCCCCCAGGGGTCAGCGTGCCACCCCCCACGGGTTGAAAACCGCTGCTCTTACACAGTACTTCTGACTTTTTGTGTAACTCAAGTGAAATACACTTACTATGAGACATCTCCTTTACCAGTGTCAAAATATAGTAGTGGGTTTTTACCCTTTCAACTGGTACAAGGGTAAAAAACCTCCTACTGAAATACACGTACATATTTAAATACACGAATTCTAACTGTTGCTTACAAAGCAGAGATGCTCTAACTCAATGGGCTTTCACGTGTTTAAAATACTTCCACCGTAAATGGAACCGTTTGGCCCAACGTTGGCCCAATATTCCTTGTTTACTGGGACGAAGATTGTTGCATTCCTGTAAATCCATACGGTTTAGACGTATTCTTGGACAGGGAAATTGAGTTATCTGTTCGATACGGCGTACGGCGGTTTTAAAACATGTTTTTTTGTCTATTTGTTTGTGTTTCTCCTTTGTGATGGGACTTTGTGGGGTGAACGTTGAGATTTATAAGGGACACGGGGTGACCAATAAGGTCTGAATTTGTCTGTAATAAGTTAGGGCACTTATAAGGTGTTGACAGATAATTGGTTGTATTATGCATTATCATGACTTGTGTTTCGCGTACGTTAGTCTAATAAGAAGGCTACTGAAATGATGTGTACAGTATTTCGTTTTAATTTACAAAGTCATGTTTTAACGTTGATACATTTATACCTTTAATAATACAAATTTATTGGTCGTTTCCCAAGATACAATAATCATTTTTCGTATATATTTTAATTATGACACTAATGATTTTAACCTTCGCTCGCTTTATATTCATGACAATGTTTATTTAAAGTATTCAAAATTAAACGGTCGCCTCAGGCTCTGTCGTCATGGTAACGGTTCGCTTCTTTCAGTTGTTTTTTTTTCCTATTCAATTTTTAAGCCGAAAAATCATCACACCTTCTGCCGTATCGCTTTCCTTGCTATTATTAGTACTACTACAAACAATGAATGTTATTTATATTAAGTCGTTAAAAAAATAAAGTTTAAATAGTTTAACTTCCTGTGGAGGGTGACGTCACATCCGGCGTGTCGTCAAGATCACCGCTCGGCGCGTGGTTTGCTGTTAAGGCGGCTGGCTCCGTTAACAAACAACAACCAAATCTTTTGCGCTTGCAAACGTTTATTAATCATCTCTTTAAATTACGTTCCACTTTGCGAAGAGGCATGTCTCAGCAGGGAGCCGCGTTGCAGAACTACAACAACGAGCTCGTGAAATGTACGCGTTTCCGTGTCTACTATTGTTGGTCATATAGGACTGTAATACAGTAATAACCGTTCGTTGTGCGTCGCCCATATAACATTTTCATGGGTTTTTTTGTTTACAAAATGCAATGTTGTACTGTATAGCTATGCTCGCCACCTTCACCAACCCGCATTTATTGACCAGTATGGTCAAACAACGCCGGCAACCCGCATTGTGTGTGGAGGCCCTCATCCAGCAGCTGTTTGACAGACGACAAAGGCGTTCGTTCCCTTAGGTTTTCATACTATCAACCCATAGGGTTTACCCGTATTCTTGTACAGGGAAATGTAGTTCTCTGGTCTATGCGGCATACAGCCGTTTCAATACGGGCAAACAAATGTCTGTGTTTCTCCCCTTTAGATGGGAATTTGTAGGATGAACGTTGAGATTCGTAAAGGCACGGGGTGTCCAATGAGGTATGAATAAGTCTGTAATAAGATGATGAGAGGTTTGACAGGTATGGGTTTCACTCGGCGGCTCGTAGAATCTAAGGCCACGCCGCTCACATTCGCCACCCCTGAGGTGGCTCGTGGTCTTGGCCGTATCAGAAACGTTCAACAAGTACCGTACAAATTTCGATTTAAAGCTTTCGTGACTGCAGGGATTCATCTTCTTGGTTCTTTCGGTAAAGTCACGTAGAAGGGAAGTAATAAAATAATAAAAAATAAAACATAATAAAACAATTCTCACGACGTTTCGGCTACAACGCAAGCAGCCGTCTTCAGGTGAAGAATGAGACACTACCAAGCTAGGAGCTTATATATAAGCTGGGTTGTATATATATACACTCCTAGCTTGGTAGTGTCTCATTCTTCACCTGAAGACGGCTGCTTGCGTTGTAGCCGAAACGTCGTGAGAATTGTCTTATTATGTTTTATTGTATTACTTCCCTTCTACGTGACTTTACCGAAAGAACCAAGAAGTACTGTACACTTAACCCTGGGTCTTTGTTCATCTTGGTCACCAGGTCATTCATAATGGTCAAGTCCAATAATTAAGGCGATGCTACTGAGAATATGGTTTCAAGTTCGAGTTTCAGCCACCCGTTGCTTAAAGCCAAGTTTACAGGTGTAGTGAGCCGATGGTCTCAATCACGTCAGGAAATGACCCCACATGTGAAACCATTACATTTGAATGTGGTACTGGCATATTCCAGGTGTGTAAAACAATGTTTTGACATGTGATTGACACTCGTTTCAGAGCATTTGAGAGATGTGCGCCTAGTGTGAATGAAGAGACCTCAAAAGTAGACAATGTCATCTTCCAAGGCCGTTCTCTAACAAGGTTGTATTCTGCTTCCTGTGAGAGATGTAAATATATTCACTATGATGTGACGCCGATAGCATAGCTAGAACGTGAGATAAAACCCAACGCGTTTAAAAGATGCTTAAGTGTTAAGGAACCGGCGTCCAAGGGCATCCAGCCAATAAAAGCAAACAGAGCAGCGGGTATTGGGGAGGCTCAGGGGGCAGACTTAGACAGCAAGCAGTGGCTTAACTCTACATTATCAATCTTAACTTTAGAGCTTTCGTGACTGCAGGAATTATTCTTTGGTTCTTTCGGTAAAGTCACGTATAAAGAAAAAATAATAAATTAAATAATAGCATACGACGTTTCGATTGCAACACAAGCAATCATCGTCAGGTATAATGAAATAGCGACATAAAATCTAACCAGAAAAAATTATAGACAGACATATAAGCAGACAGATATCACCAAGATACACAGAGCGGGCAACATTATCAACTCAGGGGGTGCGGCAACCGGTGAGGTGGGGCCCCAATATTTGATTTGTCTCCCAAGGTCGCACCCAGGCAATATATCGCGGCTCCTCTTGCCGAATCACGTAATTTCGCTCATGGTCTGGAAAACGGAATGCTGTAGGGGCACTCCGTTTTAAATACGTTTTGTTATTGTTGAAAATATATCCCATGGTGGTTGCCAAAGGGGCCCCAACTCTTAGCTTTGGCCACCAGGAGGCACCCCCTGCCCCCACGCTCGTTAGACTACTGGGAGCAAGGCAATCAGAGGGAGAGATGGGGGCGAATGTGTACGTGTGTATATTTTGGATAAATGTCACTGTATATGGTTGTATATGCCTATACTGTATATACACACGTCTTTATATCCAAGTGTATAGTGTATACACATGTGTGTGGTTATGTGCACGTGTTTTTATGTGATTGTATACGTGTGTGTGTGTGGTTGTCTCTATTATATGTGCAGATCCGGGAGTGGTGGACCCAGTGATCTGGGTTTCATTTTTGGAAGATACATATCTGAACCGGTCATAAGCCTCCCCTATGTCAACTTGCTCTTAAAGTAGATGGTGCGATATGTGAACATCACCACTGGGGAAACAAAAGTGATTAGGGATGGTGATTGCCACACCACCTGCCTTTCGATGGTTGCTTGCAGGAATTGTCCTTGCAGTCTATACGGCCAAACGTGGGATGTCTGTAGCTAGTGTTTGTGCAGCATATCTGAGTGTAGAAGTCTGTGTGTGTGTGTGTATATATAAGAATGCATGCATCAATGAGAATTATATTTCGTGCATGTATATGTTTAAGTGTGTGAAATAAATATATGTAGTGCAAGGTTCTTCAAATTTCAACCCCCGGAAGGCTCTTGTAGTAGCCCACTTGAGCTTTGGCCTGCCGAGACACGGAGATACAGATGAATGAAATAGATAAAAAGATACAGGTGGGAGACCTGGAAACAAGGTACAATTTAGTAATCACATGTACGGATATCATACCATCACAAAGACGTTTGAGTCATAACGGCTATACATGTCTGATGTCTCTTGGCCCACCAGCACATGCTCATTTTATGATGTAACCTGCTGAAATATATAGTTGAAGAAGCCTGATATATTATGTCACAGATGTTCACTAACAGCACTTGTCCTTATTGCCTATAAGACCTAACGAGGATCGCTGTCTCTGTGCATGTGGTGTGTGTGTGTGTGCAGGCCTGGAGGAGCTGTGCGCACGGCGCGATGTGGCGGCACGCGAGGTGGCCGAGGCAGAGCGCGAGAAGACAGAGCTGGAGAGGGAGCTGCGCTCCATCTCTGAGCGTCTTGCTCGCACAAATGAAACGCTCGCTGCCCGTACACATACACGCAACCAGTATGAGCGCACTATCGCACAGACCCAAGCTGCGTACACCAAGGTGAGAGGATACACTCATACACACAAGTATCGTCAAGACACAGTACTCAGAAAGCATATGCAGTTTCCACAGCACTGAGACACCACATCACAGTAATTACAACACACAGCACACACAATACCTGAATAAAACCACATACGATAAACTATACATGCATGTAGACAATAAAGTACAGGCAGACGTTGCTGAATGCAGGGGTTAAGTTTCTGAAAAATGCCGCATTGGGCAAAACCGGTTTCGACAAATAATTAACTTCCATGGGAAAAATACGGTTGTGTTCCTGGGTCCAAAATGATCACCCCCACGCTCTTTGTTTAACTAACTACACGTAATTTCCACCATTGTTATTGCACTAGAGTGCGCAGAGTTTCTCTACATTTCTTGTGTGTTCGCACAATCGTTGTTTTTCAATTTCACTTCAACACAAGAAACCCATCCCCATTACTCTTCGCACACTGCGGCACTGACGTCCAATGCTCAATCCGAACGTCACTTGGGTGTTAATGATCCACCATCTAGTCCATATGAACTAACGTTCTCAACAAGTAAACAGCTAGATTCTTGCGGCAATATGTGAACATTTGCTTATTGCTTTTGTGCGCATTGATTGCATTACATTCACACAAAAATATACACGTGCAACAACATGTATGGTAAATATTTTGTTCTCACAGTTATTCATTCACACCTTCCAATGGATGCAGCACTTCTCACGCACAACTTTTCGACAAGGAGATGGAAAACTTGAGTTGTGTCAAACTACGTGTAACTGAAACATGACCCCTGTATTACGGAAAACAGACCTCATTAGGTAAACCATGTATTTGCCAAAACACACATTCGATAAAACCGTGTTGCACGAGGTTTTCCTTAAACAATAATGAGAACATGCATAATAAAACTCGCAACATGAATCATTCATCACTGCATTTGTGTACTTACATATGCTTACCCACACATACAAATATTCACACACATGGACACCCACTACACAATCTGAGATGTGCACAATCCTCATGCCCCCCCCCCACTCCCCTTGCCTGCCTGTTTATTCCCAACACTGACTTCTCATCCTCTCACCCAACAGATTCTGGAGAGCTCACAAACGCTGCTCACAGTGCTCAAGCAAGAGACGGGTGGCCTGGGCCGCCTGACAGAGCACACGGGCAGCCCCCGCACAGACTGTTGACATGACACAACAACAGCCCCATTTGCCACTAAGTGGCAGTAACATCACCACCACACTGATGTGTCAGGCTAAACATTACACGCATACACCTATGCATACGGGCTATGGGTTTCTCTAGGAATGTGTATGTGCTCTTGAGTGTATTTTATTTTTCGGATTGGCGTTGGGAGTGTGCATGAGTGTGGATGATAGTGAGCATGTGTGGGATTAAACGAGTTAGAATGTGTGTATCTGAAGACTGTATAATTGTGTGCGTGTGCGGTTTAATAAGTGTGAATTTGTGAATTGTTGTGTTCATTACTTTGCTGTGTTACATGACCTGCATTGCGGGTTCAATTCCTGGCACAACGCAGGAGTTATCTCAAATCTGATCACTAGGGTTGCCTTGGTATTGCAATACTACGATATGCGTATGCTACAATATCCACAATCTTATCGTCCGTTTTGCAAAATATATTTCGTGTTTATCTTTCCTCATTTTTCTAAATATTGTATTTCCTCACAATTATATAACAATCCCAATGATTAAAGTTGTAAAAAAAACCTAGAAAATATTTTCATTGATAAATATCCAGAGTAATAGATGGCATGGCGATTATATGATGTAATTTCCATACTTTATTTAATTAATTTCATTGTTTTTCGTGTGACAATATTTGTTATAATTATAGTAGCTCGTAATGATTAGAACAATTATGGCAGGCTTATGTTGAGTGAACTGCAGTTAAAGTAATCTTCATATTTCTAGAACAGCAAAGTGCAAAAACAATACAAATGTGAAATACAATTGCAGCACTAAGATATGGGAAACTGGTACCGCAATATTCGTAATTTTTTTATTTCGTATTTTGACATGTACCGTGAAAAATATGGCAACCCTATTAAATATTCCAAGCGGTCAACACCAACAAGTACAAGAGACAAAAGAGTAGAGGGGGAATGTGGCGTCTCCACCGTGTATTTTGGTATGCCACCCTTAATATGTACTTGTTTTTAACAGTAGCTGACGACCTGTCGAGGTTTACAGGAGGAACCCTGCTTATAGGTGTGTTGTGTGTGATGCTGTCGGGACTATTTAGAACATTTTAAATCCAACACGTGATTTTAATAACTTCTGTATTTAGCTGTTTGACATACATTTTTCAAAGTTAAAATCCGATATGAATGTACATTGTAATAAAGTCTTATATTTGTATTAATAATGTTGTGGCTTGCTTTATTATAAGCTGAAGACGGAAGCTTGTGTTGCCTCCAAAACGTCGCGATTTAATTTTTCCTTTTTTTTTACCTACGTGACTTTACCGAAAAAAGCAGAGTATGGACCCTTGCAGTCACGAAAACTTCAAATCTAGAATTATTATAACCTGTTCTTGATTTGCCTGCTACCCTACATGACAGTTATCCCCGATCGCCTTGATTACTATCGGTTCTGATAGCTGTAATGGTTTCACTTTATTGCTTTCCAATTCAGGTTGAAATCGGAAATGGAATAACTACTCTTTGTTTTTTTTTCAGTAAAGTCACGTTGGTAAAAAATAACAAATGAAAACCACTAAATTAAATCACTAGTGATTTACGTGACTTTACCGAAAGAACCAAAGGGTATGAATCCTTGCAGTCATGAAAGCCCTTGAAGCAGTCAGTCCACTATGCACCACTAAAAAAAAGTTATCTTGGAAACGAATCATGATTGGGAGTGGGGGGGCAGTCGTTTATGCGATTGTAGGTCATTCAACCCTGGAACGTGCCATTGTTTTTCGCTGTAATTGAGCGCATTGACACCCCCGCGTGTCAATGGTTCGCTCCGCTGTGGCCACGTGCAGCCGTCCACCCGGGATGTACCACTTGCGTTTTGGGGGGGGGGTTTTGTTAAACTTGGAATCGGCACAGCCCAATCCGGCGCTACCTTCCATTCGTGAAGCCGGTCAGTCGGTCGGTGGTTGAGCTCCGAGCGAAAGATGTTGTACAGCTTAGAGAAGGGACGCGTTTAATGAGTACAACTTCAACAGAGAAAAGGTTTCCGCTGCTCAAACAAAGTCTCTCTTTACGGTTGGTGAGCTCAAACGTAGTATTTTGTCTACACGTTATAATATATTGATGTCATTGCTTTCCGACTGAAGCTAGTCGAGAGGGGGGGGGGGGGGGGGAAGGTGTCTTCCACGTAGGCCTCGTGTAACGCACACCTCTTAATTTGTTTGTGCTTTTAAATTAAAACGTGCAATTTAGTTACACTTAGAAACCGTGTCCGTGGTAGGACACGTGTATCGTATTGTCACGATCTCGCCTTGCTGTTCGCAATGTCTTTCATTGTCGCTCATACGAGCTCACAGGCCTCACATCTTGCGATTCTTAGGGTTCGCTGCTAATGGGGTGCCGATCGAATATTTGGGAATAATTATCATTGATCAAGGAAAGCAGGAGGTCAGGCTGAAGCTACCCACATTGCTATGGCTCGGAGAGACGGACTTTCACACGACGGCTCCTTATGGGGGTTTTGTTTCATGTTCATTGCTCATTGAACCAGACGAAAGGCAATGCATTGGATTCGTGTGGTTCACTTTTCATACTGAACGCTCATCGGTCGAGATTAAGGCATTCATAGGATGCATAGGGTTCGTATCTGAAGCCCATTGATGCAGACTAAAGCACCTATACCCAGGCTAAGACTGCCATAGTGTTCATTGGATTCAGTGTAAATTGTCTAAAGGCTTCTGAATACGACGAAGACGCCGTTAGAATAATCTGGGTTCAATTTAATTGTCCAACCGTTAAACCACACAAGGCACCCTTAAGGTGTTCAGTGTTTAATGTGTGTGTCCGATAAACAGGCTTTTTATTAGGTTTCTAAAGTGGCAACATTTTGTAATATTTCTAAGGAGAGACTTGTTAACCTTACAGACCCTGCTAGCAAATTGTGAGTTCATCGAAAGACCCCAGCATATACTTACATCAGTAACATTATGATGGTATGAGGGAAAATCATAACCACTACAGGTGGCTAATAATACATTCTCGAGATTATACATTTATGTATTTTTATCTTTCTATAATTGGCCAAACATCCCAATGCAGAGACTGAGTGTGGCTTTGCTGGATAAAGGGAATGATCATAGTTATTGTAAGCATTGACCAAGTCAATGTCAAGGACAACTAATTTATGGATTGTTGCAACTATTTTTTTTATTTTACTCGCTTTCTATTAACTCACTCTGTTGTTGTTTCCTCAAATATTGCAACTCAATTTTAACCCACTTCCCAATGTGGTATCGACTGCAAACTTGGTAACTTATGTCATACTGATGACAATACTATATTCTATCATAAAATAATGTTAAAGAAAAATGTAAACAATCTTTTTTTATATGTTATGTTTCGGCTCGGGTCTAATTGTCCACGCTCAACTAACGTTGGCTGTAAATTACCACGGCTCCTTACGTTATGGCAAGCCTCAGGGCCACTTCCTGGAGTCGTGGAGTTCTTCCATTACTAGTAGGGTACATTTCATTAAAGCGTGTTTTAAAAAAAGTTTGTTTTCAACATTACTTATTCACTCTCGTGTCACTGCCTCTCTTTGCCTCTCCCCACTCTCTTCTCTCCACCCCCATAGGTGGGCTTTTTGGGGTTTCTCCCCCCCCCCCCAGCTCCCTGGTGTGCCAGCGAGAGAGATGGTGCAGCCCCTGGCAGTGCCAGTCTTGGCGGGGGAGCTGGACCCCCTGTTCGTGCGCGCCCTCGGGTACCTGCGCTCGCGTTCGCGCGACTCGGCCGAGCGGCTCCGCACGCTGCTTGATGACGCCCTGACACGCAGTTCGGGAGATCCGGGCAATCGCATCCCCCACAGGGTTGGGCCCCCCTCCCCCCCCCCTCATAATTGTCCTCTTCTTGTGTGTGTATATATATATACACTTAATGTGGGGAGCGGTAGTGTAGCGGTTAGCGCGCTGCGCTATGAACCTGGCGACCCGGGTTCGATTCCTGCTCACGGCTAACACCAGTGACGATTATCTGAACCGGTCCTGGGCCTCCCCTAGGTCGACTCAGCCTCAAATGAGTACCTGGTGCGGTATGTAAACATCGCCGCTAGGGAGACAAAGGCGGTCGGGCGTGGTGCTCGCCACCCACCCCCTCGTGTACCGTTCTGGCCTTCATAGGTGCTCGCGAACAGCACTTGCCCCTACAGTCTGTTAAGGCTATACGGGGGATCTTTATCTTTGTCTTATATACACTTAAGTCACAGCACTTAATTTTCTTTTCTCTGGAAGGATGCAGGGAAATGTGGTGAGCCAGGATTAAAAAAAAAAGTTGCACTGAACTTTTATCACACCAATCGCATGCAATGCATATTACTTCCTTGCTAATAGAATACTATATATTCTATGGAACAAAACAATGATAATACACTGGAAGTAATTGCTCTACAACAAATTACAGTAAAACCTTGGATTGCGAGCATAATTCGTTCCGGAAACGTGTTTGTAATCCAAAGCACTCGTATATCAAAGCACTCGTATATCAGTTGTGATCACGTGACGCTCGGCAGACAAAGTGTATACGTATTACTCGTATTGCAAGACCTCGCTCGTTTATCAAATTAATATTTATTTAAAAATTTTGCTCGTCTTGCAAAACACTCGCAGACCAAGTTACTCGCAATCCAAGGTTTTACTGTATATCTACAGATTGAGGAATAATATACATTTAGAAACAGCAAAGTAGGAAAGAGCAACGTCTTACAACTCTGCTGTCAATTAATATCAACATTGGAAGTAACCCAAAGCTTTACTTTTCTCATCAGTATTATGTATCCACAACACCCATTACCAACACTAGCTTAATGCCATGGGTAATATCACATTCATCATATTATATGCTTCTGACAGACAAAATGAGCGAGTGACTTATGTAAATTCTAGTGACGTTAAAGAATGTTTCTCTGATATTTGGCACAAAAGACGAGTCTATGTAACTCTTAGTATACAATTTAAATTATGAAAGGTGGGTTCCTAGGAATTATAGCCTGGAGGTTGATTGGTTTTACTTGAAAGTCTTGGCTTCGCCTAAAATTGTAAATTGCGTTAAGTCTTGTGCTAAACAATTTGCCTCCCATGGAGTGTGACGATCATGCTGCTAGAAAGTAGGTCACGCCCTTTACTGGCTGTATGGGGGATCTCAGTCTTTTTGTATTGGATTGTGTTCCTATGTAACATGTTCGTTATAAGTGTATTTGTGTATGTGCAAGTGTACGGTTATACACTTATGTACGTGTATATGGATGCTTGGTTAGGACGTGCAATAAACATGGCACTGATGCCAAGGTGTCAAGTACATTGCAGTAATTTATGTCTCCACCTTTGAAAATGTATGTTGCATTTGTGCAAAGGTACATGTGCATTTTGTTTGATGCGAATACAAACTATCATGCAGAAGGCCGAGTGTGTATACCGGACTCCCTTAGATTGCAGGCCAAGAGATCGAGTCTGTCATTTGCAGGACCTGGAAGCTGTGGTCAAAGGAAGCAAAGGACACTCGTCCTCCAAGCATCACGAGGGAAAACATGGGACACGACCGCCCTCGGACAAGAGCAGGAGAGACGGGGACAGGAAGACGGACAGGGTACGACACATATACACGGGTCGCACACAAATACACGGGACACACACGTGCACCCCACAGCACGCACATACAGAGGACCCACGTGCACTGGATGTATATTCATTTAATTCTCAAAGCAGCAACCTTAAGCTGTTGAAATAATGACTTTATTATTGGTCAAGTCAATCAATGAAGCATTTTTTTTTAATCATGCAATTTCCATATAGTGTTTGCCTTATTAAATTAACAATTTACACATATAATTTTCAAATATGTGTTTTAAGTGCAAGAGTTTGTTGATAGTAATTTTAATAGTTGCTACTATTACTCTGGTTAATCTTGAGTGAAGCTTTGGAATGGCACTAGACCCGAGGTCAAGGTAAGGAAGGATTGATCACGTCATCACTGTGTCACGCTGGCCACGCACTGCAGTGAATTCTGAATGTTTAGGAGGCCGCATGCCCTGTGTTCTCCATGTTAAATGCCTACAAATTAATCGATTCTAAAATGTTTTTTTTTTAATCCATGAATCATCACCAAGTGAAATGGTGTTGGATGCGACTGTACAGGCTAGGCCGGAGGGGCTGGATGTGGCTCATGAGCATCCCAAGAAGCCGAAGCTGGAGCGAGCAGACAGTGGCCGGAATGGCGCTGGTGGCGGCGGAAACTCCCCTGCGCTGTTGCCCTTGCTGCATGCGCCGCAGCAGCCGGCCCCGAGCCGTGTGGCCGACATCCCGGCACAGGAAGCCCCCGTCACCGGAGGCCCCGAGTTGTCTGATGAAACCAACGCCGACGATTTTGCCATGGAGATGGGACTGGCATGCGTTGTGTGCCGGTGAGGGTATGAGGGGGATTGTGGAGTTTATTATTGTATACGTATATTTTTTAACAAACTCGTCACGAGTTGGTCAGATGTGTTATTGTGTAGCCCACCAAAGGTATGTGAAAGTCTTGTTTGACGCTCTGAAAGGAAAAGATTCCTCACCCCTGTTCAGAGGGTTAAGTAGCGATTTTTACACACGTCCATAGAGCGCGAGTTCATTTATCTGTGCGGTGTGCTTGCGTCTGAGCAGGCAGATGACGGTGAGCCCGGGGAACCAGCTGGTCGAGTGCCAGGACTGCCACGACCTGTATCACCAGGAATGCCACCGCCCAGGCGTCTCCGACAAGGAGGCTACTGACCCCCGCCTTGTATGGTACTGTGCTCGCTGCACCAAGCAGATGAAGAAGATGGTACGAGCGCCCACACACTCTCACATGGTCACATGCTCTCACGCAGAACAGCGAGGGTGGAGCAACACGTCCACAAAAAATGTTGTTGCCGTCTTGACAAATACATTTAATTACATGATAAGAATCTATTGCAGGTGAAATCTCATTTTAACATTCACACTTTTCACTTTTTCCAGCTGGTTGAGTGCCAGGACTGCCACGACCTGTATATACTCTTAATGTGCATGTAATGTTAAAAAAATATGTACCTCTAATGTATATTTTCAGATGCATGTCTCAAAAATGTTCACTAATCGTGTAACGATTTTCCTGCCCCCACAAGTGAACGATCAGTTAATTCGCTTCGGAGTCACGATTCGATTCAGGAGTTTCCTTTTTGGTCGCACGTTTATGATTAAATTTGTATTATTTCTAATGTGTTATTTCGTAACTTTATACAGACTTGTTAACAATGTAATTTCCATATAATATTCCTAACTATTAAATTAGCATTGTGAGAATTCATCATAATCAATTAATCACAGCTTTGTTACATGCATATTATTAATGTTTATATCTCTGTGTGATGAACCATTCCAAACATTCAGCTCACTGAATTTTAGGAGTGCATGACGACTAACTCGTACAGATTTGGCTATATGCGAGAACGTGTTGGCATAAGCTATCAAGTGTGCAGGCAGTTCAACTGCACTTGAGCCCAAGGGATGGAGGGGCCCAGGCACCAGCTACTGTGAGATAAGAAATTAAGACATGGGGCCCCATTTCATTGTTTGCAAGAGCGCCCATGCCCATTATGTCTTGCCACTGCGTGCTCGTAACGGATGGTGATGGTTGTGTGTAAGGTTATAAGTACACGTGTGCCTGCGTGTGTGCGTGCGGTGGGTGCGTCTGCAGGCCGTGCAGTCCCACAAACTGCAGAAGGTGGTGGCCAAAGCTTCGATGTCGCTGTCGTCGGCACCGAGCCCCTACGTGAGCAAGGAAGCAGCCGTGAAGAAGCCAGAAAACAAGAGCCCATCGGACTTCTCCTTCCAGGCCTTCAAGCGCTCCGAACTCAAGGTGCACTGCCATGAGCTGACCAAATCACCTTTACGGTTGCGTATGATACGTAGTATTGTACTGTGTTTGGGTAATTCCATGGACGTGTTACATTGGTTACGGCAAAAACAAGTAAACAGATGCATTACAATTAAACAGAAAGGGGCACACCAACTTTTGTAATCTTCAGACTACACACCACTTACTGAAGTTGAATGTCTAAATTGTCAACTTATATGTTGGTGTGCCACATCTTGTTCTACGAGTGCTCACATTCCATGCTGCCTCACTTGAGTTAACAGAACTTTTCTCATTAAACTATTCAGGATTTTTTTTGCGACATCTACATGCTCATAATTTTCCTACAGAGAAATAATGTATGAACTTAACATGCTCATGGCATTGTTATTTTTGCGGGACCTGTAGATAATGAGGCATAATGTGATATTGCATAGTTTTTATAAAAAATGTTTTTTAATAAGGAAAGCACAATCTAAAAAAAAACTAAGAGCTCATTGTGTTCGAGGTGCATTCCTAGGCTTTGTGCCCCAGACTGTCTGACACGAGTATAAAGCTTTGTTAATGAGAACTGACTAATGTTGTTAGGTTTCTAGTTTTTTTAATTGTAGAAGATTTTGTAGTTGTTTGGGATGTGCTGCATTGGGATGTTTGCCCAGTTGAATTATGAACTTTTTAGCATGTAGGAGGAAACCAGTGTACTTAGAGAAGAGGCATGCAAACAAGGGGTAATACAGAAAACTCCGCTCATAGAGTCAATCTGTCGATACATCCAATCTGTTGAACCTGTGGACTCAAGCCATTGCTATAGGGCCATCTCCTGTTCTGGCCACCTCGCAGTCTCAAGCCTGCAATACCTGCCTACCTTTGTGGTGTTCCTTGTGAGAAATAAGATTCTTATGTTGCTCTGCGTTAAATTTTGACTGAACTTTCGTGACTGCAGGAATTCATATTCTTTGGTTCTTTCGGTAAAGTCACGTAGATAGAAAATTTATGATAAAAAAATAAAGTGAATAAAAATAAAATAATAATAAACAAAAACACTAATGTAGACTGAAGCCTGATTTTAATCGGAGTGAGTGTACTGGCAATCTATAATGTAGACTGTAGCCTGGTTATTAAGTTTGGTGATTGTACCGGTAGTCTATAATGTAGACTGTAGCAATTGTTATTAAACTGAGTGAGCGTACTGGCAGTCTATAATGTAAACTGGAGCCTGGATCTTAACCTAGGTGAGTGTACTGGCTGTTTATTATGTAAACTGGAGCCTGGATCTTAACCTGAGTGAGCGTACTGCCAGTCTATAATGTAGACTTATTATTGGTTCTTTCAGTAATAAAAAGTAAATGAAAAACAAAAACCACGACGTTTCGATCGCAACACAAGCAGTCGTCATCAGGAAAAGGGGGGTTAGCCTCTAAAGGCAAACTGTTTATAAAGGTTTAGAGATGGGCGTAGCCCAAGTGTGTCAGCAGCATGGGCGGGGAAGTTGTTAATAATGTAGGAGAAGACAAGCAACTACATCAATCAAAGGGCCGCCAGGCAATCATTGCATCTCGCTACACACACCCACACTGCTGACATTGGAGGTTGACAAGAAAGCACAAATCATGTCATGACCCAAAGTGGTTTATGACATCTTGCTGAGTTTATAACCATCCTCTCGGTGAAAATTGTGTCTGCCTGTATATATGGATGGCTTGCTCTGTGTTCCTTTGCACTTAGGGTACGTCCTCCTCGGCCGTCGCCCCCTTGCAGTCGACTCCAGCCTCCTGCTCCGCAGCGTCGGCTGCCGGCCCCACGGGGGCAGGTGGACTCGCGGGGTGGGCCGCCAACTTCAACACCAAGACATCATCGTCATCCTCAACGTCGTCGTCATCGTCGTCGTCACCATCGTCGTCATCAACGTCATCGCAGATGCCCTCAGTCTCTTCTTCGTCATTTTCCACAGCTGCCCCTCCTGGAGTCCAGATTACCAAGGCCTCTAAGCTGCCCTCTGTCAAGGTGCTCCTCAAGGCGTCGCCCTCAGCCTCCTCAGTGGGGACAACAACAACAGCAGCAGCAGCAGCAACAGGAGGTGGTAGTGGGCCGGTGTCCCCAGCAGGCCTCATGGCCGTGCCGTCCATTAAATCAAGCAGCAGCAGCAGCAGCAGCAGCCTGGGGAAAACTAGTGCTGGCGGCAACAGCAGCGGTGGCATCAGCATCACCATCAGCACAGCGGGAATGTCCGGTGTTGGAACTGGTAGCATTGGGGCTGGTGCGACAGTGGGGGCAGCTACTGCTACAGTGATTGCAGCGCCAAGTTCGGCAATCACTGCGGGCAGTGGGGGAAGCAGCAGCTCGGGGAATGGTGCGGGGAAGGCGCCGACGTCACAGGAGTCGCAGATGAATGCCCTGCGGAGGCTGCACCTCGTGAAGAAGAAGGCGGCTCAGAAGAAGCTAAAGAAGTGAAAATATGGCGCTTGGTCGGGTAGCGCAAAAGATCTCCGGTTGGCACTCACACTCCGTTCTGTCTTCCACCATTCATATTATTTTTCCATGTAACACTCATTCTCTCATTATCACCTTCTCAGCCTGGTTTGCTGTAACTTTCATGCTCTCTCCTTCAGACATTAAAATCTCTCTAATTTCCATTTACATCTCTCTTTCTCTTTTATATCCTCTCACCTTTCTCATGTTCACTACGACTCTCCTGCATTCGTTTTTGCTCACACTCAACACTATCACTCCCACTAATCTTTCTTAAATTTTTCTCTCTGACTCCTCTTTCCGTGCTCAGTCGACTTGACGCACTCTCTTGGTCTCATCCCATGAGCCAACTTGAAAGAGAATGGTATTGCGATGGAGGAGAAGACTACTCTGTAGGAACTTAGTAAAAAAATGCTGTTATTTTATCTCCTGCATAGGAAACTGGGACTCTAAATGAAATGCAACATCCTCAGGCAATTGCGTCAACTTTTATTGTAATGATAAAACTATATTCGAGTCTGCTAGGATGTATTTTAATATTGGTATTCGCCATTGTAAAGTTACCAGTTTGTATGTCTGCCACCTCAAAGACACCTTTCAAGTGAAAAACAAACACCTGGAAAGCTTGAAAGATTATACAGATGCATTCAGAACAACCTTTAATTAGACGAATGACACCTTTTATTTAGCCAGGTGACAACCTGATTGCAATAATAACAATTGAGTAAAGGACATCTGAAATGTCCAGAGACTGTTGGTCATATACTTGAGATTTAGTCATAAAATAATGGCATTGCAGTCTCCCACTGATAAGTCACCGATAAAGGCCCATATAATAGTTGTACTTTAAGGAGCATTGTGACTTAATTAAATGCATCGTTTTTGGTAACGAGTCTAACACACACTTCCAGCCATCACACCAGTGGCACAATTTTATGGCACAATCTTTACTTTGTCGCCAAAATAAGCGATCAAGTATTGTCCTGTGATAAAAATACAAAAAGGGATTGAAATGAAATGCGTGTTGATAATATTTACGATTACCAGTCCCAACATTTGTATTTACACCCAGAGGAAGGGCTGACAGGTTGATTTTAATAGACCATCTCCACTTTATAAGCAACTTTACACTCATTTTAAATTTGTGAGTTGGCATCTGGGCACAGGTTAAAGTATTCTAAAAACTCCTACGTTTATCGAGTGACAGCAGAGTGAAATAGCATAGACCTTGCTCCTCCACATCCTTCAAGGGTAGTTTATAACAACCACAAGATTGGGTTCCCCTAACCGGGGTCCCAAGCAATCATATATCTTCTGAAAACATCCTTCCAAGGTCTGCCTTGCCACAACCATGAAAATATGCGTTATGCCCCCATCGTGAATACACCCTAATAACCGTGATTGTCCATCTTCATGTATTAACTAGGCTGGGCTGGGACCATCAATTTGCCATATGTCAGAATATCGTTTAAACTTTACTCGGAGCCAGAAATTGAAGAGTTGCTGGTTGTTTGCCTGTAGCCTAGTCCAAATCCTGGTTCTTTGTGGATACGTCTCATTACCCTGGTTCTGAAACCCCATCTCATATATTCAGGTCTCAATGTACACTTTTTTAAGATAATTGTCTTGAAACCCATTTTCCTCTGAAATATTTAGTTCCTCGAACCCTATCATGAGTAGTCGAATTGCAAAACAATTAAATTCAAACCTGGCCCTAAGACACTCACCCTGGAGCCCTGACCCTAGACATTGATCCTAAGATCTGGCCTTCTGGAGTCTGCGTGTCTCAGGCTTGAGTGTCAAGGTTGTGTTCGAGCAGCACCGGATAGACTGTGCCAATGTGTGAGCCATGGCGGTGGCATACGAGTTCGAGGCGGAATTCATCGAGGCGTAGGGGATATCGTGATGAACGCTCCCCATCCCGGCTGCCTCCGCCAGCCAGGAAGCACAGTGTGTAGGTGGCGAGCTCAAATTCGGGGCTGCAGCCGATGAAGGAGCTGCCCGCAGGCTTTACAGCTGCCTTCCAGCTGAACTGCAGGGTGAGCAGGTGGTCGTCCTCATCAGGCTGAGCGGGGGGTGGGAGCAGAGAGGAAAAAACGATAGGGGTAAGAATAGAGTTGGGGTGCAGAAGAAGAAAAAGTCAAGAGGTTATGGCGAATACAATGTAGATGACGCCGCTTGGCATCACCTCCGAAGGGAAACAAAAGGGCGAGTGAGACCAAATTGATAAAAGGTGATGCAGTGAGAGAAATGAGGACATACAGACAGATAACGGGGAAACATTGCTTGACAGATGGGCATAGACGAGGGAGATTTTAAGTGCCGAGTGCATGGAGTAAGATAAGGGGGATCATTGTGGCTGATAGGTTAAGCTCGAGCTGTGCTAACTAGAGTTAGCACTGAAAGGTCCAGTGGTAGCACTCGGTGGTGGAGAGAAGTACTCAATGTCGGTACCTCACTTCCCCTCCCCATGGCCTTCCATCATACAAACCATCGGGTGTGTGCAGTTTGTCATGAATAACATTTTCATTTAAATGAAAAACATGGATCGGGGAGGGTTGTGTGGTATGCGTGGACTGCGCTCGAGGTAGCCCTGGAGTGTATAGATCTTATTCCCGGGGTTGTCCGGTCTGGCTCGAGCACTGGCTGTTGCTCTATACCAGCATGTGTACGGATTTGTGCCTTGACCTTGTCCTTGTATCTGCGGGCGACGAAGCCTTTGTAGTCGACGTTGCCGCGCTTCTCCTGGAGGTAGAACTGCACCCAGTTGTGGAATCCGAGCAGCTCTCGAGAGCGCCTCGTCTCGCCCACAAACACGTGCTCGAAGCCACTCGAGTCGGCGCTAATACAAGCATAAATAAACACAAGTTTGATGACGGCGATTTTATTCATGTCGTTGAAAGTCCGTATTACGTGGACGGGTGTTTAAATAGGTAGTTATTTTCAGAGAACATTTGTTTGCATCCACATGACGACTTTGTCCAGTCACTCTCCACTAACATACACCTGTATCAACAAGTCACAAACGTCCACATTTGAAGTGGCTATGTTCAGACTGCAGGGCCGTCGAGAGTAGGAGGCAAAGGGGGAAGTCTGCCCCGGGTATATAGGACCCTGCAACGGTCTGGTTTCATGCCACTCATGAAAGGGGCTTCGCATGGAATTCACTTGTGCTTCAGCCGTTATGAACTTCTGGACGGGCCTGCTGGGCTGTGTGCCAGATGTTCCAAAATGCCCCTTCTAAACTTTCCCGGAAATTTAATTGTACGTGCAGTGTGGGTGTGTGGACTAATAAAACATGCCAAAAGAAAAATTCACTGCAGAGATGGGCCGATAACATTAACTCGTGCACAGGGTTCATATTCTTAGGTTTTTTCGGTAAAGTCACGTCGGTAAAACATTAAAATTAATTAAAATAAAATAAAAATCACGACGTTTCGGAGGCAACACAAGCTTCCGTCTTCAGGTGGAACCGTCACAGCCACGACAGCTGTATCAAGTAAATGAGAGATTGCAGGAGCTACCACTCCGTTTATATAATGGTTGGAGAAGGGGGGGGGGGTAAGGGCCAAATACAGCACACTTTTTATTAATATGGTAAGGTGAGGCTTAAGAGGGTGAGGCTTTGTTATGGAGAGGTACGGTTTGTGACTCAACCTGTGACAAGGAGACAACCACTAAACCTGGTAAACCTGTAATAGTTGTCTGTCGAATAAGATTGGCAAATAAGTGTAGTTAAATCTTTTTTGCATGGTTAATCACATCTTTCCAATGATTACTCAGTTTGTAACCGTCATCACGGTTGAAATTATCTCTGTGTTTCTATATTTGTATGGCTTCGTGTACAAACCAATATACAAACACAGACATAATTTCAACCGTGATGACAATTTACGAGAAGAGTTGTCCCATTAATAGACAGATAGCTTCCCACTATAGGCGTTAATGTCCCACCACCTAGCAGTGTAGACTGCCACCGAACGTCTCTGAGGACAAGACGCTGGGTTCACCAAGGAGATGCAATTATGTACACACAACACGAGAGAGTGGGCAACTTGAGGAGTTGACAGAAAGAAAACGGTTCTGATGGTCTCAGCCTACTCACAAGTGACGACAACAATCGTGAGATAAAATTTGCTTTTCAACTTTATTTGGCTAAATTCCATTGCTGAGAATATTTTGGTTTCACTGTCACGTGACGAACATCATATGTATAGTCGGTGGCCATGTACTGCCCTCGACTGTGTGGACCACAGGTCACTTGAATAGATCACAGGTATTCTTGTTTCTTTCGATAAAGTCACGTAGAAGGGAAACAATAAAAACATATATAAAACAATACAAATCTCACGACGTTTCGATTGCAACACAAGCAATCATCATCAGGTGTGAAAACCAAATTTTCTTGCTGTGGTTTTCACACCTGATGATTGCTTGTGTTGCAATCGAAACGTCGTGAGAATGTTATTGTTTTATATTTTTATTTTATTGTTTCCCTTCTACATGACTTTACCGAAAGAACCAAGAATATGAATCCCTGCAGTCACGAAAGCTTTAAATCAAAAGATCACCGGTAGTTCTGGTATTTGCTTATTTAGATCACTCTCTTAACACGAAGGGTTGAACTGCTCTGCAAGATATCCAAATGGAAGTAGTGTCACATCACATGACACCAAGAACACAATCGGGATAATATTGGGGGAAATTTCCCCAAAAAATAAATGGTCATGGCAAAAAAGAATGTAGCTTCAAGTTGCACCACCGATAGTATGGGAATAGGAATATCCCTGGGTTTAGATCCACGCACATGAGTGTAACATTTTTAATTAATCGGTTAATCCATACATGTCCACTCACCAGCCTCCACGCGAGTACAGCTCAAACCAGATGCGGTAGAGGTGCTGTTTGAACTTTCCAGCATCCTTGCTCGCCATGCCTTTGCTCGCCAGGAACTCGTGGGCGAATCTACACAAGCATTGCATCCGCACACATTTCCACGTGTTCTTACGCTCGGCTCTCGTTAAATTAACCTTGTCCCCATTACTCTGACGTTCATACAGAAGCAATTTTTCCATCTCAACCATCTCTCCCACTGATGACAGCCCAAAACAACTGCGCGTTTCGTTTTGTTTTACGTTAAAAGTAATGGAAACCACGCTGCGTTCCGTTATTATTTCTGTCATATCTCGCAGTCAACCTTTGTTCAGCGGGCGGTTGCTTATCCTCCTCTGCTGCCCTCGGAGTCTATAACTCCTTTCCCCCATTCCAGCCATCCCCGCTATTTCAACATAATACGCTTTGTATTGTATTGTGTATGTTATCCATCAGTGGATTAGTCACGGTTGACGATGAATTTGTGATGTCACATTTGCTGGTAACCCCCAGTCCGGCGGGCCTTCCCACCTTCATGACGGCCGTCTGCATGACGGCGTCGAGGAAGCGATGGTTCTCCCGCACCTCCTCGGCCGTCACCGTCTCGGTGGTGCCCGTTTGCTCCTCGTAATTGTCGAGTAATGCGATGAAAGCTGGCAGTGCACGCACATAAAGATAAAGACCCCCCCCCCCCCCAATATTTATACAGCTTCTTGGAGCAAGTGCTATTAAGGCAAAATATTCATTAGGGGGGCTGGTCGATGTAGAGTGGCGTCACGAGCACCTATGAAGGCAAAAGCAGAGCTAAAAGCTTCCCAAGTCACGTGGGAGGAGGGGAGGGGTGGGCTGTCCAGAAACTTTTAAGCAGGGCTGACAATTAGAAAAAAAAACACTTAATGCACGACATAAGGTAGGGGCAGCACGTGTACTTATTGTCATGGGCTCTCACTTCCTGTAGGTGTCTCGGCTCTGAAGCGCAGCCTCGTCCACGAAGATGAACAAAGGGCGAGCGGCACAGTCCCTTGCAGAGTCGCTCCCTGGAGGAACGTACCCCGCTCTGCCCTGTGAGAAACCACATCCCGATACACAGCGCGACAGAACCCAACGAGACCTCACAACAGCGATGCCACTACAGCTTAGAACAACCAGTGGTCTATCTTTACAGTCGAGCACATTGATATCAAGCGTGTACGACAAACATACATGCTCACTCTAAAAGGCGCAGTGGTTAGTCTATAGTGTAGACCAGTGGTTCCAACCCTTTGTCATGTAACGCCTACCAGACCTATCAACTGTGCGTGTTGCTCTACCAGCATATGAGGTTTATAATAAAAAAATATATATAAATACATACTTAACACCTCAAACGTCAAGTTAATGCGTAATAACTGATTACACAACTAAAGCAACAATGTTATGCAGTATTTCTGAATGTTTGATTTTTAGTTTTGACTTTTAAGATTTTCCAGCATCAAAGGAAGATTCAGGTCAGGTAAAAATGTGTGTTATAATTGGGCTTGACGAGAACCATCTAGCAGTGGATTGATCATGACTGATGGTGGACGATGGTAACCATACATGATTATGAAGCGCTCTGTGTTGTGCATTAAATGTACTGTATGATCTAGCACATATGCGCAACGTTATAATTGAATAGTGATAACTTGCGTACTGTATTCCCTTGCGTCCCTATTTATTTACTAGCCTTTTGACCTTCCAGGGACGGGTGTATTGCAGTAAATCTGAAACTTGCAAGCGAAAAGCAGACTGCGACGTGACATTCATTGCATTCGTGTGCAATTTGTAATGCCCCGGTGACAGACTGATTTTATGTAAAAGTTATAATCCCTTGTTCATCACGACGTGTTTTTAAACCAGTGGTTCTTAACCTGGGTTCGATCGAACCCCAGGGGTTCGGTGAGTCAGTCTCAGGGGTTCGGCGGAGGTTAAGACACACACCCGACTCGTATGATTGTGCACCAGTAAAACATATGTTTTGAATTTGAAAAAATCATATTTTATTTTTCCAATTAATAAGGGTTCGGTGAATGCACATGTTAAACTGGTGGGGTTCGGTACCTCCAAAAAGGTTAAGAACCACTGTTTTAAAGCCTTTATATTAAGTTCACTTGCTTGCTTAGGACCGTGCAAATCTTTCGGTCGTTTTTTAACCCACTTCCCGTGATCCAATCGAGCTGACATTTTCCACACAGACTCGTTGTGCGTGACAATTAATGTTCGTGAAAAAAAATTTCCCTAAATTTTACACTTTTTTGGACAAAAATATTATATTTAATTACCAATTGCTTAATGCTGCCATGCAATCATCTGATCCATAGGTGACAGCCATCTCAAGCCAGAGGACGAGAGGACTCTAGCCGCCACGCATATAAAGGATTTATAGTGAAAAACGTTGTTTTTACGGGTTATACTTGTTTACTTTGATGTCTCAACAGCGTGACAGAGATCGCGTGACGTGAGAGTTCTGCCTTTGTAGTGTGGAATCTTAATTTGGAGCTTTCGTGACTGCAGGGATTACTCTTTGTAGTGAGGGTTGTGAGTTGACGCCGAGGAGGGGGGAGGAGGCGCCTCGGTCCGTCATGTGGAGTGACGTCACCCGCTAATTATTATGAATGGGGGGGGGGGGTGTGTGTCCATTTGGAGGACGTCACATGTTCATGATTATTAATGAGGGGGGCTGTTCGATGTGGAGTGACGTCACCTGCTCATGATTATTAATGAGGGGTGGGGGTCCATGTGGAAGACGTAACCTGTTCATGCTTATTAATGAGGGGGGCTGGTCGACGTGGAGTGACGTCACGAGCGTTACACACAGACATCCTTGGCTCATTATAGTCGTTAATAATAATGGAGGGGGGGGGGTGTCCATTTGGAGGATGTCATCTACTCATGAATATTCATTAGGGGGGCTGGTCGATGTTGAGTGACGTCACGAGCGTTAAGGACAGACATCCCTGGATGAGTCTATGTAGGTATTATCACCTGTGGAGAGATGGCGTAGTGAGTGCCAGGAGTTAAACGGTTCGCGTCCGCCTTCCACAGCTCGTTCAGCACCCCCTCCAGCTCGGACAGCTGCACGCGGCTGCAATGCACACACCCAGACCCTCTACATATCTCTTCAATACACGAGAGCCCTGTGCCTATAGCAAGCCTTATGACCAGATCTCGTCTGAACTCGCAAGCTAAGCAAATGTGAGCCTGGTTGCCATCGGGTGTGCAGGGCTCCGCCACATTGCTGGCAGCAGAGGGGAGTGGAGTTAAATCCATTGTTGTGCTATACTATGCGCCTACCTGCCCTGACCAGCGTGATGAAGCATCGTCAAATAACCCAGACGACCCGCACGGCGTATGGCGGCCCTCGTCCTGCAGTGGATTGTCAAAAGGGCTGCGTAATTGTGCGCAGGGAAGCGAATTCCTCAACTCAATTTCAGGCGGGTATTGTAAGTGATGTGGTCTGGGACTGTTGTTGCTGTTGTTTTACTGCCTTTTCCAAACTTGGGAATTGATATATATGTATATAGTATTTATTTCAGGGCCACCACGGTGGTGTGATGTTATCTTCCTCGCCTGGTATGAAGGAGGTGGGGGTTTTTATCCCGATCCTGACGCCTGCTGTATATTAGGAGTTTACATGTTCTCACTGTGGTCGCTTGGATTTTATCTCCGAGTCCTCCGGTTTTTCCCTCCACATTTCGAAACATGCATTGAAATTATTTAGATTATTTTGCTGCTATACATTTGCACATGATAAGCCACTTTGTGACCAGGTCGTTTTTGAAAAATAAGGTAATACCTCAGTGAACCTTTCCTGGTAAGACGGGGATGGTTTAGTTTTGTCATGTTTTTGGGTGATTTGTTTGCCTTTTCTGTAATTTGCACTACTATCGTGTCTTTTTTTCGATTTAAAGCTTTCGTGACTGCAGGGATTCATCTTCTTGGTTCTTTCGTAAAGTCACGTAGAATGGAAATAATAAAATAATAAAAATAAAACATAATAAAATAATTCTCACGACGTTTCGGCCACAACGCAAGCAGCCGTCCTCAGGTGAAGAACAGGTCTATCAGAAAAACAGCGTCTGAATGAACACCACCAGGCTTGGCACCATGAGAGATTCGTTCATGAGGCGATCCACATATACAAACACAGAGACAATTTCAACCGAGAAGATGGATTCTGGCTTAGCAATCATTGGAAGGACGTAATAAATCATTTCGGATCTTAACTGATTGTGTTCACGTTTACGGTGACTTTCAGACCACGTTCCACTTACTGGCATTGTATTCTTTGCAGGGAATGGATTCTTTGCTCCGCTGCAAGTATCGACAACGTACATTCTAACGTTCTAGAAGGGCTAGAAATATTAAATCTGGCAAAAATGCATTCGAGTATATTATAATAACTAGACCCGCCCGAAAAATAACTACCGGTACATGTATTTAGTCTTTGGGCTCACTAATATTAGGTTGGAGGTTGATTGGTTTCACTCATCGGTCAGGGTCAACCTAAAGTTATACTTTGCTTACGTTTCGTGTTAGACACTTACAAAGGCACTGCTCACATCATCAGTAATTGCAGAGATTCTCTTCCAGTTGAGCCGATAACAAAAGTTGGCACAGCACTTTGCAATTAGCATAGTGCTTGAAAGTAATCAAGATGCCATGCGGGCATTAGCGGCGAATCGAACTCTCATATTGGTTAATTATCAATAATCTAAATAATTCGCTTTCTGTGGAGTGTGACGCTACATACAATTGAAAGCGGAGAAGTGCGTTACCAGTTAGTACTAGTGCATCATGAAGTTGACAAGTTGTTGAAAGTTACATCCGTATAATGTATCCTCTGCAGTCTAGACACAAACAGCACGTGCACACAGATGGGACGTACCGCACGCATGGCGGCTGCCTGGTCTATTTTGAGTTGCCCACTCTAAATTTGGCAATCGGACTCTCTGCAGTGCATAGCCCATGATGGCCATTATGGTCCTGTTTCTCGGCTCATCGACTCAGACACGGCACACCCGGTGATGGCCATGATGGTCATTTCATTTACTAATCAAACCAGCTCAGTGCGTCGACCGTTGTCATCATCACGCATGTCACTCATTAACTTCTGAGTTGAGGACTGTGACAGAACCAGAGAAGACGAACTCACCTTGACATTACAGCTAGCGGAGGTGCCAGGCACTGTCGCGTGTGCATACACTCCTCAACGCCCTCTTGTCTCAAATGTAGCAGTGGATAGGGAATAGCGGACGCCGATGATGATGATCTGAAGCAAAAGAAGCTTTATGTGGCACCGCCCCTTTCCCCTAAGCTCCGCCCCACAAACCGAGCCCGGCCCCCTTTCGCTAGACCCCGGCCCACTTCTGTCCCGCCCCTTCCCGAGACCACGCCAAATGAGACAAAAACACGTGGCCTGAAAAGGAAAACAATCGGCGATGTTTCGGGCAATGGCCCTTCAGTCAAACAAAAAGCACGTGGCCTTAAAAAGGAAAAACAATCGGCGATGTTTCGGGCAATGACCCTTTAGAGAGATAGAGTGGTGAAGAGTTGGGGGCTGCACTTTACACCATGTGGTCTGATAAGAATCACATTTTCAAAGTGTGCCTTGATGAACAGTTATTTTAAACTGGCAAGTGAAGAGTTACCTATTAGTTACCCATTGAGATAGGCTCCTGTCGAGGCCCAGCCTACTTCAACTGAAGCCCCGCCCCTATTCCTGGAGCCTCCCCCCCACCCCCCCCACTCTGTGCTGGAGGATGATTGCGATGATGTTAAAGGACGGGTGCTGTCCAGACTTCAGCACTGCCACATCGGGACAAGCCCAGACGAGGTGCGTGTGTGTGTGTGATCACCTCTCTCACGACCATCGTCAACATTACCATCAATATCTTTGTAATCATTATCAGGAACAGCGACCAGGTTAGCATTTTTCAGCATCATTATCATGAACATCATGAACATCAGCATCGTTATCACTATCAGCATCATCATTGCCTTGAACATCACCCACTATCACTAGCATCATGAAAATCACCAATACCCATACAGTAATTTGATCACCATTGATATCAACACCGTGAAATCACCATGACAATTTCAGACAAGTGATGAAAAAAATCCCCCTATTTATCATGATTACAAATTGGGTGTTTTCATCACCACCATCAGCAGCACATTTAAAAACGCCATATCTCTATTCTCATCGCTATCGTCATCAAAATAGTCATATTCATCATAAAAATCATCATCACCACACACTTACTGTAATAAAAGTTTTGTCCAGTCAAGAGTTTAGACATGCAAGTGTTTTCTATATCACAGAGTCCGTTGATGATTGTTGATTTTAAAAGCAGCGACACGCGGTGTTTTCAAGGGAGCTGACAGGCAGTGATGATGAGACGTTACGTACCTCTCAAGACTCTTCTCTCGTGTTCACGAACACTACAATCATGCCGAACCTCTCGCCACGACTTACCACGCAGCTCACCAACACCAAGAACCGCATGCGTAATATCTTTTGGTCACAGTTATCTACAACAAAAAATAGTTCCATCAAACGTGTACGCTTAAACGGTGACGTTACACCACCGGGTAACCAGAGTGGTCCGCCAATGTGTTGGGATCACTGTGGTCTTGGAGCGCGACAGTGTTGTGTGTGTTGCCTTAAATCGCCTGCTTCGTCGTCGGCTCGTTTATATTTGACATTTTGTCCAATAGCAGTGCTCTATCAGGCAGGGTTGATGGATCACGAAGAGATCATTTTAGCCACACTAGTCGCGTACTAAAGGGGTTTATTCCGTCTTGGAAACGCGAAATTTTGTCGAGTGAATATGGTCCCGAATTATGTTTCGCGCTGAAACTGTAATTCATCACGGTGATCGTGACCGATGCCAATTCTAATGGTGTTTTAGGCGGGCCAGATAGCTAACATTTTGCGTAGCGAGTTGAATTTATACTTATCACTGGAGAAATGTCATCGAAAACCAACAATTAAGACCCCCGAGGTTGATTGCTTTCACTCATAGGGCAGAGTCAGCATAAAGGTCTACATTGCGTAAAGTCTCGTCGTAAAATAAACTGCACAAATAGACGCTACGCATCATCAGCGAACTTCGTAAATGGAGTAATTTGCCTGCGGTTGACTATCACTATGACTATGATGGTGATAGTCACGTTAACGCACATAGAGAGCGGGCAAAAACACGCTGCTGGCTACTCGCGTAACGTAATGATAAAGCCGCGTGGAGATTAGCGGCGACTCGAGCGGGTCTCGAACCTTCACACTCGTGGTGTCCGGCACACTGACGATCCCTTCGTTAAAGGAACGCTGAGTTCGTGTTCGCTGACAGTCGTTTACAGCCATTCATCAATGTAGTAAATGATGAGAGCTTCCCAACACATCACATCGGTCATTGGGGTTGTTGTTTTACCATACTTCATCGCGTCGGTCAGTGCGGGTTGGTGAAGGCGGGCGGGGGGGATGGAGACCGGGAGTTGGGGCAGAGCTGATTCATACATCGCTTGCCACTGATGTTAGTCGTGGGTAGGAAGCGAACTCGAGTCTGTGTGTTCATAGTGCAGTGTGCTGACCACTGTGCAACAACAACAACCGCCATTCACCACTAAGTGGTGGTGACGTCACCACGACGCTTATGCCAGGCTAGGTGCACGTTGAGGCCACGTGAACTGTCAAACACCCGCTGGCAGGAGGTCACGGGCAGACCCAGCAGGTGCCACGGGTCGACTGACTGAGGAGACCGAGATGACTGGCCGATGCACCACCTGTGCCCCCTACTGTGCCAACTTGCTGTGCTTTAGCCACCCGGCGCTCCGCTCGTTGTTGTGAGCGTCGCTCCTCCGCCCTCCGTTGTTGTTGGAGGGCGACTGCCTCTAACTGCCCAGTAGCGTCCTTCACGAGTCTCCTCCACAGAGGCCGATCTTGACACCGCTGGCACCAGTCATCGGCAAGTCCACTCAGCTTCCACGTCCTCCTGTACCACATCACTCCATCTCTTCTCTAGCCCCTTCGATCCGGCCGAACAAAAGCTGTTTAGGCATGCGGTGGCTGGGCATGCGGGCTACATGACCCTGCCAACGCAGCCTTGCCTGCCGGAGGAGCTCACCGATGGGACTTTGTCCAGATCTTTAAAGGATTTGTGAGCTCCTCACACAATCCAGCCTGGTTAAACCCAGGATGGATCGTAGGCAGGCCAGTCTAAATGTTTTTAACCGGCGAAGATGTTCCATTAGGGGGGGTCCACGTTTCGCAAGCGTAGAGAAGGGAGGGAATGACTGTGGCCGAGAAGACCTGAAGCTTCGTGCAGAGCGACATACCAGGGAGCTTCCACACAGCGTTACGCAACTCCCTCACAAACAATAAGCTATGAGATTTGTTTTAAATAAATAAAATGGACTGCATCGGCATATGCGCCTTCTTACAGAGGTAACGGTGGTTTATTCATAAAGAGGTTAACGATGTGGTAAGTCATCGATGACTATAAATGATCTTAGCAGGTATGGAATGGTGCGTGTATGATTTTTTTTTTTAATATTAATGTTCGTTTACTCAGGAAAGTCTCAATGAGTCTTCTGACTCTTTGTCAGGAGGGTCCTGCCAGGTTTTTTCGCAGGAGGAGGGGGTCGATGCTTGCTGTTCATAATCCCAAACAAGTTATTTCAGAATAATCTATCATTTGCTTATGTATATCTCTAAATGTATACGTTGGCACGCGTTAACGACCCTGAAACGCGGGGTCAGTGAATCCGTAGACCACCGCCGAGAGGCAATCCTCTGAACGCGTCTCTGTGTCCACTCCTCGCTGTCCACTTTCGATCTTCTCAGCGCAACCATGAGCGAGATCTCATCAGCCGCTTCCTCCTCTGAACAACAACAACAGCAACAGTCGACGACGGCTGTGAAGCACATCACCGTGTACAAGAACGGCGATGCATACTTCTCCGGCCGGCGCTTCGTGGTGAACGCCAAGCAGGTCGGCTCCTACGAGAACCTCCTGGGGGTTCTCACTCGAGGTCTCGGGGCCAACTTTGGTGCGGTGCGCTCTGTGTTCACGCCACGCGGAGGACACCGACTCTCAGCGCTTGGCGAGCTGAGCAGCGGCGGCGAGTACGTGGCCACGGGTACCGAGCGCTTCAAGAAGCTCCCGTGAGTGTCCCACTGAGCAGCAGAGACAGCTACCAACAGCTGCTACTGCCATCACTACTACTACCATTACTACTACCTACTACCATTACTACTACCATTGCTACCACCACTACTACCGTAACTACCACCAACTGCTACTGCCATCACTACTACTACCATTACTACTACCTACTACCATTACTACTACCATTGCTACCACCACTACTACCATAACTACCACCAACTGCTACTGCCATCACTACTATTACCATTACTACTACCATTACTACTACTACGACTACCATTAATACCACCACTACTACCATTACTACTACCATAACTACCACCACTACTACCATAACTACCACCAACTGCTACTGCCATCACTACTACTACCATTACTACTACCATTACTACTACTACGACTACCATTACTACCACCACTACTACCATTACTACTACCGACTACCATTACTACTACCATTACTACTATAACTACTACCATTACCACCACCACTACTACCATAACTACAAACAGCTGCTACTGCCATCACTACTACTACCATTACTACCACCTACTACTACCATTACTACTACCATTACTACCACCACTACTACCATAACTACCACCAACTGCTACTGCCATCACTACTACTACCATTACTACCACCGACTACCATTACTACTACGACTACCATTACTACCACCACTACTACCATTACTACTACCGACTACCATTACTACTACCATTACTACCACCATTACTACCATAACTACTACCATTACCACCACCACTACTACCATAACTACCAACAACTGCTACTGCCATCACTACTACTACCATTACTACCACCTACTACTACCATTACTACTACCATTACCACCACCACTACTACCATAACTACCACCAACTATTACTGCCATCACTACTACTACCATTACTACTACCGACTACCATTACTACTACCATTACTACCAACTACTACTCCCATTACTACTACCATTACCACCACCACTACTACCATAACTACCACCAACTACTTCTACCATCACTACTACTACGACTACCATTACTACCACCACTACTACCATAACTACCACCAACTACTACTACCATCACTACTACCAATGCTACCATTACTACCACCTGCTATTACCATTACTACTACTACCATTACCACCACTACTACTACCATAAATACCACCACCTACTACTACCATTACTACTACTACTACCATGACTACCACCGTTACTCCAGTCACTCACTCAACTGTCACTTCTGGCGCTACGACGATGGTTTCGGTGCCTGTGTATTTCCCTCGCCCATTCCTCCCCTCGTGTTGAGGACCCGGTCTATCATCACACGTGACTGCAAACTCTTATCCTCGTCTCCTTGTGAAAATGCAGATAAGAGGAATCATCCACAAATTGCACCAGATTCATCCTCTGATCCACACTCATCGACATTTGACTGCGTGGATAAACGTGGGTAACAGGCTTCGCCAATAGTGCCCCATCAGTGCCGATAAGAGGAGGCATGGCTCCAATTTCCCTTGCAGTGAAGTTCATACAGGCTGCGGAGACGTCTACACTCTTTTCCATCACCAAATGTTCGTGTGCATTTATAAAGTCACTGCAGCAAAGGCATTCATCTGTTCTTGAGTTCAGTGTTGCCAAGTTATCGATTGTGTTGCTAGTTCTAGCGACTTTTTGGATTTACCTCGAAACTATATGCTGTCAATTCTTGCGACGTTCCGAGACAATGAACTGATGGCAGATTTAGGAGCTATTACAGGTGTGTAATAAGAATCCGGTATCAGTTTACTCTGCGTAGTGCTTGGTTTCGTGGAATGATCAGTGAGTGACATGATTACAGACATTTATTAAGGATCCTGTGTCAGTAGACACTATGTGTAAAACTCGGTAAATTGTCTGGTGAGCCACAATTCCAGGTGTGTATTCAGAATCTTGCATCAATTTATTTTGCGCAGTGCTTGGTAAATTTTTAAGTGACATTGTTGACGATTTTAGAAGGTCGATCTAGCAGCATCGAGCAACTTGTTCCTTAGGCAATGTTCCACTTGTGAGAGTTGGCAAGACCAGGCTCTAAACAGATCCCGCAGCACCCACGACAATATTTTATGCTGCTGGGTTGTCCGTCACCGTGGAGGTCGTGGTTGCGGTGGTCGCGTTGCCAATGACCCCTTGTCCGGGGTACGCATCTACAGCAGTGTGACTGGAAACGCCAGTTACGCGTTTAACCCCCCCCCTCCCTCCCCATGCCTCCCTCGTGAATAAGTAATGCAGGAGGAGACACGTGTCAGTGATGGGTCTGGCACGTTCCTTGCTTAGCAACGCGTAAACATATCGAGCCTCGGAGGCGCACAGAAACGTGGAACGGCCCGATACTGGGCGCGATCCAACCCGGCTCGTCCCTGCCAGGCTGTTGTGTTCTTTTCTGTTCAGGTCACGTTTCAGGAGCGATAATAATTACATGCGACCAGCGTCGTGCGTAGGCAGACAACGTGGACGTAAATCAAGTGATGGCACACGGGCAAATATTAATGCGGTCCTCGTAAAACGTCGTGCTGCACAGCAAGTCCCGCATTTTTTAAATCCTTTATATTAAGTTCGCTTGCTTGCTTGCTTGCGTGCTTGCTTGCTTGCGTACTTGCTTGCTTGCGTACTTGCTTAGGACCGTGCAAATCTTTCGGTCGTTTTTTAACCCACTTCCCGTGATCCAATCGAGCTGACATTTTGCACACAGACTCGTTGTGCGTGACAATACATTTTCGTGAAATTTTTTCCCCAAAATTTTACACTGTTTAGGGAATTTTTTTTATATTTAATTACCAATTGCTTAATGCTGCCAGACAATCATCTGACCCATAGGTGGCAGCCATCTCAAGACTAGCCGCCACGCATATAAAGGATTTATAGTGAAAAACGTTGTTTTTACGGGTTTACTTGTTTGATGTGAAATGACACGTCCCCCTGTCTTCGTGGGCTGCTTAGCTCCCACGCTAACCTTCCTTTATCTCACGCATATTGGCCTCGTTATAAACCCAGGGAGGGAGCACCTTTCCTGGGCAAGGGGCGGGTAGGATCTTGAAAGAAAGTGAAAAACTTAAAAACGTTATTTTATACTTAAGTCAGTTACTTCGCTCATTGGTTTGAAAGTTTAATATGTGTTTATTGATACGAGGTACAATACAATACAATTTTAATTCATGAAATGACGAAATGTGGACGCATCTAAAGATGCCGTACAGATAAAGTAACACGATCGTCTTGTGTTTAGAGGCGTTTAAACATCGTTCACATGTTTTAGGTTTTAAAGCAGGGAATGAGGTGAAATGACACGAGCCACATAAAGAGTTGAGATGTACATGAAGGTAGAAGAGTGAAGACACTTCCTAGACAGTGTTGTGTTTTCCAAAGCATTACATTTGCTTATAATTAACAAAAACTATAAATAATCAATACCCACACACGCGATTCAATGCACGCATCTTGGGCGTAAGAATAGATTTTAATCGATGACTCAATGCATCATTACATAGATATATGGCACGAATTTCACGGTTAATGTGATGGCTCGTTTGACAGTAAAGGGCTCGCTGAGGTGCCTTGAGGATTTCCAGAGCGGGGCCCGTGCATCGGAGGTCGGCACAGCTCCTCCGAATCCACTCTACCCGCTCATGCCATCACTCTAGTTCCCCAGCATCGCCCTTCTCGCGAGTGAAACTGGATCTGTATCTCAATATCGAGGCCTGGAGGTATCATCCTTTCAGGAGACGATGCCGGGGCCATGTCAAGCCTCGCGTCAATCTTCACGCCATTGGCGCCCCGCCACGTGCATTATTTATCGGCCATTAGTCACCCATGGTAGTGGATCGTGGAGCTGGGCTGAGAAGGCGGTAAATTCCGTCCCCCCCCCCCGCCCCCCGCAAACCTTCTTGGGGTTTCCATTCTCAAGTAACTCGTGAATGTGTTTAAATTATTATAGCCATGCAATGATTCACCACCCCCCGCCTCCCCACCCTGCCAAAGCAATACGATTTTCACGATTAATAGATGCGATTCGTTTTGATTGCCTCCTTTAAGGTGTTTATTGTGTTTTGTTGTCTGCTTTGTTACGATGTCCTTTGCTACATTAGCCTAAATGTAATATCAGTTGACCGGCTTCTTCTTGATCTATTCTTCAACCTTCTGCTCATCCTCGCAGCACCGTGTGCAGTGGCATCCTGTCACCAATGCTCGTCCTCTGTACATGTTCATCATATTGGAGATTTGTTTTGATTATTTCTAAGAGTCTGCTTTGACCATTTACATTTGCTGCCTCCTATGGTTACGAATGCAGCTGAGGTGTAATGGTAAGCACACTGGACATTGCTGGTTAGATTTCCCAATATAGCTCTTTAAACAATAGTCAAGTTTCTTACATTCCCCTACCTCTGACCACCCAGCAGTGTAAATGGTTACACCAAAGTCGATGGGCAGGTCGCATATGGTGGTGTAACATGTAGATATCCCTTCCTCTTCCAAGACCTCGAGCCAGCAAGGAAGAGTAGGCCAAATACCCGCTCAAGGAATTCTCTAGAGCTCCTAATAGTGGAGGCGCCCTTCCATCAGCAGAAGCATGAGCAAGATTTTGTAGGGCTTCACATTTACCTTACCAGGAGCCTAAGGGATAAACTCTTGGCCCTCACGCTTAGACATTGCCTCAAGGTTTCTGTCTCAGTCCTCGGACATTGTCGCCTATATGAGCCCCTGAGTGACAGAGACACCCAGCACCAGGACTCCAACCTTGGTCCTCACAGAGTATGGGCTCTGCTCGTGCTTTGTGAGGACACGGCCATTATAACACTCGGACAGGTGTCTCGTGTCACATTTCTAAGTGATGCGTGTAAAGATCAAATGACGGGAAAACAATCCGAGATGGCTTTGTGTGCTTAACTACGTCTCTTTGTGTCAGTGTTTGTTTTTAATGAATGACACTGGAAGGGGACCAGTTCCTAATGACTAATTGTGGTCACCTTCAGGAGAATTAGTTGAGCAATAATTTTAATTAAAAGAGCCAATGTCTGGACGGTTTGAACAAAGGCTGCAACTAAAATGTAAAGACGATCATTACTGAGTGATGCATATTCTAATGATGTTCTAGAAGGGCTCGAAGATCAAGTTTGGTAGAAATATAAAGTGAATGCATATAACTAGATGAATGTGATAACCCAATATTTCGAATATCAACCCCTGGAGAGTGATTGGTTTTAGTTGAGAAGGTTACCAATTATTCGTAGTTAATACAACTAGGTGCCACTCGGGCCTATAATGGGCATGTCATCAGATAATTGAGTCAGTTTTCTCTAAGGACTTGAATTTGAGGCCTGGGACCGGTGTCTAAAGGTGTGACTTTCCAGAGGTGGGACAAAGTCATTGTTATGCAAGTCCAAGTCGAGTCTGAAGTCATCAAATTCATGACTCGAGTCTGACTCGAGTCCAAGTCACATGACTCGAGTCCACACCTCAGAGGTGGGACAAAGTCATTGTTATGCAAGTCCAAGTCGAGTCTGAAATCATCAAATTCATGACTCGAGTCTGACTCGAGTCCAAGTCACATGACTCGAGTCCACACCTCTGTGACTTTCAACCCATAGGTGCTCCCTCTAGAGTCTAGGCCACCCATCTCTCTTGTGCTTCACTATCCAGTGCTCCCTTTCGACCACCCACTGTTACCTTTAAAAACAGCGCTAGAGGTGGTAAGAGCACAGAACTGGCATCGCTGACATCCTTCATTCAAACATGGATGTCAGCCATACGTGACTAAACTGCGTTTTCGAGTGTAGCAAGCTCACGTTCTCTGCCAGTCACCAATGACTACACAAAAACATCACTTTCATTTTGTCTTTCAATTAATTTAGCCCATTTCCAGCTCTCAGAATGACAAATATTGGTTTCACTGCCTCGATTGTGTATAAAAGAGGGCATCTGAAGGGAACTCGGAAATTCTGTGATATCTGCCTTTCTTCCACGAGCCGTTCTCTCACACGGGGTAATGCACCACCCTGCGAAAATTGCGAAGAGACACTTTGTCTCATGGGATGATTCCAATAGCAAAACTGTCTCAAGACCAGCGATTATCAACTCCAGTCCTCGAAAATTCCCACAGTCCACCTCTTCATGATTATCAATCTTTTTTATGCACAATAGGCTCCATCACATTGCATGCACCTGATGGTTGGTGATCATGGAAAGCTGTACCGTTGGCAAGGGGTCATTGGGACTGGAGTTGAGGAAAAATATATGCCACCCGGTGCTACATCAGTGTGGCGTGGTTTGTAAATAGGACCCATCATGTGGTGTGTGCTTGCGTTGTGCAGGTACAAGCAGAATGGAGCAAAGAAGGAAAACCCTCCTCGGAAGGAGACAAACTCAGAGGAAAAATCCGTATGTGTTTCAAACACACACTCTGTCTCTTTCTCACAAAGATCCCCCCCCCCCCCCGTGTGATTAGCACTGATTACAACCGGAAACGTGCACAAATGAGTAGTGTGGTCAGCTTCATGCCTTGCCACCTTTGTCTCCCCAATACTGATGTTAACTTACCACATCAGGTATCCATGTAACGTTCGTCAATCTAGGAAAGTTCCAAGACTAGATATAATAATGCTCGCTATTCGTTTTGCTCGTGGCACAAATCAAATTTGGTTCACCGGTTTTGTAGCGCAGTGAGTTAACAAACTGTGCCACTGCTCTCCTAATGCACGCCCAACACACCCATGCACAGTATGCTATTCGATGCACATTGTGTGAACACCCTATACTCTACAGTAAAGTGAAATACACTCGCCACACACAGTGTATAACACACGGATGCTCATGAAGTGGGGTGTGAGTGTGTAGATCTAACACAAATCCTGCACTCGGTGCCTGAGACCCACTGCACACTCCTCAACATTTTGCAGAACCCCATAATGATGCCTGAGGGTGGAGCGGTTGGTGCAGTGGTTCGCGCAATGATTGTAAATCCTATCAGCTTGTTCTTTACTCCGTCAGGAGCTGCCGCCCCAGCCTCGCCGCCGTGTCGTCTCCTCACGCTGGAAGAGGCCGACCGAGGAGCCTATCACCATCTTGTACGGACACTGACTGGCTCCAGTTTAATTGCTGAATGTCGATCACGAGCAGAGGTCGTGCGACCCAGAAAACTCACCCACACCCAATAAGGGCGTGAGTTCAATCCAGGGTTGCCATGATTTGGCATGACAATGATCTACCGACGATATAAAGTCTACGATATTATTATCGTGAGAAAATAGTTTGTTATATAGTGCTTATCTCGGCTCCTCTATGTTTTTTCTTTATATTTATTAAATAACAAAAGCACAATAATTAAAGTTCTAAATAAATAACTGTTATTACCTATAAAATGAGTGCTTTCCAAAAATGACTTTGCAATAATTGACAGCATGTTTGATATATGACTTCATCACTGGTGTGGTTTAGCCCATTTAATTATTTATTGTGTTATTAACATGTACCACCTTGCTCACCGTAATAGCCGCTCACTTGATGAGTGACCAGTCTCTTTGTGTGTGTGGGGAGCAGTGGTTCAGCGGTTAATGCGCCGTGCTACGAAACCGGCGACCAAATTTCGATTCCCGCTCACGGAAACACCAGTGACCATTATCTGCACTGGTTTCCTGGCCTCCCCTAGGTCTATCAGCCTCAAATGAGGTGTGATGTGCAAATACTGTCATTAGGGAGACAACGGCGGCTGGGTGTGGTGAGGGCCACCGACTACCTCGTGTGCCGTGCCAGCCTTCATAGGTGCTCGCTAACAGCACTTTCTCCAAAAGTCTGTTTAAACTAGGGGGTAGGGGGGGGGTCTTTCTTTTATATGTGTGGGGAACCGGAGTTGTCGCTGTTAGTTCACTTCACTACAAACATGGTGACCTGGGTTCTATTCCCGCTCACAGCCAATACCAGTGATGATTATCTGAACTGGTTCTGGGCCTCCCCTTGGTCAATTCGGCCTAAAATGAGTACCTGGTGCAGTGTGTAAACATTGCCACTGGGTAGACAAAGGCGGCCAGGCTAATCATTGTATGTGTATGTGTATGCAGTGTGTTTACTAACGGAGACGCAGTCCGGCCTGCAGTCCGCATACTCCTCACGCAGAGGATTCTGGGTAATTGGGAGAATGTGCTCAAGGTCGTGACAGACAGGGTCGACCTACGCACTGGGGCTGCTCGCAGGTCTGCACAAATGCACATGCATGCACACATATACACACACACGTATACAGCCACACACATACACACACATATGTACGCACATACATGTAAGCTCACACGACACTGTAGAGTAACTGTGAATATTTATTTTAGAGAGGCAGTAAGTGATAAGCAGAGAAAAAATGAAGGTCTTGAGCCTGGACTGCAACAGGTACAGGGAGCCAAAAGCACGGATGGCTCTGGGAAGGGAGTTCCAAACTTTCGGGTCAACAGAGGAACACGAGTGACCTGCCACTGAGCAAAAGTTGTCTACTGAAAGTCTTGGCTGCTTGAGTGAGTGGAGGGGAGTAGAGTGCAATGAGAGGAAAAAGGTAGGCACGGACGAGACCATGTAGGAACTTGAAGATGTTGTGATTTTTAATTGGATCGGAAGCCAGATGAACTGTCGGAGTGTTGGGGTGGTGTGTTTTATGAGTGTGGGCGCGGAATCTGGAAGCAGCATGCTTTTCCAGTGTTGATCATCAGTGGTGATCGCCCTGGCCTATGTCCTCTCACCTCCATCCTCTTGGTGTCCCTTAGGCTGTGCACTCTGGACGGCACCGCCGTCCTGAGCGGATCTTTCCTGGAGAGTGGCCTCCATTATGTTGCCGTCGGCAAAGAAAAGTTTCGGAATCTTCCCTACGGGGAAGTTCCACACCCGAAATACTTCCCCCAGCCAGCGAACGGGTGCGTGGCGAGTGCACATGCATGCACGCACACAAAAACAATGTGTACCCAATACTGCAAGCATCTTAAGTGCACTAATTTGGTAGCAGAGGGGAATATTTTGGACCTGTAACCACTATGTTTCTATATTTCGCAGGCTCACAGTCAATGCATACAGACCTAGCATTATCAAAGATTTGTATCGTGTCAAGTATGACCCCACCAAAGATGATATAAGATTACCTTTGGCCCCCAGTAAGTGAAATGTTCCTCTGCAACACGAGAGTCACTAACGACAGCTGTATGGTAGCTGTAGTCCAGATACATGGTGTTATTTGAATAAAGATCACAAAATAGCATAACCCGTTCGTTAAGGAAACCTGATATCAATATTTGGGTTTATACAAATAGTAAATAAAATGTGGTCGGGTGACTCAGGGGTCAGGATTAAACTGGTTTTTACATTTATTGAGTTGATGTCAACTCAGTCAACAAAATAACCTATCAAATAAACTATTTTTTTTCACTTAATTTAGGTCAATTCCACTTCTACAAATGTAGAATATCAATTTCATTGCCATATAGTGATGTTTCATGAGAATTTTTGCCAGTTTCAAAGTATGAAAAATAATAATAAGTTTTACACTTTCTGGCAATCAAACAAGTGATCCTTATGGCGGTTCTCTGGGGTACCAAATAATACTAAATGGCCAAGGCAATTAAATATTTTATTTCTGGGACACCATTTTTTCCACGACTGGGGTACCAATCAATCCGAAATTGGTGCTACTCCGCGATGTCGAAACGCAGCGAAGACGATTATTGCGCTGAAACCCTAAACGCTCGTCCGCACCGTGGTGGTGCATCGTGCACAGCTCGTCGAGATGAGTCGATTGCCGCATCGCCGACCATCAACAGACTAAACTTTACTGCATCACGGACATTATGTGAGAGCCGGGGTACTATGGTAATATGTTTAAACACCAAATAGATAATTTTGCAAGGAATCAAGTCTGCATTAACTATACGTGCTTGTGGTGAACATGAAAACAAACATGCTCTGATAATATATGCATTCATCTTCTTGGTTCTTTCGGTAAAGTCACGTAGAAGGGAAGTAATAAAATAATAAAAATTAAACATAATAAAATAAAATAATAAAAATAAAACATAATAAAATAAAATATTATTATTTTATTTTATTATGTTTTATTTGTATTATTTTATTACTTCCCTTCTACGTGACTTTACCGAAAGAACCAAGAAGATGAATCCCTGCAGTCACGAAAGCTTTAAATCGAAAAATATATGCATTGTCTTTGACACTGACTGGCCTACACAAAAAGAAGGCTGTCTCTGGTATCGGCCAATCAGTTTCAAAGACAATGCATATATTATAATCAGAGCATGTTTGTTTGCATGTTCACCACAAGTACGTGTGGTTAATGCAGACTTTATTCCTTGCAAAAGGTATTTATTTAGTGTTTGAACATCTTAACACCTGTTTTATTGCCAAAAAGGGTAAAACCTCTTATCATTTTTCATATACATCGCAGGATGTATATGGAAAAGTGTGACCCATACAAAGTGTGTGAATATGAAAAGTTAACTTGATGAAACCTCAGGAGCAGTTAACTTCTTTAGCGTGACCCTCTCTCAGCCACACGGTGCGATGCACAGCTCTACGGTAATTCCCAATGGACCCTTCATCTCATGCATGATGACAATAGCACAATTGTAGTCAAAAGTAATATGAAAAATCTAAATAGTTAAAAAGCACTACATGAAGGGTCACAGCAATTCTAATTAATGTCCCCAATTTGGCTATTGTGAGTTCATTGAGACACCCAGGCCCAATATATAATTGAACCGGGCCCTCGAAGGTACTGGCTTAGTGTGGTGTCTAAGTGTTCTGAGCATCTCGGCTGCCCTAAAAACATTAACATTTTCTATGCCCTGTGACCCTGACTTTCTTTTGTGGGAATCTGTTATTTCTGCAGGCCCAAACCTCTGTTCCTGCCTCCAATTAAAAAGAAGCTATCGAGAGTAAGTGGAGTGCACATTGTAATGCCTATACATATTTATACCAATCATTTCTGGTTTGTGTTTAGAGGTGTAACATTGGCAGAGCAGATGAAAGGACATTGGCACAGTGAGTAAAAATTATAATACTGATGGTCATAATGGTGACGATACAGTTATTGGAAAGCCAATGAAGTGAATAAAACTATACAAACATTGAGACGTAACAAAAGGAAAACAATATAAATGAGACCGAAAAAAGTAAATTCCTGAATCAAATCATGACCCCGAATCATAAAAATCCATTCAATAGCTGGAGGGGTTGAATTGTTATATACCGAGTAGTGGTGATGATGATGATTTTGCTAGTGGTGATATGGATGGAGATGGTGATTATGGAGATGATGATGGTGATGAAGAGGATGCACGTGTGTCTCCCCTTGGCAGACGTCTGGGAGATCTGATCACACCGCTAACTTGAGGGAGACATCCTCCCAGCGGGAGGGAGCTTTCTCTGGTGACGGTGAGAATCCACCCTCTTCATATCACTTCATCGTAATTATCTGGCATCGTTGTCATCTGCCTCAGTCTCTCAGGAGGATCGTGAATGTCATGACAAACTAGTACCATCGTAGGGCATCACCCGTAACATTCCTGTATACTTTGAGCAGCTATGGCAACTTAGTACAGTATTCCAATGGCATAGAGAGACGTCATTGCCTTTAACCAATTAAAATTGAGTATTTATACAATTGTGTTGAATGTAAAAAGAGTCGTCTACATCGCACACAACCCCGGGTAGTCATGTGGTCTCTCTCTATGATCTGACTGGAAGGTGCCATCCCTGTTGCCGACTTGGAGGAAGCACCAATCCAGCAGCGATTTGTCCAAATTTGGATAGCTATGTTTTTTTTACAATATTAAATGATACGGCAACCTGTCAGTGACGAATGCCTAAGCTGAGTGTCCTGAAATTGTCTTTGTGTACCATGCCCTTAATGCTCGTGTCAGCAACAATGAGTGTCGTGTGTTGAGGCTTAGGTGTATTATTGTCCCTAATCAGAGGCTAATAATAGCCATGTCAAGACTATGCACCATGTAACAACACATGCATTGGTTATCACTGCATAATGAGTGAATAAGTTCCTGGTGGTCGCATTAGTGGTGCGTGGTGGCAAACGCTTGTGATCCTAAGCTCGAGAGCAGAATGTTGGTGGATCACACGGATTTGTGAAACGTCCACACTCACTGGCCTACAAGGTAGCCAGGAATTGAGAGGTCACTCATGTCATCTCTTTTTCATTTTTCTCTTTAATCTAATCGGCGGGCCGCTACAAGAGCAATGGCAGAACACATCTGGCGCACAGTTGAAGACCCCTGCGATAAGATCGCTGTTCAACTCAATGGTGATCCCAATTGTAATAATAATTTGTATTGGTCAGGAAAGTCACACTGAGTCTCACAACTCTTTTTTTTCACTCGGGTCCTGGATTATGCTACTTGATCAATACCTACGCTGAGTGTTTGGAATGTTCGAGGACTATCCAGAAAAAAAACCCACCACACATACTCTCAAAGATATATTCAGCAATATATTCAAGAATATATTGCTGTAGTGGCACCTCCTAGCCACATCACAATCAACAATACCTGATATTCCTCGGCAGTCTTCCATCCGAGCAATAACCAGGCTCAAACCTGTTTACATTCTGAGTTCCGACAAGACGACTGCATTCAGGGTGATTCAGTCTTGTAACCCTATTCAAGTGAATGTCAATTTTACATGGAATCGCCCATTGACGAATTATGATTCCTGCTGGAATTGCCCAGTTCAAGTTATGCTAATGGAGTATAGCATTAAGTGCTGTTCTATGACTGTTAGCTATCTTGTGTGGGTGGAGCGGTGGTGCAGTGGTTAACACACCGCCCTATGAAACCAGTGACCCAAGTAAAATCTGCGACGAGTGATATCCAAAATGGTTCTGGCTCCCACCTACGCCTTTATCAACCCACATTGAACCAGTGTGGTGAAATATGATCAAACAACCCCTGTGGCCGAAAGGTGTGGGGAGAACTTCATCCAGCAGTAGATTGAGAAATATCTTTACAACTCGCATCGTAACAATATCCTGATTACTAATCAAGTATATAATTACAATAACCCCCCCTCAAATCTTTGCACCTGATGAGTTAATGAGTTAATGATGACGTCACCCTGCTGCTGCTCTATATAAGAACGGGAGACAGAGCAGAGCCTCGCCATTCTGGCGAATTGCCCGATGAGGGGGAAACCGCCCTGGCTTGCCAGGGGAGACACCAGGAGCATCGAGGTGATCCTTCCAGCCCGTCCGGATCTCAAGTGAGACCTAGCCACCAGCCCCGAGGCCTGCGAGGGCCCTGACCGTGTGGCCAGGGATGACCACGCTGCCAAGAAGTGGGGACTGCTGGAGAATGGAGACGAAAATCGCAACAGACGAAGAGGGGAAATGGCGAGAGTCAAGGACCACGAGGGCCACCCGAGTTGCTGAAGGAGACCGGGATGACCGAGCCACCCAGCTTATGCTCGCAGCAGATGAAAAGGAAGCAGGGAGTGCGTCAAAAGAAATGAATGCCACCTGCAATGCTGAGGGAGCCTGGGACGACAGAGTCGGCCAGACGGTGACTGCAGGAGACAAGAAGAAGACGCGGCGAAAGCAGAGGGCCACCGACACCACCTACGCTGCCGGTGGGGACTGGGGCAACCAGACCGACCCGCTGGCAGCAGGGGGATGCGTGGAGGAGGCATGGAGATGGATGGAGGGGAACGTGGCGGAGGCACGGCAGAAGGAGAGGATGGAGGAACTGGATGGGAGGGCGGGAGTTGATGGAGTGGGTGAGGGAGGCCGAGGAGAAAAAGGTACGGCGTCCGGACGCAGAGATGCGGGTGCCCCCGAGCGGAGGGTGGGGAACGAAGCCAGAGAGACGCCAGCAACCCTGGGGCAGGGGGAGGCCCGGAGGGAGAACGCGACAGTGGACGCTGGACCGGTGGGAGCTGGGAGGCCCCGGGAACGAGACGGGCAATGGCGAGGCGGGGCAGGGGTGAGTCTAACACCACCTCATGTCAAACGACATAATTGCGTCAGAGTAATGATGAAGGACGAGGTAGCAGAAGAAGTGACCATCGACCGAGCGACCTTTGTACGGTCAATAATGATGGACTTGCTACAAATAGAGCCGACAGACTTGTACTGTTTGATAACTCTGCCGGGAGGGAGGGCGTTTGATGTAAGCTTCAACTCAAGCCCCCTGCTACAAAGATTTATGACCCGCTTCGAGGAAAAGGCGGAGGAGAAGCCATTGATGTCAATGAAGCTACAACTGTTATCAGAGCTGGACACGAAGGTGGTGACTATTTTCCTATACAATGAAGCCCTACATGACCACGACGTGGAGGTCTGGCTAAGACAGCACTGCTCGGTACTGTCGGGCTGTAAAAAGGTGAGGGACTCAGTGGGGATATGGACAGGGGCAAGACAATGGAGGGTGCGGCTGAAAACAGAGGGAGGGACCTTGAGACACATCCCGAGTGCCCTGAACATAGGAGGCAACCGGGGATATGTGGTGTATGCCGGACAACCTAAACTGTGTAGGAGGTGTGGGGGCAGCGGTCACCTGGCTGCAGTGTGCAAGACAAAAGTCTGCTATAGATGCAAGGCACTGGACCACGAGGTAGAAGAATGCAGTGTTCCGGCACAATGTAACCTCTGCGGTAGCCGAGAACACCTGTACAAAAATTGTCCGGAGTCGTACGCCAACAAGGTTAGGGCGTATAGGGTAGGAGGAGCGAGGGATGAGGAAGGGGGTGGGACCAAACTGGACCTGGATAAGGAACTGGTGAGGGAAGGACGTGGGGAGGTGGCTGAGCAGCAGCCACCAGCGACGGATGGAGGGGGAGAAGGGGAGAGGCATGCAAAAAGAGCAGAATCAACATCGAGCGAGCAGGAAGAGGGGCTGGCGGGGGAGGGGAGTGACGGCATGGGCAGCATCTCCGAGACGACTGTGGAAGACTGGGCGGAGGCGGTGGAGGAGGATGAAGGAAAAGGGGAATGACAGCAGGAGGAAGGCGGTAGCGAGACATGGGAGGGACCAATCGGAAGGAAAAGGAGGATACGGAGAGCCCCAAAAAGAGGCGCCCCTTTAGGCAGCACGGAATCCTCGGACTCCTCGCTGGACACAGAGGCCTCGAGGGAGGGGATGGAGGAAAGGGTGGAGAGCCGGCGCAGGGGGAAACCCTTGAGAACAAGGGGCAAAATGAAATTGCGGGAACTGGCGAATGAAGGCGGTTATGGAGGGCGAGCGGAGAAGGCCGCTTCGGACTGAGACACATCTTTCCATGGCGTCCGTAAATGTGAGGAGCTTGAAGGGAAAGGGGAGGAGAGGAGCAATAATACAACTGCTACAGGCTACCAAATGGGAGGTGGTCTTCCTCCAGGAATGCCACCTACCATACACCCTGGGCCGGGAGGAGCTGTTGGAGAGCTGGGATGGCTACTACTTTTGGTCCGGGAGTAATGAAAATCGATGCACGGGGGTGGTTACCCTCCTAGGCAGGAGGGGTATACAGATAGTCGGGTCCCAAGAGGTGATCCCGGGCCGCCTCCATTATGTGGACGTGTCTTATGGAGAGGCAAACCTGAGACTAATAAATGTGTACGCCCCCACGACGTGCACAGAAAGAGTGGACCTATGGAATAATGTAGCGACCCTGCTCGTGACGAGAAGGCAAGTCATAATGGGGGGTGATTTTAACTGCCCGTTGTGCCTGGCAGACCTATTATCGGTGGCTGGGAGGAGGAGGCTGGACCCTTCCTCTAGGAAGTTGAAGGAGCTGATAGAGAATTTTAAAATGACTGACACCTTCAGAAAGGTACACCCGGTGAGACCGGGATACACGTGGTCGGATAAGGGTGGTAGAACGCAATCACGAATAGATTTCATCTTTGTGTCTGCCAATGTGAAGGTGGATGGAGCTGACCTGGAACCCTTCCCCTTGTCAGATCACGATTTGGTGAAGGCAAAGCTCGGTATTCCAGGTGGCCTGAAGATGGGGAAGGGAACCTGGAAAATGAATGTAAGCCTGTTGGAAGACAGAAGGGTCGTGGAAGACTTTGTAAGGAAGTACGAAGACTGGACGACCCTGCAGGAATGCTTTGCCACGAGGGTGGAGTGGTGGAGCATGGTGAAGGGCCGGATAAAGGCCCTCTTCCAGACACATAGTAGGAGGAGTGTAAACAGGGAACTGCAGCTGTGGAACGCTAGAATCGAGAAGAAGCACAGGTTACTTGAGCTGGGATTCCCGGTGGGTGAGGATATACGGAGATTGAAGGGAAGGTTATCCTCGGTATTGGAGAAAAGAGTCAAACAAATGGCATACAGGGCAAGAGTCAGGGCAACGGAACAGGGAGAGAAATGTACGAGTTTCTTCTTTAAGAAATGCAAGGCAGGAGACAACACACTTAGGGAATTGGTGAGTCCGGTCAGAGGCAGGCAGGCAACGACAGAGGGTATGATAGAGATAGCGGAGGAGTACTATGGGGAGTTGTATGGGAGGAAGGGAACGGATAGGGGAATAAGGGAGGCACTACTAGGGGAGCTAAGACATGAAGTTAAGAACCCAGAGGTACTGGGAGGGAGGATCCAGATGGAGGAAGTGGAGGAGGCAGTGAGGAGGCAGAATAAGAATAGGACGCCAGGACTGGATGGAATTCCAGCAGAATTCTATATTACATTCTGGGATTTAATGACAGGGGACATGCTGCAGATGTATAGGGAAATGCTGGAGGGTGGACTGGTGCCAGAAGAAGTGTGTGAGGGGCTCATCATACTGATGTATAAGAAGGGGGACCGGAGAGAGTTGGGAAACTGGCGTCCAGTTACGCTCCTGAACTCGGACTACAAGATTATGGCAAAAATAGCTGCGACGCGCCTGGGGAAGGTGGTGGAGGGAGTAGTCGAACCCGACCAGACGTGTGCGGTGCCAGGAAGAAGGATTTCGGACTCCCTGATTTTATTAAGGGAGGCAATAGAGGTAGAAGGAGAGAGGGGATGCCCCCTAGGGCTTCTTAGCCTGGATCTTGGGAAGGCTTTCGACTGCCTCTCGCACGAGTATATGTTCGCAGTGTTGGAAAAAATAGGAGTGAGGGGACCCTTGGTCGATTGGGTGAGGCGTCTTTACCAAGGGCTCAAGACCAGACTACTGATAAATGGGGAGCTCTCAGGGACAATTCCAGTAGAGTCAGGGGTGAGACAGGGGTGCCCGATGTCCGCGGTTCTATTTGTAATGTGTATGGAACCCCTTGCACAGGCAATAAGAAACAATGAGGAGATTAAGGGAGTGACCATCCCCGGGAATAAGGAACAGGGGAAGGTGGCGCTATATATGGATGACGTAGTCGTGCTATGTAGGGACGTGGCATCAGTGTGGGGGGCCATGAAGGAGACAAACCGCTTTGGCCTGGCCTCCGGCTTGAAGGTGAATGCGAGGAAGAGCGAATTGATGGCCTTCGGGGACCCGAGACTATTTGAGGGCCGGCCGCCTGAGTTGGGGATAAAGACGGAAGAAGTCAAGGTCTTGGGAGTGTCCTTTTGCCGAGAGAGGTCGGCGGAACGAAACTGGGACGGGAGGATAAAGCAGGTAAAGGGACAGTTAGGCAAGTGGGCCGGGAGACGGCTCACGATGGAAGGGAGGATTCTGGTAGTGAGGGTGGTGGTTTTACCAACACTCAACTACCTCGCATATGTGTACCCGCCAGGTAGGAGGGAGGCAAGAATCCTGGAATCGCTGTTGTTTAAATTCATTTGGGGAGGCGGGATGGATAGAGTGAAGAGGGTGGTGATGTGTAAACGCGTCGAGAACGGGGGGAAGGGTGCCCCAAATATTGCACGTGTGCTGTCCTCAATTTTTGTGTGCAACACTTTGAGGTTATTCTTTTCCGAAGAGCCCCGGGGGAAGGCCGCATGTTATTTAAGGTATCGCCTGATGTGGCTCCTGAGGGGGCTTGGGATGACCCAATTACCGGCGGGCACGCCCTTGGCCTGGCCACAAGGATGGCTGAATGCGGCGGTGGGTGACTACATAAAAGTGTACAATTTGAGTCAGAGAGGGGGACCGTGGAACTCCAAGGAGGTATTGGCCAAAGTAAACGAAGGGGAGGCCTGCGAGGGGGTGATGGGCGCGAAGAGGACTATGTACCGTCAAGTGTGGAGGAACACTTCATCAACGGCGCTCACAAAAGAACAGAGAGATCTGTCCTGGTTGGCGGTGTGGGATAGATTGGAGACGAGGGGCTTCATGTTTTCTCGCCGAATGGCGCGTTCGCCCAAATGCCCGAGGGGCTGCAACACAGATGAGGACGCGGTGCACGTCATGGTGAAGTGTCCCTTCGCACAGGAGGTGTGGAGACTGAGCAGTCCGCTGTTGTCCTGGTTTTACCCGTCGCAGGTGATAAGTCGGGACATTATGTGGGGAGTCTTAAGGGAGGTGCGGGGAGATGACAGAGATCGAATGTGGGCCATAATAGGCGCGACAAAGGAGGCCTTGTGGGGAGCTCGCAGAAAAGAGTTGGATGGGTCCCCTATATCACCGTTGGAGGTGTGCTACTGGGCAAGGAGGTTGCTAGAAAGGGTGATGGAAGTAGACCGGGTTAGGCTGGGATACAAGGCCGCAGGTGTGAAGTGGAAGTGGCCCCTACCCGGGGTGGGGTAGCGAGGGGACCGGCGGGTATAGGGAAGGGATAGTAAAGGATGGCCATGCACATTTTAGCCGGCCTGCTAAGTCGTGTGGGCAAGGAATGTACGTGTTCGATCGGGGGAAGGCGATGTGATGGAGCAGCGCATGGGTGAATGGTGGTGATGAATGTAAATAAGGGGAACGGGGCGGTGTGCGTTATGGCGGCGAGCTTTTTTTTGTTGCATTGTATGTGGGTGGAGCCCGCGGATGTGACGGAGACTCGAAGGGGCCAACGGGGCGCCCGCGAAGGAGCGGTTTTCAGTACTCTCTTTGGTTTTCCTTGTACCCGCTGAGAAGTTAATAAAAACCTTTAAATCGCAATTACCAGCGAAACGTCGTACTCAAATTGTAAATGTTGTGGTTTCACGCTTCAACACACCGGTGGGCTAAAGCAGGGAACTATTTGTCCTTTGTCAACGTGACACTTTTTTACTGATTGGCCGTGTCGGGTGGTGGAGGGTTACGACACATTTATAAATAACGCGATCTAAACCCAAAAACGTTGATTTATGAATAATATTGGTCGCGAAAGCCTACGTGTTAAAATTACTTTAAATTATGACATTATTTTGAAGCTACACATCTTGTTTGGTGGTTTCTCATTGTCACTGGTGTTGATATGAAGATGTTGATGACATGATGATGATGATGATAACACATGTCCCTTCTTCAGAAGACAGAAGTGTCTTCCAAGCATCGGAAAGCAGAGAAGATAATAACGAAGTTACAGAGGTGTCAGAAGATAAAGACACAAAAGTTGAACTACCTATTGACCAGGTACATATATATCTAACACACGTGTAACGATGCATTAGATCATCGATTCATATAAATTATTGAGCTCACAATATATTAATCGAGTTGTGCTTGTAATAACTGATGTTTTTTTAAATTTGTATATTTTAATGACATTAGTTCACGTGACCCTGCATGCACGAATGGCCACAATTATACCATACATTTAGTTGATCGTAACTGAGAGATGTGAATTTTTATTTTGATCTAGAACTTCTAGAAGGCTGAAATTTGGCACAGGTATAGTCGAGTGTGCTTATGACTGGAATATTTCTGAAAAGCTAATTTCGCGAATTTGGTCCTCTAAAAATGACAGTTTTCACTCATAGTCAAGACCAGCTTAAAGTTCTACATTTCTCTACATTTTCTCTAAGTCTCATGCTAAACACCCTATTGAGTGAAATGCTGAAGCCGATAGAAAGCAGGGAAGCCCAGTATGGTTACAAGTAAACATACATACGGAGTGGTAGCTCTTGTAATCTCTCATTTACTTGATACAGCTGTCGTGGCTGTGACGGTTCCACCTGAAGACGGAAGCTTGTGTTGCCTCTGAAACCTCGTGATTTTTATTTTATTTTACTTTTATTAATTTAATATTTTTTACCTACGTGACTTTACCGAAAAAACCTAATAGTATGAATCCTTGCAGTCACGAAAGCTTCAAATCTAGAATTAATACACTGTGCTTCCACAAAAACAAAAGTACAGTACCAAGTTAATTGTGGTTCACTGTGGGAGCATGTACTGTTATCAAATGCCCATTAATGCTGGAATGATGTGACGTGGATGGCAGTAATGGAAGTTTTGCACACTCGTGACTGCCAGTGCCTCCCATGCAGTGATTGCGTTCATGAACACTCCACTTTGCGTTGACAGCTCGTGGCAGAGATTGTGGAAGAGGAGATGGAGGAGGAATGTCATGACCGACGGAAATCTCCACGTCACCTCGCACGTGGCGCTCTTGCCAGACCCCGTCATGACTCCCCGCCTAATTCCCCACGTGACTCCCCAAAAGACTGCGCTCGTAACTATCTACGTGACTCCGTACGCGACTCTGTACGCGACTCCGTACGTGACAACGCTCGTGCCTCGCCGCATAACCGCGCTCATGACTCTCCGAGAAGGGGTCTCCGTGACTCCCCATGTAGCTCCCCAGGTGACTCCCCACGTGACTCACCTCGTAACTCCCCACATCACCACAAGCGTGACTCTCCGAAAAGGAACGGTCGTGACTCCCAACAGAAGTCTCCACATAACTCTCCTACTAGGAGCCCACGTGAATATCCACGTGAATCTCCTAGGGCACAGCGTGAGTCTCCATGCAACTCCCCACGTAGCTCCCCACGTGAGCGTGCGCGTGACTCTCCGAGAAGAGGACTACGTGATTCCCCTTCTCGCCCCGTCAGCGCCGCTTCTTCCGTGTACTGATGTGTCTTCCTCACTCGGTCCACAATGGCCAACACTGAACTGAATCAACTACAATTCAAATTGTATTGTTTCATGGGTTAGTTGTTATGTTTCTTGATGATGAATGGGCCGAGACTATCCCACTCACTCTAAATGATTCGCTAATGTATCTGACACTTGATTCCTGGCTCCTTGCTTTATGACAGTCCCGAAGACACAGACTTCAGCCCAGAGGCGGCTGTATAGCTTGGGGCCAATCATGCTTGAGAGCACTGAGCTGTATTTCTGGAGATCTTGGGTTAAAATCTTGGTAAAAGCCACCCAAGATTTATCTCGGATCTCAAGTATAGATTATAGTCTCATCCCAAACACCAATAACTGTACAAAAACACAGTTTTTTTAGTTAATTTGGCACGAAACATTCCATCACTGAAAACAAATATTTCCATATGAATGCCATGCAATTAATATATTATCCACCAATAGTATATGCATTGAAGGGATCTCATTAGAATGTCTGTGATGTCCATCTTCTGAAGGCTGTTCTCCTAACAGGGTGATGTTCCACTGCTATTTGTGAAGCTCTGAATAGTTATTCCATCATCTCGTGACAACATGATGCCAATATAACAACACAATTGGAACCAATAAAAAATATTTCAACCCAAAATTCAATGGCGCTGGCTCATTCCTCTCACTTGGCAAACCCTTGGCCCTTGTAAAAGGATGTAACCGCGTAGTGCAGCCATTATTTGAACAACCATTGTCATAATTAACAGCCATGAGAAATCCACTGCTGAAGCCGTGGATTTCTCATGGCTGATTCTAAGATCCACCTGCACATTTGACTTCATACCTCCCATCTTCTCAGTGGATGTGTTATCAGATGTATTTGATTCCTTGGCTTCCCAGGCCATTATTATTGATCATTGGCCATGATACCTTCTAGCAAATTGTCCTGCCCAAGACTTTTCTGAAAAGTTGTAATTATGGAATTAACCTGCAAATGTTTGAGGCATCATTCCATGATTGTGGTATGTCATTTAAGTGTAAACATGCCATGAACAAATCTGTTAATGTTCCAGACGGCCCTGATTTTTATTGTAGTCATCAAAATATTTGTTCTGGATAATAATGCTTTGAGAGGGTGCCCAATATGTCAATTGATACATACAGAGCAAGCACTTACTCGTTGATGATGTGCATTGTTATACCATCTGGTGCAGGAGCTTTTCCAAATTTGATTACTTATGGATTCCAAAATATATTTAAAACGTCTAATGAAAAGGTCTGCTATTTAAAGAGACGTGTCTTAACTAGCTATACATATATAATTATTTACTCTCTGAGATGCAGTGCTGCAATATTTACTGTGGTATCGTGGAAACATTTATATTTAAATATGTATTAATCATGAGTGACTGTCAAACTTGTTATTGAACACATACTCTTTACGGGCGTGAAGCTCATCACTGCTGCGACTTCTCACACAAAGCCGGGTGCTCCAGCCACAGTTATCGGCCACGACAGATCATGGGCCAAAGCAAAATTGTTGTTGAAAGATGTTGAACATACGTTAGCTCAAGCCTCCCATAAATCACGTGACATGTGCGACCATCCCCATACTGACTCCCTCCCTTCTCCACGTCCCGTGTGAGAACGGACACGGCTGTGGAGTATCCAGGACATTAGGTAGCCTCTTCTTCCCTACCATCTATCCTGACCCTTCGTAGTCTACAATTTCCATTCCTTTTCCTCTTATTTTGCACTTTCTTTTTCCTCTTATTTTGCACTTTCTTTTTCTCCGTCCTTTGTCTTCCTTACATAATTCCCTTGGCTCTTGTGGTGTGCTCTGGGTAAACGGTTGCGAGTATGGCTGAGTGAATTATTTGATAGGCAATCACTTTCAAATTGTTATCACTTAATTCACTTGTATTTGCCACATCAAGAAATTGGACACACAATATTTGTGTCACCTCAGTTAGTACCGACGAGTGACGTATCTGGTCTGAGCTTAACGACTACTCATAAAAAAAACAAATTCCCATTCTTGTTTAGCAGCAGCCGGTGATTGGCTGTGGCTTAAAAAAATTCAAAGCAATGCATGCTTGTCATGCAACTAGCGCCCTGGCATCCGCGTTGGCAGCACCACTACGGAAGATGCACCAGGGCTACATTCAGAGCTACCGTGGGTGGAGGTGGCAGTAACCACACACGCTCGGGGGGGGGGAGCAGAGCAAGCTGGAATGACAGCGAAGGAGGGTGACTGGCTGTTCAGTGAAAATCCACATTATACACTGCGTTGAGGCATTGTTGGACACACAAAAACAATTAGCAGGGACTCATCTGACTGGGTTTAAGGATACACTATCTCCTCTGGTCTCAGCTCCACAATGTTGGTTGTGTATAGATTCACACTCCCAGCGATTCGATGAGTCGTTACGATTTTGGTCGTGGTTTGATTGAAGAATTGATTATTGTCCCATTATTACCGTCTCATTTATATCGTTTAATGTTCCGTGTCGTTTGTCCAGTTTTGTTAACTCTGTTAGCCTGAATGTAACGTGCGCATATCATTTGCATGATTACACTTATGATTTGATGCACATATTAGTGTAAGAACCGATATTAGTAATGATTTATGCATCATTATAGTCCCAACTGGAGTTTTTTGGTTTGCTGCATGTAGACTCGTAACGTTTCTTTGCTTGTGGTGGATTTTTCCCCTGGAAAAAGTATTTCCGCAAATAAAAGATTTAAACCCTTTATAATTGTAAGCACGTAAATTATGTTTAAGTACTGATTGCAATTGAAACATTTTCATTGTTGGACTGCACCAGCATGTGAAGCTGCTGCTCGTTATAGACCAACCCCAGACAAAGTCCCCTAGATCTATCGAAACTGTGCAGTACTGTACTGTATACATACCTGTCAACCCCTTACTAGTGCCTACCTCATTACAAACCAATCCAGACCTTATACTAATAGGGGTTTCCCCCTTTTTTCTGGCAACAAAATTGACACCTTTTTGCAAGGAATCATGCTGACATTAACCACAATACTTGCAGTCAAATGCAAACAAAAAACAATACTCTGATGTGTGCATTGTCCTTGAAACGGATTGGTCCACACCAGAGACAGATTTCTTTAGAGCAGCGGTCGGGAACCTATGGCTCGCGAGCCATATATGGCTCTTCCGGTGACGGCATATGACTCCCAGACAATTTTGAGTTGAAAAAAAATCAGTTTGGAACTGATTTTAAAATACTTGTGATATTGCTTAATAATAGTGCGTCATTTTAAAGTAAACAGAAATTCGTGGTTGAAGATAAAGTTCACGGGTCACGCCTGCACGAAGCTCAAACCTCACCACCGCGTACGAACCAGACTACAAGGCCGTCAGCAAAATTACGCAGCACCAGAAGTCGCATTAAAAGTAAGACGTATTTAATTTATACGTTAAAAATACTATATGGCTCTCAATGAAATATATATAGAAATATTTGGCTTTTATGGCTCTCCCAGGCAATAAGGTTCCCGACCCCTGCTTTAGAGCCTAGTCTCATATGGTGTTCGACCAGATGACGCCAAAAGGCGCACAATTCAAAGACAACGCACTATCAGAGTAATGAGAGCTCGGGGTGAGCAGCTACATCATGGGACCTCCTTTGCCAGTACCAACATATACTAATAGACCTGATTGGTCACCCCGTGCCCTTACAAATCTCAAAGTTAATCCTACAAAGTCCCATCACAAGGGAGAAACACGTATTGAAACGGCTGTACACCCTGTGGACCTGAAAGCTCAATTTCTCAGTACAAGAATACGGATAGATTGTATGGGTTGACATGTATGGGCACAACCGCATCCTCCCGGAGCGGAGTAAATTGATCTCTGTTGTGCCACCATCACCCACCCGGGGAGGCTAAGCCTGACGTGTCTACTTTTGCGTGTGGCAAATGTTCAGGAGCTGCATGCACGAGGTCTGTGAGCCACGACCAAGATGGCTTCGTGAGAGAATTCCTCTTCGTTTTGCCGTTCCTCCATTGAAGGCGGTGCAGACTGCGGTGGTTTAGACGACAGTATGCGGGTGGGAGATGGGTGGTAGCCATCGCGCAGTGGCTCGACCTTTTATGTGTTCTTGTTACTTTAACCACAATACCGTCATCTTGGCGAAATGGACGTCATTCATTAACAAAATCTATAAAAAAAATTTTACCAGGCAAGGCCCACTGAGCTATAAAGCTCATTTTCAGAAGGGACCCGGCCACAGCTCAACGAAGTGGCTATTCGTGTGGAAATGTACGGCAGCCAAATACTCTAAACGCGTGTTTCTAAATGTGCAGGGACAAACTGGAGGGACACTCCAGCAGCAGGCATCGTCAGGGTCGGGATCGCAATCCACGACCTCCTGTACACCTGGCGAGGTGGTTGACATCTCCTAGTCACCGTGGCGCCCCGACCTGACGCTGGAAACTGCGTTTATATAATAATATAAACGTTTATATAATAATAAACGCAGTGGTAGCTCCTGCAATCTCTCATTTACTTGATGCAGCTGTCGTGCTGTGACGGTTCCACCTGAAGACGGAAGCTTGTGTTGCCTCCGAAACGTCGTGATTTTTATTTTATTTTACTTTTTAATGTTTTTACCTACGTGACTTTACCGAAAAAACCTAAGAATATCAACCAAGACACTTTGTACAGTTTTCTTGGTTCTTTCGGTAAAGTCACGTAGAAGGGAATAAAATAATAAAAATAAAACACAATAAATTATGTTATATTATGTTATATTATTATATTATTTTATTGTTTTATAAAAATAAAACACAATAAATTCTATTTTTGGATGCACGACGGACGGACGGATACAATAATCCCGTGTGGCCTGGTGGAACCAGGAGGTTCCTACAAGTATAAAAGTTATCAGTCGAACTCTGTACTACAACAAACAAATATGGCTAAGCCAAAAGTTTTCGAAATCACCAAAATAAAGTTATAAAAGCAATGTCATAGATCCAACTAAGTTTAAAACGGGGGTAATGGATAGCTCACAAATGGTAGTTATTTTAAGTTAAGATAATAAAGGTTTATAAGGCGTGAAATGTTATTTAGTTTTGTTTTTTACGTGAAGCTTCACTCAAGGTCCTCAAAATGCGTGAGAACATTAATTGCAACTATATCCGAGCTCAATCAATAAAAGGCAACGTCAATAAAGTCGCCACCAAAACGGCCCCCGCTTTTATAGCCGATTAAAGTTGTTGATAAGTTGTTGATAAGTAAATAACAACACCGCAGCACCTTTCGACCCTCGCACCCGTGAGCTCGGGTGAAAGTTTTATTTCTGTGTTGCGTCATCAATACAAAGGGGGCGGGGCCAGGGGGAGACGGAGGCCATGTTGGGTGGGGAGTCGCGCCGTCCGAGCGAGGGGGGTGGAGGGGGGTGGTAGAGGGGGGGAGTTGGTGGAGGGGGTTGGTGGAGGAGGGTGAAGGTGGAGGGGGGGTTGGTGGAGGGGGAAGGTGGTGGAGGGGGTTGGTGGAGGGGGAGGGGGAATTGGTGGAGGGGGTGGGGTTGGTGGTGGGGGAGGGGAAGGTGGAGGGGGGGGAGGGGTTGGTGGAGGGGGGGGGGGTTGGTGAAGGGGGGGAGGGGTTGGTGGAGGGGGGGGGTTGGTGGAGAGGGGGACGGTTGGTGGAGAGGGGGGCGGGGTGGAGGGGGCGGGGTTGGTGGAGGGGGGGGTTGGTGGAGGAGGGGTTGGTGGAGGGGGTGGAGGGGGAGGTGGAGGGGGGGGGTCGAGAGGGGAGGGGTTGGTGGAGTGGGGGGAGGGGGGGGGGCGTTTGCGCGTCATGGACAGACGCGGGCGGGGCGCTCCCCCACCCAACATGGCCGCCGCGTGCGCCGCGCGAGTCGCACGCGGCGCTGCGGAGGAGGCCGCGGGTCGACGCCTTCGCCCCGCTGCTGCTTGGAGCGAGAGGAGGCGGAGGGGCTGAGGGAGGGTGAGAGAGGCACGGCGTGTGTGTGTGTGTGAGGGGGTGATACGGTGAACGTGCGACTGGCTGCGAGGGTGACTCCGGGTGACTCCGTGAGGCTGCGAGGGCGATGAGAGTGTGCGGGGTGAGACGGCGTGAGGGTGGTGGAGTGTCCCGTGGGCGAGGCGGTGTGTAGTAATCATCGCCAGCACTGGGGAGACAAAGGCGGTCGGGCGTGGTGCTGGCCACCCACCCCCTCGTGTGCCGTGCCGGCCTTAATAGGTGCTCGCTAACAGCACTTGCCCCATCAATCTGTGAAGGCTACACGGGGGATCTTTGTCTTTGTTACCAGCGAACTCGCTTCACTACGAACCCGGTAACCAAAGTTCGATTCCCGCTCACGGCCAACGCGAAGTGACAATTCATCTGAACCTGTCCTGGGTCTCCTCAAGGTCTACTCGGCCTGGTTTGCACATCAACCTCGTGTGCCGTAGAAGCTTGGCGACACCGCATCGAGTGGAGAGAGTGAATGAATGAGGGTGCATGAGTGAGCGTGTTTGGTCTATTAAATGCTATAGTGGAGTTAAGCTCTAAGGTTAAGCTGACTATCTTTGGTTTTTTGTTTTACATTCGAGTGTATATATGTGTTGGGGAGAATGTTTGTGCATGTGTTTACACACAGTATGCAAGTTTGTGTACTTGCCACTGCATGGATGTGTGTGGTGTGTGTACATAATTATATTGACTTGTCTTTATTGACCTGATATGACTTTGTATTGATCATTCTCCAGGCAAGACAGAACGGACATTTAACTAAAACTCAACTTTTTTTAATGTTAAGTTAATTACGCAAAAGGGAAAATGCAGAACAACATTGGTGAAGCGGAGGTTGAGATTTCTGTGCAAGCTTACAGCAAAATGATCCTTCACGCCGCCAAGGTGAATAATCTCCACACTTTTCACTCTGGCCAACATTTTATGAATTTTTTCTACAGGCAGATGCTATGCCGATTAATCGTGTTCATATTTTACTACTACTACTTAAAGGTTTCTTCAAGTATTTGCATGATAAGCATATTCTGACAGGCCACGTGATGTTATTTGTCAAACATTCCAGTGTATAGCATAAATATGACTACCAATATTTACCTCTTAACTCCAGGTCTCTCATCTCAAGGTTTATTTATTTCACTCATCTCATTAAACTCCATCTCTGGTCTACAGTTCCCTTACCTCTATCTCTTCTCATTAATGTTTATATTTATTCCTCAGCAAGCCATATCTATTGCTGAGCTATTTCTTGGCGGGCCACTTCAAAAGCCTTCGTATGCCAGATATGGCCACCTTTAGAATATCCAGTACTACTCTTGTCACATGCAAATAGCTTTCTAACACTAAATGATGTCTGACATATTATGCTTGCACTGTTAGTGCATTGTAGTGCCCATTTCCAAGATGCTTTTAAAGTTATTTAAAAGAGAGGAAAACGTTGTGGTGGTTTAGAATAGTCTTGCTGTGTGGTTCCAAATGCACAGCGTGTGAGCTGGAAACGCTGTGAACCACGGGTGGTGAATAAATACTTTAACAAGTGGTGTTTTACATACCATTCCCTCATGTGCTCTGCAGGCCTTAATAGGCACTTGCAAACAGCTCCTGCGCATACCCAAAGCCAGTAACAATGCATCGATTCATATATTACAATTAGTTATTACACTTAAGATGCAGGCATCAAATAATGAAATTATTTTAATTTACGCATGTTATGCGAATATTATATTTAGACTAACGGAGCAAACGAGACGACAATCGTATTATATGTACAAACTAAACAAAAATTGATTATAGTAATAGGTTTTTACCCTTTCAACTGGTACAAAAACTGACACCTTTATACAAGGCATCATGTTTGCAATAACCACAACTCAAGCAGTCAAAATGCAAACAAAAAGAAACAACTCTGATGATGATAATGATATGCACTGTCCTTGAAGTTGATTGGTCCACACCCGAGACTCTTGAGTCAAATTGAGTGGCATGTGTCTGTGTGGTCACAGTACCCGTCGCGCGCCATCAGTGGGCTGCTGCTGGCTGAGCAGAATCCAGGTCGCGGGAGCAGTCGGCGGGGCAGTGAAGCCGGAGGAGGCGATGGTGGTGGAGGTGGCCTGGCCGGGAGTCGACGCGTAGTGCTCACGGACTGCGTGCCGCTGTTTCACCTGGCGCTGCCTCTCGCTCCCATGCTTGAGGTGGCCTTTGCCCAGGTGAGGGCCCTGTTTTTCCATCGGCAATAGAAATGGTGGTGTTGAAGACCTCACTTGGGGATGTTGCTGATGTTGATTTTTTTATTTTATTTTGGTTCACAGTTGGACATGTGGGCCAAAGAGAAAGATCTTGTAATTGCTGGGTACTACCAAGCTAACGAGAGCTACACCGACGTCAGGTAAGAACCCCCCAGCTCAGCTCTGAGGTTGATATTCTATACAAAAGATAGGGTAGCGGTGTTGCAGTGGTTTGCTTATTGTGCTTTGAACCCAACTGAGTTTTGATTCCCAGCCATCGCTAACATCAGTGGCCATTGATATCTGAACTCATCCTGGACAGCTCTGGGTCACCCTTTCACCAAGCCGCACTCACCCCCATGACCGAAGTTTGTAAATAACCACCACGATCCAGACAGTGAGAGGCAGCTCTGATTCAGCAGTGGATGAACAAAAGGGCTGTACGTGTACGTTATGCATTAGTGCTGCACTGTATTTGAAAGTGTCACCAATTTCTAAATCTACTAGCTTTACTACCCGGTTTCGCCCGGGACTTGGATTCTTGTCTTGGATGAATACACGGCCTACGCGGAGAGTGGGGGGGGATGCGTGACGTCAGCAGGCACACTTTGTGACGCTGCCGCATGCGGGTGACATCACAGATGTGACGTCACCGCTCACTTGCCGTGCAAAAGATATCCATTATTGCAACCCCCCCCCCCCCCCCCAAAATATACTTTTTGCATTGTGTACAGTCTGGAAGCTACCCACATGCCAAATTTCAAGTTTGTTGCATGTCGGCAAGTATGCTAAACATTTTGAACAGACACACATTCACAAATTTCCCTTTTATATGTATAGATATGCAGGTGAAAACACGACCACTGTCACCCAAGCCTCACTTGCGAGTACTGGTGGATTGATCTCTCAATACGTCGGTCATAATCTTTCCTTAGTTTGCGATACATGCATCGAATAGCATGTGTAATATTTTTTGTTCTTCGTATCATATATGCTGTGTCTAATGGGTTTGTCACTCCTGCGGCCACAAGAGGCATTACCATTCATCACAATGTTAACAGATGGGACTGAGTTTTTAATTGAATTGGGATCCTGAATCGCGGTAATTCATGGAATCTAATAATATCCATCTGTGTGTCTATATGTGTTCTTCTCCCTGTCTGCCTCTATATCAGCCCTAACCAGGTCGCATACAAAATCTCTGACCTCATATTGGAGAATTATAGTGATGCTGTTTTAATCATGGTGAGAGGAATTTTTCATTTACACACAGGCTCATACTCTCACATACAGTTACATTCACAGTAGTCTACCATTTCACTTTATGGACTGTCAGTGTAAGTTCTGTCAATGAGCATCTCTTAAGGTCAGAATGATGTGACCAGCAGCATAGACAGGGCCATCTTTGTTTCTGCAATGCATATGTTAACCCACCACAGCAGATACTGTGTTTTGGCTGAGTCAACCTAAGAGAGGCACAGGCTATTTTAATCTCATTAACAGGATCATTTAATAAAGCTAAAACGTCAACGAGATGGCAAAAAATATACAAATGAGAGTAAAAGGTTATTGAATTGAATGATGACCCAAAATCATTAATATTAATACAATAATTGGGGAATCGAGTTAAAGTCATAAAATAACTTGGGAATTGAACATGCCTAGTATGCACGTAATTGTGATATTTTGCACAATTGTGCAAACCATTGCCTGCTTCAGTGTTTAATAAATCGGTATATGTACAATACAGTATATTCGTACAGTGCATGAGTATGTATGCTTACTCTTTGGCTCTTTCGGTATGCGTGTGGTATTGTACGAGTTAAAAGTTGATAGATGTCATGACCGATATGTTTGTGTGCAGATTGAAAATCGTCAAATGATCCGTGACCATGCCAAGTCGGCACTGCACGTGTACCACAACTCGGGTGGACAGTGGCATAACAAGCAGCCAGGCCTGTGCGTGACAGCTCTCAGCTCGACACCATCTCATTCACCTCACCTCAGACATCTCATAGTCCCAGCTTTTACTTCATACAATCCACATCATACAACCCACATGCCACCTGCCACATTGCACATCATATGACCTATGTCCCACATTCTATATCTCACCTTATATCTATCAACTTCCACCTCACATGTCTCACAATCCCAGCTCTCACCTCATGCATACCACCTCCTACCTCCCACGCCCCACATCTCATCTATTTTTACAAAAAAATGGATCATCAGCATTATTACACTTGCTGTACTGTTGCCTATTGGCAGAAAAGCATAATATTGTTTTTTTGATTATTCTCTTTTCACTCCATGTCCCCTACTTCCTGTATCACCTTTGTCTCCTGCGTTAATTTGTACTCAATGTGTCTCATCTCTCTGTGCTCCCCCCATCACCATGCTCTCCATACGCAGCGTGTGTCTGGAGCCCGATTGCCTGGGTGTGGCGTCGGGGCTGCTGATACAGAGAGCGCACGTGCAGCTCATGGATTTTGACAACCACCTGGACAACCCAACCCTCGACTGGGCCAACCCAGTGCTCAACCGCCTCATCCTCGACTCTTGCTGACCAGAGCTAACCTGACTTGTCCCTAAACCTTCGCTTCCTCTAATCCAATTAATCAACCCACACCTGACCCACACTGGACAGTTGTTGGTCTGGCCTGACTGGACCTTCAACAACCTGAACATGAACTCTTCATGAACTGATCTGACCTCACTCACAACCACCTCTTCCTACATTCCCGCTGACTGTACAAGATGCAACCTGTAGGCATCTAACAATTTTTTTCCCCATCACGATCATGGTCCTGATGCCGTTAAAGACTCCGTTCTTCTTTTCAAAACATATGTTTTGCGGTAAATGTAGCACTTTGTATGGCTGCAGGAATTACACTAACCCATTACATACAACATCCACAAATTTTGAAACAATTGTTTGTTACACGCATGATTCGGTGCATGTAGCTATAGAGTAAGAATTTATTTGAATTGAGACATGGTCACATGCTGAATGACTTGGCCCACATCAGGAGGGTACCAACCAAAGCCTTTGGTCTGAAGTGTCCTGACATGATGACCGCTCCTACCTTACTAATTGGCTGTCGGGTGGTAGCGGGTTTAACGACACATTTATATTTACGCGATCTAACCCAAAAAAACCTCTATTATGGATGATATTGGTCACGAAAGCCCTACTTGTTAAATTGTGCCCATTTGCCATCTAACCTGGGTGGAACTGCCTGTCCAAAAGACTGAACAGTTCTAATCTCATTGACAGTGGTGACAATAAAGATGATTGTGATTGGGCATGTAATGTGTCGCTGCCTCTGGTAAATTGAAGAACTGCCACGATTTTGGTTATGATTCAATCAAAGAGTTGATTATTTTGTATTGATATGTTAATTCTCTTTAGCCACTGCCCTGTTTGTACTGTATGTGCTCTTTTGTCTTTTTCATACTAATTTCTGCTATCTGACTCCAATGTTCTGTCTGTCTCAATATCGCTTCTCCCTTCCATTAGTCTAAATGTACATGCGCATACAATTGCGTAAAAATTGCAATAAGCGTAAATATTCGATGTACACATTTGATTTGGTCCTTGCATCATGAGCAACATAATCAGTTTTAATCAATGAATCTTTACGTGCCTAATTGTGGTTGTAATGGAGATCTTTACAAGGGACCTCAGTCATCTAGGCAGATTCTGTCATTAATACCTTTAGGTTGATCGAATTGTTTTATAATTTAGTGCTAGCTTGGGTGATAATTTGATGTTTTCTTTGATTCCGTTAATGTTGTATATGTTTTATTTAAGCCAGTGAGAGGTCATTCACGTTTTTCATCTCAAAAAAGACTTGGATCATCGTTGTGGAGGGACATTTCCTGTATACTTTTATTCAGTTGCTTAGCTAATCGAATGTGCGGTTGGTGCAACTGCACCAGGGCCCACAAGCTTTAGGGACCCAGGTGATGAAAAGGAGGAAAAATTGGGCAGTGGTCCCAGACCCGTTCATTCATTGTACAGGGCCAATGCCAACCGTGTTATGCCACTGTTTCTATCCATGTTAAACTCAGATACCTCGTAGAGGTTTCAAGACTCTTCAGCAAATTCCTGCAGGAGTGATTTGCCGCTTTCTGTTTGAGGTATTTTTGTGAGCAAATACATTGTAGTGCCTGGAGAAATTTCACACGGAGAGAACACTCACTGCAATCCATTTGTCATTTTCAATCGCCATCTCAGGATGATTCGTCAACCCCTCTTCATTTAAGTGGTGGTTCAGGGGTGTCTCTTGCTCCACACCATCTTTTCACCTGGCAACCTGGGGGAGGTTACTGTGGGGCTTTCATCCCGAAATAGAAAACTCAGAGATTAAACGATTCACTCCCGACCTCCAATCGGTGAGTCAATGAATGGTCATGGTTTTGATCAAATCATCTTTTCCTTTTATTAACATTGTAGTGAATGGTAGCACTAGTGGATGTACCTCTAGTGGATACACCAGTGGCGTGAACCCATTGAACACACCAACCTAAGCACATTGGCTGAATTCAATGTATGCATTATTACACCTATCGTAGTATAGGAGCCAGTGGACTTAATCTGAATGTAATATATACTTATTCTGTACTTTTTACTGATAAAATCAAAAGTTCACAATGTAAAGAACTATACATAGTTCATGTAACAAAAGCAGATGAGAGTTGGATTAGTCGAGGGGTGAAACACCAAGGGTCGCACTTGACATGCCAAGCATACGAGTTTGATACCTGGCAGGAATAATGATGCATAGATGAATTGATTAAAATCGATTCTTATGCTTACGATGCATGCAGAAAATAATGCATATGAGATCTCTTATTTTAACTTCTATGTTATAATTGGATCACAAACCCTGAAGCTGCTAACGGTTATGCATGCAACTGAATGTGAACTCATAAGAGATAATTTAATTGAATAACAACCACCGAATTATGAAAGGTGTTTGGAATCCTGAGGAAGGAATATTCATACATACCTAGCACCGAGTTACGATCCATTATTTTTTTCAATAAACCACTTAAAAAAAAATGTGATTAAATTACTAACGAAAAGCACATTCTAATCAGATTAAAGTTATTTAACCTTCTCCTTGGTATGCAAAGTGTAGCTATCGAGTTTCCCACCCCTGGGATACAGTGTCAGCTTAGCCACAAGCGTTTTTATTCATAGCACTAAGCAACACGTTGCAGTGACATCTATACCCCCTGCCCTGAACCACGATCAGTCAGCCCCCACCCCTCTTCATTAAACCAGGGGTGTGGACCATACTACCTGGTCCACAACTTCATATCATGTGGCCAGCGGCTATGTGGTCTACCACTTCTAAATAGCCTTCAAATTATATTTGTCACTGCAAGCATCTTAGCCTCCTCGAGTACTAAAGGGGAATATTTTCGTTCTCGCAACAGTTTCTAATTAATGCACATTCTTTCACTTCTAAGAAGTGTCTCTTGCAGTGACAAGGTGTGGTAATGCGTGGCCTGCCAAAGATAGATGAAATTCCTACATGGTCATTAAATTAAAGGTTCCCACCCCTACGTTAAATAGTGTCACTGCCAAAATCTAGTCGCTGTGTTCCAGGTGAATCTGCCAACACACCTGACCAACAGGTCCTGTGTCGGGTAATCAAAATTGTTATTTTCTATTCCATATAATTATTCTGCAAATGTTTGGAAAGGTTTATTGTATGTGAATTGCTTCAATCAAATCTAGACTAATAAACTTGATCTGTTTTGACTTGTCGGTTGCGTATGGTGTGGATGTCATCGCAGAAAGATGCATTTGGTTATGCCCTGAGGGGGGCAAAAATAGTAAAGAAAGCGATGTTCATTATTTCCCTTCCTTGGTTTGATGAGCTATTTGTTTACTTAATCGGGATTTGAACTGGGACCCTTATAGTGAGAGTGGAGTACTATTAACCTACCGGGTTTCAACCTTCCACGCCACCAATGGTCGATCATCAACCAAATCAGGACCGAGCATGACCAATGCGGCCACCTGATCCACAAATAACACATCAAAGACTCGGTGGCCTGCGGGTGCAGCCATGAATCCCAAACAATTGACCACATTGTAAACATCAGCTGTCTTCACTCCTTTCAAGGAGGAATGGATGAGAACCGCTCTGCTTATAAACAAATAACTGAGAGGATAAATCTAAAGTTACATCTTTAATCTGCTGTTTTTCATTCATACGAATGAAGAGCACAACCACAGCAGCACCCAGTGGAATGCAGTGCAATTAATGTTTAGCTTTATAAAATAATGTATTTGCATGCAGGAGGTTGGCAGGAATGACGGGGTGAGGAAACACGCAATAGGGTCCTGGGGATGTTTGTCTTTTAGAGACGTTAACTAAACAGGTTACTATTAATGGCAAGCATAAACCTCGTAATAAAAGACATTCCCAATCTCTTACAAGACCGAACTCTCATCTGATAGAGAATCTCATTGAGGGAAACTGAGCTTGGCTCTACATTTCATGTCCAAATCATGAATACTGCATTGTGGAAGTCAACAGTGGTTGTGTTATGAAAATATTTTTTTGCCTCTGCTAAAAGGAATGTGTAATTTACTGATATTTTATTTACGCTAAATTGGTTATAGAAACATTGATTAATTAACCTGGCTAACACACTTTATTCAATGTACATTGCTGTGTGGAGACTCAGTTGAGTGGCGACCGACTCTTAATGCCTCATCCCCGATGTTATTTTGGAGGCGCTGCCACTCACAGTACCATCACCACTGCTCTCCGACTTTGAACCCTACTCGGTGGAGAACTCTGAATATGGGACCTTGCCAGTATCAAAATATAAGAATTAGTTTTACCTTTCTGGCAACATCTTAACCCTTGTTTTATTGCCAGAGAGGGTAAAACCAATATTTGTAACTCCATGATTGCAGGAGTGGATTCCTCAGATGCCAGTTTATATTCGCAGTTCCAGACCCCACACCGAAATCTGCTTGCTCCCAGTAGCTGCATCCACAGCATTCCGAGCACTGCAAGTAAGCTCAAAGTGAACTAGGCTTCACTAGGGACGTGACATTATTTCTGGCTAGAGCCTCAGGGATTAACAACAACTGCAGGAATTACTCTTTGGTTATTTCGGTAAAGTCACGTAGAAAGAAAATAAAGTAATAGGGTACGACGTTTCGATTGCAACACAAGTGTAGTGGTGATAACTACTCGCTGTTCGCAAGCTGTGAGAGAGCAGTTGGTAAACAAGGTTTTCTCGCTCAATCAAACAGGGTCAAATGGGGTGAGGTAGGATCCAAACGCCAGATTGGGAAGGACCAATCGGAGGGGTCCAAGAGGTGGCCGGGGATTGGTTAACCCGGCCACGAACAGGTATAAAAGCCGGAGCGCTGAGAGCTCTAGGTTAAGTTCTGCTACACGAAGACCCAAGTCGGCTGAAGACAGCTAGGACCCTGGACCAAGCCTTCCCGCCCTTATCAGGGCTGGGGCTCAGTGTCACCAGTGGTCAGGGGAGATAGGTCCTGGATAGGACCCTGGCTCCCAGCCTTCCCGCCCTTGGGAGGGCGAAGGTCTCGAGCGACAAGAGGTCGGGGACCCGCCGGCCCGGCAGCGGGTCAGTGTGCCTCCCCTAGGTCCCAGCCGGAGGACGCTAGGCTAGCGGGGGAGATAGCCGGCAAGTCCGGAGTCTGTAGCTCCTCAGGATAACGGGTAAGGGGACCGTATACCCCTTGTGTTAGGTGTAGCAAGTATTGGTGAATAAAAGCGTGTGGCCTCTAAGAGGTCTCCGTCTCCTGCAAGAACATTACACAAGAAACCGACATCAGATAGAACTAAATTTGAGAGAGAGACAAAACACAGACACGGAGACACACAGACAGACACAAGCAGAGCGAGGGACACAACATAGACACACAAAGTTCCTAAGGGTTTCGGTCTGGCGCTCCGAGTCTCTGTTATTGCCAATTAACCAAAGTCTGCAACGTATGCAAACGGTCTCCAGTCACAATAAATATTGTTCATTCTGCACTCTCAAGTACTGGCAGCTGAGCAACATTTTTTGCCAGTGATTGAGCCCAGAAGCTGACAGTTGTGCACAACAAACGCCATCACACAGTAAATAACACAGCGGCTGGTATGCTGTTATCAGCCAATGGATCATCATGCATCATCAGCTATTAATAATATAGTGTTGATTATACGCTCCGTTGTTGGTTACAATTTGTATGCATCAGTGATGTGCTGATGTTACCTTCTGTGTCAGGTATCTGGATGGAATGGCCAATGTGATCATGCCAGTTTGTCATGAAGGGCAGGCGCCCGAGGCCAACATGTCAGATCTGCACATGATTTGCAGGTTAAGCTCAGTAAGCTGCATTTTTGGGGCAATGTACATCGTGCCAAACGACTAAATTCCGAGCCACATACACGTGTGAGCAAGTACGTGGCACTTGCTTGTTTTTGTATTTGTAAATTTGAAGTACATAAAATGTTTAACACGTGGGCTGTCGCGACTAATATCCATAAAAAAGGTTTTTTTTAAATCCTTTATATTAAGTTCGCTTGCTTGCTTGCGTGCTTGCGTGCTTGCTTGCTTGCTTACGACCGTGCAAATCTTTCGGTCGTTTTTTAACCCACTTCCCGTGATCCAATCGAGCTGACATTTTGCACACAGACTCGTTGTGCGAGACAATTAATGTTCGTGAAAAAAAAAATCCAAAATGTTACACTGTTTAGGAAAAACAAATTAAATATTTAATTACCAATTGCTTAATACTGGCACACAATCATCTGACCCATAGGTGGCAGCCATCTCAAGCCAGAGGACGAGAGGACTCTAGCCGCCACGCATATAAAGGATTTATAGTGAAAAACTTTGTTTTTACTGGTTATACTTATTGGGGGTTAGTTCGCATAATGAAGCTGGTTGTAATGGCCAGCGAAACTTTGTGCTCAAATTGTAAATGTGGGTTTACTCTCCAACACACGGGTGTGCTGAAGGAGTAGCTTATTGGTATAGTTTGTTAACGTGACAAACCTTACTAATTGGCTGTGTCGGGTGGTGGCGGTTTTAATGGCATTAATATTTACGCGATATAAACCAAAAAAAGTATTTACGTACACAAAATATAAAATACTACATGCAGTCAGTATAGAATTCAACATCACAAATAAATCCCCATGTTAATTCGTATACCAGCTGGGTAGCACGGTGTTAAAAGTGTTCAACTCACGACTCGAGTTCTTTAAGTATATTTTTCGATGTAAAGCTTTCGTGACTGCAGGGATTCATCTTCTTGGTTCTTTCGGTAAAGTCACGTCTTTAAGTATTTTTTGCGATACTGGTTACAGAATAAAAACCTCGGTAAAAACCGGTTAACTGTTTGCTGCACGCATATGTCTGATCTGTTCTCTTGATGAGGCAGTTGAAATAATGGAACACGTTCCTTAAATACCCCCGCATCTGTCCACTCGGCAGTAGAAATGAGTAAACCACAGTAAGACATTCGGCAGGTCACGTGTAGTGGAACAAAGTATTTGGACATTCCACTTCTTCCAAGACGTCTTGTGGAAGAGCAGACAAAATACCACCTAAATCTTGACTTAAAGCTTTCGTGACTGCAGGAATTCATCTGCTTGGGTCTTTCGGTAAAGTCACGTAGATAGGTTCAAAGAAAATAACAAAAAATAACAAAAAAACTACGACATTGCGATGGCAACACAAGCGGTCGTCTTCAGGAAAAGGAGGGTTTAGCTTCCAAAGCAAAATGTTTATAAAAGTTTGAAATTGGCGAAGCCCAAATGTCAGCAGCCAATGATAATGTAAGTGGTCGGCAGCCACTAGGCCTCGGCAAGGTACGGTAATTTACCCTTTTTACCGGGTAAAAGGGTAAAGGTAAAGGTGTCGACATGCCAAGGGGTAAGGGTAAAGGGTAGGGTAAAGGTAGGCTCGTTGCTTTTTACCTTTGACCTTACCTGCTAAAGGGTACAAGGTAGGGTAGAGTGATTGTATTGTGGTCAGGTAAAAGGTAGGGTAAAGGTAGGCTCGTGTTTTTTTTACACTTTTACCTTACCTTGCTGAGGCCTAGCAGCCACCCCGACGGTGGTTGGTTTTCCACGAATCAAAGGGCTGCCAGGTGAAAATTAGCATGTTAAAGAGAAATGAGCATTATATGTTAATAACAACAGATGGGGTGGGAATATCACATGACCTATTGATGAGGTATTGGTAATAATGAGATAAGGAGATACACTGATGAGATTGAGTTTGAGAATAATTTTTTTGATCATCAGTTATATAGAACGGACATAACACAACCCCTGGCCATGAGATGAGACGATGAATGAGATAGGATAATGTGTCGATGTGATGCGATCCGAAACAAAGACTCTCTTCGAAAGTAAATTTTCGGTAAGAAACCATATATTTGAAGTCGTTTCATCACAGTAAAAAAAAATATCAAAATTGCCAAGTCATAATACACACTTGTGATTATTGTCAACATAAATACAGTTCATATGCAAAACAATCAAAGGAATAAAAAAAACACATTCTCAAAAGTAGAGCTCTGATTCAGGCTTTCCTGAATAAAAAGGGAATCGTGGTTTAACATGTTTAAAGTTAACATTACAAATGTTACAAAATACACGGTTTAAGAACACTGTTACATGGTTGCATTTCATGGCAATTAAAACATATACAAGGACTGCATTCATATTTACAAAGAGGAACTAAGCCGCTCTATTGTTCAGTAATACTCCAGTTTACTTCGGGAATGTTCGTGAAAGGTGCGAGGACGAATATCAAAACGACATCAATCAAAGTAATGTACAGGGTAGGTGGAAGCGAAGGCCGAAGCGATGCATACAAGGACCGGATGCTGTCAGCGACGTAAGTGTGGGTTGAGACGACGGAAATCAGGTAGTGGTATTAAGGTAAAATTTACCCGTAAAAACAAAGATTTCACTCTAAATCCTTTATCTACGTGGCGGCTAGAGTCCTCTCGTCCTCTGGCTTGAGATGGCTGCCACCTATGGGTCAGATGATTGTCTGCCAGCATTAAGCAATTGGTAATTAAATATTTTTTTACAAAATTCCCTAAACAGTGTAAAATTTTGGAAAATTTTTTCACGAAAATGTATTGTCACGCACAACGAGTCTGTGTGGAAAATGTCAGCTCGATTGGATCACGGGAAGTGGGTTAAAAAACGACCGAAAGATTTGCACGGTCGTAAGCAAGCAAGCAAGCAAGCACGCAAGCAAACTTAATATAAAGGATTTAAAAAGGGGAAGACGGTAAAGTCACGTAGATAGAAAATTAATAGTAACAAACACAGCAGGAGAACTTGTGACGTAGCAGTTCTCCTGCTGTGTTTGCTTCGCCAGATGACGGTTGCTTGTGTTGTGGTCGAAACGTCGTGATCTATTCATTTTCTACCTACGTGACTTTACCGAAAGAACCAAAGAATATGGATTCCTGTAGTCACGAAAGCTTCAAATCAAGATCGGGGTATTATTGTACATAAACGCAAATATATTATAGTCCTATTAGGCTGAGGACATTGTCAAATTCATCTCAATACACTGATGATTAAACTACACCTCCTGGAGACAGAGCCTCAGGATAGTAATTCCAAAACCTCGCGTCGTGGAATCAACGTTAAGTTAGTCTTGACTGCTTCTTGCAGTCGAGTCTCTGGACACGAATTATAACACAGTGACCCGCGCACCACAGGCAGCATCACGGGAGGTGGAGGCCGAGGTGCTATCAACCTCCCCCCACGAACTTGGCAGAACAGGGTGGGGGCATGATTGTTGTGGATAGTCCCAATTGAGTAGTTTGCTGCGTCATTTTTGAATTGTTGGTAAATGTTTACCCTTATGTCGGCACACAAGCGCCTCGTCTTCATGTTGCCGCTCCTCACTTTTGGAATAAGCTCACTTTGTGGTTTCAGCTTAAATCCCTCCCTTCTCTAACCTTTAAAAAATATTTCCTTGATTTAAGATTTCCCTTTTCCTGTAAATTTGGGTAGCGAACCCTGTGCGTGTTGGTGTTATTTTTAGGTGTTGGCCGTGTTTCTTGAGTGTGTTTGCTACTCACTGTTGCAATGTTATGCTTTATACGTTGCTGTAACTTAATTTTTCACCAAGCTACTCTGCGGGACATTATTGTAGAATAGTTTGTTTCTTACCCACGTAAACAAATACAAATCAATCAATTTACTTGCAAATTACATCAGGGGTTCTTCAACATTCACTGTGAAGTAGATGGAGCATGCTTTTGGCTAATAGACCTGCAGTATTAATCAGGGTGGCCACTGGATTAGAACTGTGAACATCTGCAACAACAAGCGAACGCGCTACTACTAGCCCATGTCACCACCCCAAATCGCCCTTAATAGAGCGTACAAACCAAATGGCATATTTTAACTGTCTGTGTACGTATTATGAAACAACTTGTATATTATCGAAATCAAAAAGATCGAACTCAAGTTGCCGGGTTCATATCACAGTATTCTAACCACTGTGCAACATATCGAATGTAAAACTATCGATTGTTACAAAACAATAATCGATTACCACTACAGTCACACACTCAGCTAATGTATTTCAGTGATTACAGTGTTATAAAATAACACTGTTATAAAATAACACTGTAATACACAATCACTGATTTTGGGAAGAAATTGATTAGAAATAAATTATGTATTAATCATATAATACGACACATATCTAATTGCGAAAAACCTTAAATGGTCTTTGGTCATAACATACAAACAATCGCCATCTAAAACTGTTTATGTGAGCGTAGGGAAGGCAATCCCGTTAGAGCAATGGAGCTACGTCTTCTGAGGACACATAAACGTCTCGCGGAGACTTCGTCATCTCCTTGCTGAGTTTGTAGAGTTGAAGGCTGCACATTACCACTGCAACAGCCTGCAGGAACAACATCATAGACATCAATACTGGATAATGGGCATTGTGTTAAGCATAGAGCGCAGGCTTATGATAATTTAAGGTAATGTTTTAAAGTTACCAAATGTCTGCTTTGGCAACCATAGTCACGGTTTCAGATAGGCTGCTGCAACATCCTTAAGAATTTCAGAAAATAAGGATGTTTTCCAAGGTTGCTTGACTCATAATACAAAGGACAGAGCAACCTGTGTAGTGGGTGGGGTTGACAGAAAAGTGTGCAGTGCCTGTGACCAGTAGGTGGCTCAATCTCAGAAAGAGTGAGGCCACTGGCTGTGTGGGCGGGGCTAGCGGTGCAGTGGGCGTGATTATTGAAAAGCGGATGGGGCTTACATCGGGAGGAGCTGCCAGTTCACTGTGTCCCTGGTGAACATCCAAAAAGTAAAAGCTTTCAGTGTTGGTGATGAGGCTGTGAGATGTTTGTCAAGTGAGAGAGAGGGTTGTGACATGGATGGAGTATTTGTCATGACAACGATAATGCCATGTATTTATTTAGAAAAGCCTCATTGACTCTGAAGACTATTTTCCAAGAAGGTCCTGTATTGGATTGTTTAGCCAATTCCATTAATGAGTGTTTTGCATGTGGGAAGACACCAGAATGACCGGATAAAACCCACAACACAAACAATGGAATAAACCTCAAAGTTCCAAACAGAAGGATTTAAGAACTCATCTACCCTGCTTCCATCTGCTGGCCATCTCGCAGGGCAGCAGATTTTAGAGTTTCACAACTTCCTACATTATCCACCAATCCTTTCTTCCAAAGCACTGGATCACAGATCTGTACCATCACGCCTGCCCCATGGTGTTTGTGTTCAGCAGTGGCCCAGCTATCGAGTGTGCAGCAGAGGTCGCAACCGGGTACCCGATACCCGTACCCTACTGGATACCCGGCTACCCGTACCCAGTCGGGTACGGGTAGAAAATTGCGACCCTGGTGCGGCCGGGTACGGGTACGGGTAGGCCGTGAGTCACTGGTGAGTAGCCGTTTGTTACTCATTTCGGGTAGGGTACGGGTAGGGAACGGTTATCCGTACCCGGCCGGGTACAGGTACCCATTTGCGACCCTGGTGCGGCCGGGTAAGGGTAAGGAATTAAAACCTGTTTGCGACCTCTGGTGTGCAGACAATGGAACTGCACAGAGATGCCCACGGGTCGGATGGCCATTGGTACTGGGTTAGAAAGATAGGGGTTCGAGTTTCTTTCCTTGCACCAGGGCCCATGCCAGCCATGCCACACCCCGGGGAGACAAGTGTGCGTCATTGTATCTGTGCCCACCAGCATGAGTGTAGAGATTATGGCGACTTGGATGAAGACTCTTTTGTGGTCCTGCAGGATGTCAATGTATTTGTCCAGGCAGCCCTAGTAGAGTTGAAACAAGATACATGCCAGGAGGGGATGGGTGAGAGGGGGGGGGGGAAAGATTAGGCATTGAAATGAGACTTCACCCTAATCTTGTACAAGTATATTGACCATACTTGACCGCGTTGATTAGTGCAGGTTGGTGAAGACGGAGCATATACGTGGGGGCATAGAAGTACAGTGCAATAATTTATTTTGCTGCACTGCCCTAATCTTCCCAACGAAACCAAGTTTGATGCAAGTTGGTCACCTATCCAAGAACTCAATCCAGCTTAACGTCTGAGCTCTGACAAGGTCGGGCACATTCCAGATAATTTGGGCAATATGCATGAACAGTAGCGATGGTGGTGGACACCGGCTATCATGACCCCACACACCTGAGAATGTTGTGGCCCCCCGTTCAGACAGGCATGGGACACAAAGGCCCGGCATGGCGACCATACCCATCTGCCTTTGTCTCCCTAGTTCTGATGTTTACACATCACATTAGGATGCCACTCAAGGTCACTTTTCCTGGTTGTATCCAGTTGCCTATTAAGCTGAAGCTTAATATACAATCCTCAATATTTACAAGTTGCTCAACCCGAAGTTGCTGCAAAGAAGACGAGGGGATTCTAAGCAACCTGTAAATGTGAACAAATTAAAATGACATTTTCAGCACTTAACATCAACACCGAAACATTGAGAGGGTTTGATCCAATAAACTGAAACGTCGCTCTTTCATATGCATATTGGATGACACTAAAACACCACATACATATTTCAGACTCAATCAACAAGCGATATAAACACTCTACAGTGGTGGTATTGGAATATGTAAATATAGATATCAATTGTATCTAGATTTGAAGCTTTCGTGACTGTAAGGATTCATACTCTTAGTTCTTTCGGTAAAGTCACGTAGGTAAAAAATTAATTAAATTAATAAAATAAAACAATAAAAATCACGACGTTTCGGAGGCAACACAAGCTTCCGTCTTGTATTGCCTCCGAAACGTCGTGATTTTTATTGTTTTATTTTTATTAATTTTTATTAAATTTTTTACCTACGTGACTTTACCGAAATAACTAAGAGTATCAATTGTATCGTTGATTCCAGTGGAGTGTAATAGAGCCTTCTGGTGGACAGCAGCGGCAACTGTGGTGGACAGATAGTAGACACGCAGGTGAGGGTGTGCATGGTAGGTTGGCAGAGGGGAAGAACTAGGGTAAGGCTCACGGAGGACACTGTCTGGAGGCCCCTGAAACCTGCTAGCAGTTCGAGAAGGGAGGCATGGTCAGGGCGGACCCAGGCCGTGCGGGTTGTGAGAATGGACTTGTCTCATCGTTGCTGTCGTCTCGTCGCCGTCGTCACTAAACGTCTCCGCTAGATATTGCGCTACAAAAGATAATAGTTGGCTGTCTCAGTCAGTGCCGTCAGTGTTAGACGGCTGGTGTTGTGTGCAGGCTAAGCCGAGCTACTGTGGAGAGTGTGCAGACAAGGCCGTGAAAGTTGTTAATAAATAAAGTGCCACCTATAAACTCTGTCTCTGAATCGTTGACACTACACTAGTATCAAGGCATCGGCATCAAAACTGAAGGCAGTAGTATCACATGCCTCTGGATGCACAGGTGCTGCCTCTAAGGCATCAATAGCCAATAACAATGATCCCACATATGTCTCCACCCTAACATGAGGTCGACACACATTAAGGTAAATCTATGACACAGGAACAGACTTTATCATCATCAAGGCAATTATATTCGACATCAAAGTATTTTTTGTATGTTTATGTTAATAAATAGAGCACTATTGAACATGTAAAAATGGGAGCCATATTTCTAACAATAACACGAAAATTATCTCTTACAATCACCTATTTACATGATCCAAATTAACCTAATCCTGGCACCAACCCGAATCCGACCATGACCGCTGCCCCTCTCACCTGTGGGTATGGCTGACAGGTTGAGTTGAGATGCGGCCCACAGCAGGCCTTGGGGATGGTGTCGAAATCTAAGGCACTGCTGACCCCACAGCACTGAAACTGCAGAGAGGAGAAAACACAATCACAATGGTTAACTCTTTACATCGTTCCAGGACGAGTGAGGTCAGTGCCTTTCGGGCTGACATGAATTAGGATGGTAATTGGGGTTGAATGATCACTAAATCGGCGGCAATTGTCTCGTGTATTACCATGTGCATAATGGGTGTGTGGATATGCAGGAACGGTTGTGTCTGTTTGCATGAGTGTATTTTGTGCATGTGTCTATGTTCGTGAGTGTCTGTATATGGACACGTGTCTGGATAGATAGGTGCGCGCTGTACCTCTGACATTGCATGGTTCCATGCCGACGCGAGCACGAGGTTGGATTCAAACTCGTGCCGAAGAAGCTTTGAGCCCCGCGCCCGAATCCAGGCAATCAGCTGCACACACGAATCACAGGAAACCCTGTTAGCCTGGCAGATGACTTGGCAAGTGCTGTTTGTGACCACCTATTCTGGCACGCACATTTAGTTGCATGTATTGTGAGCAGTAGAATCTATTTTAATCGCAGAATACTTACATGCTGACGCATTAAACGCACTCTACATTTATCAGCTATCGCCATCCAGCACTGACCCCTACTGTGTGTTTAAAACATCACCAAAAAAATGTCTCTCCCCCTCCACCCCGCCATACCGAAGTTGCTAAACCCGGTTTGATGCCAAGTTCTCGATATACGCACTCTGTGCTCTAGTTAGCCGCCCACATGGCCATTCGCCAAATTCCATTCTTGCTCCGTGACCACAAACAGCCACGACACATTTCTGACGCGAGATATCATCCATGGCTTCCTTTAATAAAAAAAAACCCCAGTGTTGTCGTTTCAAAACCGGTAACAGAAGCCCAGGTGCGATATCTTTTCGATATTTGAGCCCTCAAGACGTAACACATTATTTCCACCTCGCGTGGAAAGTCACGAACACATTCATACTCTTGGTTCTTTTGGTAAAGTCACGTAGGTAAAGAAAATAAGAAATAAAAATAAAATAAAAAATTTAAATATAAAAATTAATAGAATTAAATCACGACGTTTCGATTGCAACACAAGCAATCATTAATGATCAACAATGATTGCTTGTGTTGCAATCGAAACGTTGTGATTTAATTTTATTTATTTGTATCTTTTATTTTTTATTTTATTTTTATTTCTTATTTTCTTTACCTACGTGACTTTACCGAAAGAACCAAGAGTATGGATCCTTGCAGTCACGAAAACTTCAAATCTAGAATGAACACATTCATGCACAATGGGATAGTGCTTCTTGGTGGGACAGCGGTGGAAATTTTACATTTCTTTGGCAGTGCCAGTCTCTCCATTTGAAAAATCCAACCACTCCTGACCTCAAAGTGGTACTTATTTGATCAACCCCAGAGGAATGATACGCAAAGTCCACCCTCACAATTGGGATTTGGATTTGCAACCTTCAGATTGTGAGTCGAGCGCTCTTACTGGATTGATGGTACATTTATTGTCTGAGTTTGGGTTTACAGCCTTGTCCCTACACTCATGGATGAAGGCCTCCCCATCTATGTCAGTCACTGTGGGCTTGTTTGACCAATCTTCACTACACTGGTCAGTGTGGGTTGGTAAAAGAAGGAGGGGTGGCAGGAATGGTTCAGTTATTACTCGCCACTGACGTTACTCTTGGCGAGAAATCAAACTTGGGTCTCCCAATTATTTACTCAGATGCATTGTTCATTATCAAGTGTAATTTTCCAAAAGCACTGTTACTTGACATCAATCACCTCATTATTTATTTAGTTTGTTTCTAATCTACCTACTATGTTGTGTTTTCAAGGTGTGTCCCTCCGTCACTAATTTGCTGTGTTCATTGTGATGCAATATCTGACAAAATTATACAGTGAGTGCCAGTTTGGCAGAGGCGTGCAATTGTTAAGGCAAAAGGTTGATCCTCGTAAAGTGATGACGTAAAATTTGCCATATATAACACGTCACAGTAACTGTGGGCCTGTGTTTGTGTGGTTACACTTTTATTAAGTGCTTCCATAATCATTCTCCTTTAGTGTAAACTATATGGTATTTGTGTATATTTATCCTTTGCGTCTGTCTGCGTGTTTGCTTAGCTGGTGTTCATGTAGATAAAAAAAAATCATGATCATGGCAGTGATTGTTGTTAGAATTGTTATTGTAATGAACTTACCTCGGTGTCTGGGATGAAATATTGAGCAGCGACGATTGCAGACAAACTCAGGATCACAGCAATCGCCATGAACTACACACACAATTACGCAGGCATCACCAGGTGTCATCAGTGATATCACCGACTGCCATTGGTAACACATGATTCATGCTCTGTCCATAAGCATTGTAGAACAGACCCGAAGCATGCTAGGCCATACTGCATCATTCCGAGAATCAGAGCTAAATATTAGTCCATTTTGATTTGTCTTTCTGATCATATTTTTTCACGACATCTATTCAGAAGCACCTTGCTTTTGGATGTTTTGCTAATTCCCTTAAACATATTTTAGTTGTGAATGAAAACAGCATTTACCTTAAAAAGAACCTCACACGAAAACTAGATCACTCCAACTTCCCTATACAGTTTTGACTCCGGTGAACCCACATGCTGCATTGCCCTGAAAGGACCACGCATGCTCTGTATCTTTGCAATCCACCAACCCCCACCTCCAAGTTGCCAACTCACTTCCAAGTTGCTAAATCACTCCTACACCCAGCAATGCTGATATTGACTATGATGATGACTAGAATAGATGGCGCCTATGATGATGCTGACGACGATCGTGATGTTGATTCCGAACATAGCCGGAAACATATTCTTAGGTTTTTTCGGTAAAGTCACGTAGGTAAAAAAATAAAATTAAATTTATTTAATTTTTTTTACCTACGTGACTTTACCGATTAAATTTAAAATTAAATTAATTTTAATTTAATTTTTTTACCTACGTGACTTTACCGAAAAAACCTAAGAATATGAATCCTTGCAGTCACGAAAGCTTCAAATCTAGAATTAATAGCCGGAAACGTCTGCACGTGTTTTATTAATGTCCTCTCTCCGCATAGGTGCACTCACCAGGATCAGGAGGGGCCACAGCTGATACCAGGCGGCCACCACGAGAAGCAGGGCGATGAGGCTGAGAAGAGCAGCACCTCCAAGACAGGCGACCCGGGCCCCCAGTCCCAGAGACTCCGACGTCAGCCATCCTGAGCCCAACGATCCTGACGCCGGTAACTTTGAGGTTGACCCCAGAATGTCAGAACTATTACCCGACATGAGGATCTTTGACCCCAGCAGAGTCTCCAGTACTGAGCTATGCACGGGCAGACAGGCGCCCACGCCCACCAGCGCACACGCGCATACCTACCCACACACGCACACACACGTACACACACGCACGTTATTATCTGTTCAAATTACTGACCCTTGCAGCATCCTTAATATGTGCTTGCAAGCAACACTTAACTCAACAGCTTATTTAATGTATATAGGGGATTTTTTTTATGATACGTGTAGATTGGCTATGATGTTAGATGGGGAAGCCCCTTTATACACAAGGGCCTTTATCAGCCCACTTGGCCCCGCTCACGCTGTTTCAATATGAGAGCTGTGTATACACCAGTGACTAATTCAGTGTCACATGCACATTCACGCAAGATGAGATAATACTCTGTGGAAATTTTACGTTTCTATAGCATGGCCAGTCTCGAATAAAAAAAACCCACCGTTGACCTGGAATGAAATGGCATTAGTGCTTTCATAAACCCCAGAGGAATGATGCGCTAAGTTCGCTCTCACAATCGGGATTTGAAATCGCCACCTTCAGATTGTGAGTCCCATAGATATAACTTCTCAACGCGAGCTATTAATGCTTTGATATTTGCGTTGTCTTTGTGCTGTTCGCCTTTTGGCGTTCTCTGGTCGAGCACTGGTGAGACAAGGTCACATAGAAGGCTGGCTCTGGTGTGGGCTAATTAGTTTAAAAGAAAACGCATATATTATAATCAGAGCATGTTTGTTTGCATGTTTTGCCACAAGCGTGTGTGGTTAACGAAAACTTGATGCCTTGTAATGGGTGTCTATTTGGTGTTTTGACATTGGGGCGTCAGAGTGACGAGATGTTAATTCCCTCGCCAGGTTTATAGGAGGTCGTCGGTTCGATCCCAACTCTGACGCCTGTATATTTGGAGTCTGCATGTTTTCCCTGTGGTCGTGTGGATTTATACCCGGGCCCTCTGGGGTTTCCCTCCACATTTCGAATCATGCTATTAGCGTATTTGGCTGCTATACATTTCCACGTGATCAGCCACTTCGTTGAGCTATAATTTGTGGCCAAGTCTCTTCTGAAAAATAGCTATATTGCTCAGCGGGCCTTACCTAGAAAATAAAAAAATAGTTTTAGCTTAGTTTATAGTATTATTTCCGGAAAGGGTAAAAGCCTATTCTTTTGTTTCATTATTTTGAAACTGCCAAAAAAATGTCCCATAGAATCATCAATGTAACTATTGTTGTACTCTATTCTCATACGCAGTGATCAGCGTTGAAAAGTTTGGTCAAATAATCCCCAAGACTCTCCCCGCGCGGGTGGGAACCTTCATTCAACAGCGGATGATTAATGTGACTGGAAACTATGAGTGTCAATTACGCAATACATATATTCACAGACCACACATTGATTCACATACAAAATGAAACGTCAAACATAGGCATATATTCATAATCGAGGTTTTTTTTGGGTTAGATCGCGTAAATATATAAATGTGTCGTTAAAACCCGCCACCACCCGACACAACCAACTAGTAAGGGTTGTCACGTAAACAGAACGTGCCAATTCGTCACTAGTACAGCACTAACCGGTGTGTTGGAGAGCCAAGCCACAACATTTACAATCTGAGTACGACGTTTCGCCAGCAATTACAACTAGTTTATAACCCCAAAAAACCTCTATTATGGATGCTATCAGTCGCGAAAGCCCACGTGTTAAATATGCATCTATTGTTGAATATTACGTGGCTGTAGAGATGTACACATACAGTACTATATAGTGCACACACAATCACATTCACGCGCCACATGCACGCACCGAGACACGTCTCCATTCAATACGTCGTCGTTACAGCGAATTGTTCCTGAAAATGTTTATTCGGACGAGACGTCGACATTCCTCAGCCAAGTTAGAATCCACAAAGATTCGACCAAATGAAGTAGCATTCGAAATGCAATGTACGGTCTAAGCACATTTTAAACGACATGCCTCTATTTTATCTCTAGATATACTGAATGGCTGAGCAATGCGAGCGAGCGAGCGAGCGCTGATTATGACCTATTATCATTATCACATTTTCACGAACAAACCATTTTAAATGATCGAGCAGCAACGCCGGAAAATCTCAAGCAGGCAACATTATTTTACCAATCTGATTCCATCGCCTGGTTAATTATACAACGAGATATGTATTAAACGAATTAGTGGTGGACATTCCTTATTTTAATTGCTCGAAATCAGCCAGTCCATTAAAAAATAACCGCTGCTCTTTCCTTCCCAACAAATTGCCACTTATTTTAACGGCTCTGAAGAATGTTTTTTTTCAAATCCACCACCTTCCTAATGTTATGATCAGAGCGTGTTCTAACCGGCAAGCCACCCGGGCGCATTTTTAGATAATTGATGTTAATTGAGCAGGCATAGTTAAAGTGTCCAATTATGGCGAGGAGCGGTGTGTAGTAGTAGGCTTGCTTACCGCTAAACCCAGTCCGAGCAGAAGCGTGGCTATCGTGAGCTTGGACACCCCCATCGCTTCTTGTCTCTCCTCGAGTCTCTGCGAGCGCGAATAGTGAAGTGAGCTCGGATCGGCGATTAATATAGGAAGGGTCGTGGGTTGCCTAAACAGCTCCCTCCCTCACCTCTACCTCGTGACGAAACATTTCTCCCCCTCCCTCCTACCCTCCTACCCTCCTCCCCCTCCGATTCGCACGGTTGGCTACGCACGAAAGAAGTTTAACATACATACTACTACACCCTCTCACTCCGCGTTCCCTCTCTACCCACCGTCTTTGTAACCCCGAGGTGATAAGTCCCTCTATTCCTGTGGTCTTAACTGAAATTTTGAATTCTAATAAGTGTAATTTATTGGGCTCAACGTTTTCAAAGTGGACAAGACGGATAGAAATTTATCATCATCATCGTCAACGATGATCAATCCGTTGCTGGAAAAAAGTCCCCTCGATGCGTCTGACTTCTGCTTCTCAGCGCTTTTAATCTTTGACGTAAACCAATGGTGTGCACTGCAAGGAATAGCGCAGGGGAAGTAACACGTCAATTGTTCTGTATGAGTCATGAACATGTCACTAAGAGTCAACTCAGGGTCAATGGGTAGTTTACGGGGGTAGAAAAACATTTTTTAAAACCCCCCTACTATCTTTGATACTTTGAAGCGATAAAAAATATATATATTCGGAGATTAAAACAAAAAGAGGTCCACTTGGTGAGTCACAGAACTAAGAGAAGGCTAGTCACGAGATAGCGCGTGTGAGAACCTGCGTGGGTGGATGTCTGTGTCTGCGTGTCTAGTGGAGGATGTGGCTGCGTGGTTTGGTTTGCGTGCGTCTGGGTGTGCTTGGAGGAGGCTCGTGCAGGACACCACTGGGCAGATGGAGGCAGTCACCCTTCAACAACAACGGAGGGCAGATGAGCCCACGCTCACAACAACGAGCGTTGTGCCGGGCAGCTAAAACGCAGCAAGTTGGCACAGTAGAGGGCACAGCTGGTGCATCTGCCAGTCATCTCAGTGAGTCAACCCATGGTACCTGCTGGGTCTGTCCCGTGATATGTTGGCGAGCCTTCGACACTTCACGTGGCGTCAAAGTGCACCTGGCCTGGCACAGGCGCCGTGGTGACGTCACCTCCACTTAGTGGCGAACGGCGAGTGTTGATTGTTGCGAATGTGTTTGTGCAGGACCCGGCATTGTAGTGGTGAGAGCACTCCGCTGCGAACCGAGCGTCCTGAGTTCGACCACCTGTGAACCGGTCCTGCCCCCCGCCTCTGCTCTGACTCGGCCTCAATTGAGTACCTGATGCAGTGTATAAACATCAGCATTGGGGGTGTAAAGGCGCACGGGCGTGTAGTGCTGGCCAATTGCGCATGCCACTACAGCCTGAGAAGACTATACGGGTGTATCTTTGGCTTCATGCAATGTTTATAATTAATTACCCAAGTGTGCGTGACTGTATTGACAGCTGAGGGTGTGCTCTGAACTGTCAAGAATGCTGCCAGTGCATTTCCCATTAACATATGTATCAATATAACAGCACTGCCACTCACTGCTGAGCGTTTGGTAAACATTACAGGTGCAACGATTACGCGATCCAGGGTCGTGATTACGAAGTAAACTTGAGTAAATATGACCAACTCACAGGCAGCAGTGGTACAGAAATGGAAATGTTATGGAAATTTACTCACATGTAATTTGATGGCGACCTGGAATTAATGTTTTTGCATAATGCACAAATATATTTTTACACGTTTTGTGTGATGTGTGTGGATTTGTTGGCGCAGGTTAAACATTTGACAGTCATCTTGGTCAGTAAACCCATAACACCTGGGTTTTATCCCATGACCTGACTTCAAACTGCACCTAGCCTGGTACAAGCGCAGAGGTGACGTCACCACCTTAGTGGAGATTGGCGATGGTTGTTGTTGTTGTTTGAGGAAAGCAGTGTCGCTGTAGCTCCTGACCTCGGGTGAACGTCATTGGCACATGGTATTTGAATCTGCTCTGGGAGCATTAAATGAGTACCTGGTGCAGTGTAAATATCACCACGTGAGAGACAAAGTCGCCTGGGTGTGGTGCAAGCCCCCCTTAATACTGTATACAGTATATGAATGTAGAGGACAGCATATATGAATGTACGTATGAATGTGAACATATACCTACGACCAAATTACTCTGAATGTTAGATCTCGCCATGTCTTGAATGTTAAGCAGTTTGAACGTGGTTAGAACTTGCATGATTGTTTTTCTGGTATTATCGTGTGGTGTAGGCGTGGGTTGTAATGCACGATAATCCCGATGTGGATCATGGAGAGCATTGGATTCTTGAATCCATCTGTGTGGCGCGTTGATTGTTAATATTTCGTACGCGTGGTGGATTTTCTCTACGTGCTCTGGTTTGCTCGCGAATGAAGCCAAACACTTATTAATAGGAATGGCCAACATGGCAATGCATGACCCCCCTGGAAAAAAAAGTCTGCAAGCTAAGTGAGTATTTCTTCTGTAAATATAGGGAATTGATAAATCTGTGTATTTGCATGCCAGTACATGTCGAATGGATGTGAATATATGTGTGCACGTGTTTGTCGATAAGCACAAATTTAGTTTTTAGGACGGACTGAAACATGAAATTTAGACGGTATATCCTCGTTGTTATCAGCCTTGATTTAGCTACTGCTGGATGAATGCCTCGCCAAGCCGTCGACATCATTCGCAGTCGTGCGACGCAGCAACTCGTACAGCTGCTGCATGCGAGCTAACGTCAGGGCTCCATCTCTTCGGTGTGCGCACTCTTGGGCGTGTTCCCACGTACGGCTGCCACTGCGTCATTCGTCTCAGATAACAGCCTCGGGGGAGAAATATGGCCCTGAAATACACAATAAATATGTATTTAAAAAAATGAGCGGAGCCATTGTATGCAGATCTATATTGAAAGCAATGATTTGCGTATAATGTACATGGACATAGAACATCGCCTTTTACGCAAGCAAACACGTGCATGGGTAGTGCACTTTTATTTAGAATGGAGATTATTCCATTAATGTATGCCTTAAATCGCTAATGTGCGTGGCGGTGTATTGTGGGATCAAATTACTTCATAGACAATGGGTCTCCACGTATCCGTAACGCCATATAAACAGAAACAAGTATTTCACAACCCATCGGCCCAGTGTTCTTCTCTAATTTTGAGAGGGGAGCCACTTTTGCCAACAAGACATCAATTTGAGGGCTGCCACACCGCTTGCAAGGGGTGTTTTCACATTTGTGTATTGTCGGTGGGCGAACGTCAGGGGCCGCACTAAAGGCCACGAGGGACTGCCAGTGGCCCGCGGGCCTTGCAATGAAGAGCACTGCATCAGCTGTACGGCCTTTTGGGAGTGCGTCATTTCAGCAGCATTGTTTCGAGTCAAGCAAACTCGAGGCCTGTTTTGACACACGGTATCTCATCAGCAGTCAGACTTGCCTAAATCAGTGCTGGTGACCTGTCGGTCTTATAGGCAAGGACTATATAAGCTGTTGGGGAACCTACTGTTAGGGAACACCTATCAAGTCCGCATGGTTGATGCTTATAGATGGCACCAGTTATTCATTTAAAGGATGAGTCCACCCAGGGGAGGTCCCAGGACGGATACGATATCAGTCTCAAACGTTGTTGTGATCGGGAATCGAACTCAGGTCACCGGGTTCGTACAACATGTGCATAATCACACGCTCTTTCTCCCCTGGGTGGGATTAAGTCTCACACGCGATCGTCGCGAACACAATGCACACTGACACACGCGTGTGTGTGTCCTCATGCCCATAACAAGCTCGCTGCTATACTTAGGATACGGGTGACGCGAGTCAGGCGTGTAATCATGAGTACAAATGAAAACACTTTTCATTTCTCTGCAACACCAAAAAAATCACACAATCGTGCCGGCTATAGAGTTACAAAAAGAGTAATACAGCAGTGCACAGTCAAGTGTCACGCGTGTGATCCAGGTAAGGATTGGTGAATCACGCAAACTTGTAAGACTCCCGAATCCGCTGGGTTCGGCTCGTGAAGCGGTATGAGCGGACCTTTGAGTGCAAATATTCCTCTCTTGTGGACATTCTCATGACTTCGGCGACCTGTGTTTGGTTCACAACCATGGCTGACATGAATGCTCGCTGATTGGGCCCTATGCATAACCATTCATTAACTCACATTGACCAGCATGGTGAAGTATGATCAAGCAACCCCTTAATCGACACGGTATGGGGAGAACTTCATCCAGCAATGGATTGACAATAGGCTATACGTTTCTGTGTTGTAAGTTTCCTCCTACATGCCTACACTCATTCATGGCCTTGGCCAGCCATCCCCATTCATTTAAATCTTGTGACTCAGGATTTCCTGAATAAATAATTACGTGATTATTTATTATGACTACCATCGCCACCATCGCATGCTTTCCCGATTATTTGGTAAGTGGTTATGGCTCATCTGTGGGCTCTAAGACTCATAAAGCTAGCCTAAGTCCACCGGGTTACACAAGTGTGTGTCAAACATTACATGTGGCTCTCTGATCGCTAAGAGCACAAAGCAAGAACAAATCTCTTGCGTTGTTACACGAATGCCATGCAATCACCAAAGCCAACAATGTAATTATGATGAGCTCCAAAAGGCACACGGAACTTTTGTGAAAGTTTGTTGTATTGTTGTTACACAAATGCACGAGTCGCTAAGTACTGGGCAATTTTTGGAGGATCTGGACAACTTCTAATCAGTGTGTTTTTTTAAATACAAATCTAGTTCAAGGGCCTGCAGAACAGAAATGACTACCACTTTATGCGGGGGAAACTTTAGTGGCATCTATTTCTCTATGGAATAACAAATGTATACTCTACAACCACTTTGTCAACCCACTGTTGCACGAATGACTCTCAGACTGTCATTCATGCAGGTTTTTCTTTACAATACTTCACTATGCTTGTCAGTGTAGTTGTCATGGCTGGAAATTGAAATTAAGTCGCCGAATTCCAAGCGCAGGACACTAATATCTGGCCAAAAAAGTACACTGTGTGAAAACACACTCAATGTAAACAAACAAATAATTACATAATTTACTTGGACTTCAAAAAGAAAGCAAGGCCGTTGTT